ACGTTGTTCGTGCAGGATTTCGAGGATGGTCCCAATAAATTTACCAGTTTTAGTTCAGATTCAACACCCTGGAAGTGGCCATAAGGGTTACGAAACAGGAGGAATTCAGCGTGAAACAGGATCAGCGAAATCGGATTCATATCGTCTGTCGAGGCGATAGAAAAATGGAGGCCCAGAACCAATGGACCTCTGTCACGCGGGGAGCGAGAGCTCTCGTGCTAAGAGCTACAAGAATTTACAAACGTGCAATATATTTCAGACGACAGAACATCACGTATACGAATGTCGTACCCCAAACGTGGTACCATGTACCGCGAGAAACAATAACCTTCAAGCGGCCAAGCGGGGTCAAAAGCGTGAGTCCGAAGTTGTAGCGAAGACGCAACAACGTAATGGACCGCTAAAAATGGTCGGGTTGGTAGGTGCGGAGCGCCCCGCTGATCCAGCAACGCTAAGTGAATCTGCAGGGCCTTGACGAATGTTGCTCCCAACACTCAATTATTGTGTTTGCTGATTCTCGTAATGAGGTTTTCCTCATTGACCTGAAGCTGGAAGTGACACGAATCATTTTGCTTTGATCCCTAGTAGACCTTAGGGCTTCAAAACTTTGTGCAGCGCCAATCGATAGACAACAGTGAGCTTAAATAAATCGAGCACGAGATCCCTCCAACGAGGATGACGGTGCGTCTCGCGACAGGCGCATCCGTAATAGCTGTGAAACATATAGTGTAGCTATTTATACACTAAAAGAAGTCCAATACGATGGTGACTTCATCTTCTTGGGATTGGACGACAATTCTGATGTTATCCTTGGACCACCTTAGCTCAGGAGATACGAGTAACATGTCAGCTGGCATCACCGAAAGGCTGATATGCCTGTCACTTGTTCACCATACGGCCATCTGATCAACGTCACGGAACTTCCGCTAACATCTGAGTATATTATGAGCAATTGCGATGGCCTCGCGTGTGGTTTGGTCGTCAGTGCGAATGCACACGTCCATTTCGTGGCTGATTGCCACACCATGGATCCAGATTCAGACGCCTGAATTAAGATGCAGTTCGCTACGAAGGCCCACCACCCAAATAAGTCTAGTGGACTGGGGCACGGGTGTCCTTCAAACGGTCAACACCAAAGTGACAACAAAAAGATTGTTAACTATTGGCAATACGATGATCTTAGTGTTATTAAAGAATCGCACGTAGTAGACATGGCCACGGTTTCGCAACCAGATGATAGCCCCTTCACCGTTTACGCGTGCCATGCGTCCTTACGCACGACCTTTAACAGTACACACCTCTTGCAACGAATGGTGATGTGGCTGTATTTTATTGCGGAGAATAATCTCCGTGGAATATGAGCCAGGACGACTGAATGTTGTTGATGATGCTCTTGTCGCGCCGGCCTGACTTCGAACCGGCTGTGCAATCGAAACTGGGCCGAGAACTGTCGCGGTTGGCGTCGAGTTTCCTGCATCAACCACATTCAAAAATTTGCGCAAGGCTTACGATCTGGCGCTGGTGCGTTTGATAGATCGTCTCTCGTAACCATCCTGTCAATTCATTAAAGGGTTGTCCCTGGTATATTGACCCTCCACGGATAGATTTACAGTCCAAAATGGCTTACTGAAGTATTCAGCTGTTGCCGGCGACACGCCTCGTTTCGTCTTACCGGACAGTGGTGTCCTGTGACTGCGCATCATGTGAGTACCATGATTAACCTACTCGTGAACATCGTAGTCGAGAGAAGACATATCCCACAGTTATCCGCAAATTTTACTGGCCCCTCCAGTGTCAGATGCGTGTAAGTACGTCCGCGCTTGCGAAGCATGTCAACAAATGAAGTCTAGTCCTTGGCTTCGTGCGCTGTTGCAACCCTTGACCATTCTGGCAGATTCTAAGAATCTGTCTTAATGGACTTTGTCTCTAGATTCCCCGAATAAACACGCATCAAAACCGGTATTCTTTTGTTCGTTTGTAGATCCGTTAAAATGATACACTCGGTTGATGCACCTGAATCTATCAATGCATCGGCATGTGCTATTGTTCTTATTGACACGATCTTTCGTCTTCAAAAGTTACCTCGTAAACTCTTCTCCGATCGCGACCCACGGTTCACTGCTAAATTCCGGTGATCTTTGTTCAAAACATTCGAATCACTCCCTCAGATGTCGACCTCTAGCCACCCTGAAACATATGGTAGAACAGGAAGTGCCAACCACTTTCTAGAAGAAATCCGTCGGGGATGCGTCCATTCGCTTACGAATTTGAGAGAATTCGAGCCTATGGTGAAATTCGCCATCAACAACTCGGTGCGTGCATCGACGAAGCATACAACGTTCTACATGAACAACTTGCGCCATTTACGCATATCCACCTCTTTTGATTGTAAATCTATCCTGAAGGTAACGGGGTGAATCGTTACATAACAATTTATAAGAAATTGTTAATAGAATATAACTTTAAGAGTTAGATTCTCAGAATATTGTCATAAGGACAAATATTCTGTAGCACTTACAAGTAGTTCCTAATTGGTTGATATAGGCCATTATATCAACCAACGAAGACGCGCCACGACAGACGCACGCAATGAGTGGTGAGCAGATAACTGATTTACACATTTGTATTTAGACATAGTTAGATGAAGATAAATAGTGATTTATAAACAGACATTAACTATTACAAATACAGTTCTACTTTTTACTCTAACCAAGTACTCGCTTCTTCTTACCGTCTTCCTCTGCACGTACCAGTGTACGTGAAGTTACGAGGCACCGCCTTATTCTGTTATCAGAATCTGTAGCTTGTACTGTCACCAGTACAAGCTTCAGGGTGCCCCGTTACACCTGGTAGCACTTCGTAGTCCGTCCAAGGACCGCGTTCACATCCAACATGAATATGTTGGATGATGAAGATGACCAAAGCTTTCACGCTACGCGTGACGGCTACTCCCATTTGAGCGATGTCGAATGGGATGCGGTTGAACGAATGGGTTCGACCATGGGCATCCATGCTGTTAGCGTCATGCTAGAGGCTCTCAATAGAGATGCCCAACATGCTACTATCGCCAAGTTCATTCAAAATGAACTTGACGCAGAACGCTAGAAAGTAGCCTTGCTTCACCAACAAGGTTCTCAACAAGCAGAGTTGTTGAGAGAACAGGGTGCTCAACAGTTTGAACTGTTGAGACAGCAGCAGGCTGCTGCTGGCGGGTCGATGCACTCGCGTCGACCCGAGACTTTATAGATTGACATCTCCAAGTATAGGGGGGTCGAAGAAGACTCCCTCTTGAGATGGTTCGTCGAATTGGATGACGCCATAAGGGCGCGTCGCATCGACGACGGGGATATGCAAGTTGCATTTGCCCAGTCAAATTTGGCAGGACGTGCCAAGACTTGGGCACTGGGGCTCAAGCTGCACAACCCATATGCGTTTGGGTCGTTGGAAGTCTTCAAGTCGCGGCTCAGACAAACGTTTGAACCGCCTAGAGCTGAGTTCAGGGCTCGAACCGAACTCTTGAAGCTCAAGCAAGGTAAGCGTGATGTGCACGCTTACGCTCAACATATACGACATCTTACGAGTTGTATAAGTTCCAATCCAGTGGATGAACACACGTTGGTTTCGGTGTTCATGCAGGGTCTTGCGGATGGTCCCGTCAAGACTCACCTGTTCCGGCTTGAACTAGATTCACTAGAACAAGCCATTTCCATTGCGGAGCAGGAAGACTTCAGTCTGAGACAGGCTTGCGCCAGATCGACATCATATCGTCAACCGAGACGATATGACAACGGAGGTCCAGAGCCGATGGAACTCTGTTATGTAGAGAGCGAGAAGGCTCGCTCTACAGGCTACAAGAAGTTGCAGAGATGCAACAGATGTCAAAAGACAGGACACTACGCTTACGAGTGTAGTGCCCCTCGTCCAGTGTCTCGCGACACTGGGCGTAGTGACCGTCCACCCATGAGAAAGGGGCAGGGATGAGGGTCCGCAGTTGGTGCAAAGACGCAACAACGGGATGGACCGTCAAAAAACGGACAGGATCAGTAGGTGCGGAGCACCCTACTGATCCAGCAACGTCAAGAGAATTTGTAGGCATCTTGATGAAGGTTGCTCCCAACACACAAACGTTGTGCGTTGCTGCTCTAGGTAATGTGATCTCACTCATTACCTTGAAACTCGAAGTGACGAATAAGTTGTCCCTTCGAGCTCTAGTCGATTGTGGGGCGTCCAACAATTTTGTGTGACGCCAATCGCTAGAAGATGATCATTTTAAGTTCAGTGAATGTGACACACCTCCTACGAGGATGACGGTACGTCTTGCGACAGGCACAACCGTAACCGTCCTGAAGCGTATAGTGAAGATCCACTATACACTAGAAGATACCCAATATGACGATGACTTTATCGTATTGGATTTGGATGACAAATTTGATGTCATCCTTGGAATACCGTGGCTCAGAAGGTACGAACCACGGGTAAACTGGCAACATCGAACAGTAACGATGCCTGCCGCTTGTTCATCAGATGGCCATCTGATGAACGTTTTGGAGCGTCCACAAGCGTGAGGATGTACTACGAGTGAGTGCGATGGCCTCACTTGTGGTACGGTCGTTAGTACGACTGCACAAAACCTTAGTGTACCAAACGGTTACACTTCGGAGCAAAGTTCCGGCGGCTGTGAGGAAACACAGGCTGCGCCGAAGGTCCACCACTCGAATAAGTCGAGTGGACCGGGACAAAAATGTATCCCTAGTGGGGAACATCTAGAAGAAAAACAATCGATCGCTCAGGTTAAGCGAAACGATAATCCTAGATCGACTGGAGAGTCTTTCGTAGAGGATCTCGCTGTGGTTGCGCAACCCCAGCTAGAGGAAGTAAAGGGAATAAGTCCCAAGATTACAAATACGGCGGAAATAAGTTCCCCGAAACCCGCGGGAATAAGTCCCCGGGAAGACGAAGGAATAAGTCCTTCGAGGCCTGAGGGAATAAGTCCCCAGGAAATGACAGAGACATTGAATGTCATAGTCAATAACGGATCATGTGTAGGCGCTTATACACTTGATCTGATTGCGCCTCCGAAGTTAACTTCGGAGATCACTCAGTTGACAACGCTCGAACATAAAAGGTTCTTGCGTGATCTGCGTAGTGGCAAAGTCAAGCAGATCTGCGTGCTCGTCGCTGACGACGAGTGTGTAGCCGACATAAGGTCAGCAACAGTGTTCACTGAGAACGAGAGAGTTCTCAGTAGTTCATCGATGGACGCGAGTGTCCTGGATAAAAAGACACGAATTGAGCGATATGACTCCCAATCGTGGGAATCGCTCAAGACAAATCCTCTCTATGAAGATTTGGTTGAATTCAAGGATGTATTCCCTGAAACTGTTCCGTGCGAATTACCGAAGGATAAAGGTATTCGACACGAGGTCGAGCTTAAACCAGGCTCGAAGTACTGTGTCATGAAGCAGTGGCCACTGCCTCGTGAACAAGTACTTGCGATCGACAAGTTCTCTGCCGATCGTTTAGCAGCGGGCCATGTGAGGGAATCAACTTCCCCACATAGCTCTCCGACCTTCTGTGTGCGAAAAGCAACAGGAGGGTGGCGGATAGTGCACGCGTTCAACAAATTGAACGCTGCAACGGTACCGGCTCAGACGCCGATACCGAGGAAGGACGTAATCATTGATGGTATGTCAAAGAGTACCATCTTTTCGTCCATGGATTTGATGGATGGCTTCTATCAAATCCTAATGCGGGAACGGGATATACCCTATACCGCAGTTAGCACGCCTACGGCATTATCTGGGAATGGCTAGTAATGCCACAAGGGCTCAGTAATGCCCCTGCCACGTTCAACAGATGTGTATCACATCTGTTGAGACCAGTACGAGAGTTCGCGCCGAGTTATTTCGATGACGTATTCATCCATAGTCGAGCTATGGATGGAAAGTCGGACGTTGAGGTTCACAGGTACCACGTCCGACAGGTTCTTACAAATCATGCGAAAGCATCAATTGTATGCAAATCTCAAGAAGTGTATATTTGCAGCAAGCGAAATACCACTTCTTGGGTGCATCGTTGGTAAGAACGGTGTACGTCCTGATCCCGAAAAGATCAAGGCGATCACCGACTGGCCTGTGCCGGTCGATGTCAAAGGTCTTCGGAAATTCCTTGGGCTACCGGCGTATTTGCATAAGTATTCACGCAATTACGCCGAGATGACTGTGCACCTCTCTCGTTTTTTGAAAAAGAACGAGAGGTGGTTATGGAACGCTGAATGTCAGCGCTCCTTTGAGGGTATCAAGCAGAGCTTGATACAAGCCTTAATCCTAGCAATAGCCGATCAGGACAGGCCATTTCATGTGGTCTGTGATGCCAGCGATTTCGCAATCGGCTGTGCATTAATGCAGTACGATCTTGAAGGCGTTGAACGCGTCGTCTGCTATCAGTCGCGTCAGCTGCAACCAGCTGAGCGGAACTATCCAGTGCATGACAAGGAACTCCTTGCCATGAAGTATGCACTCGCGAAGTTCAGAGTCTATCTATTAGGAGATAGACCCTTCGTTGTTTACACTGACCATGCGTCATTACGCACGGCAGTGAACAGCCCGCACCTTTCACAACGAATGGCGCGGTGGTTGTCATTCTTTGCGGAATACAACTTTACGGTCGAGTACAAACCAGGACGACTTAATGTCGTCGCTGATGCACTCTCACGTCGTCCCGACTTCGAAACAGTCGCGAAACCCAACAGTGAGACAGTCACTGTTGCGGTTATGACGTCCTCAGTTCCGTCTACAATGTTGTATGATGATGTGAGGCGGGCATACGCCCAAGATGGTGAGATAGTGAAGTTGTTGTCACATCTCTCCCAACCATCCCGAGAATCGTTGAAACGATTGTCGCCTGCGTATCGATCTGCATCAGATCGATACACTACTCGTAACAGTTTACTGGATTATACAGCCGTTTCTGGTGACACACCACGTGTTGTCATTCCAGATGATACTGATCTGCGTTTGCGGATCATGTTCGAGTATCACGATGCTCCTATAGGAGGACATCGTGGCCGAGAGAAAACATATCTCACGGTAAGTCGAGACTTTTACTGGCCCCGCCAGTATCAGTTTGTGCGAAAGTATGTTCGCGCATGCGAAGTCTGCCAACGAGTGAAGTCAAGTCCTTCACTGCGTGCACCTTTACAGCCTCTACCGGTTCCGGCTGAGTGCTGGGAATCCATCTCAATGGATTTTGTCTTCGGGTTGCCCAAAGACGCACGCGGGAATACGGGTATTCTCGTATTTGTTGACAGATTCAGCAAAATGGTACACCTTGTGGCTGTACCAGAGACAATCACGGCAAGTGGCTGTGCTTGTGTCTTTATTGACACCATCTTCCGACTTCATGGGTTGCCCCGTGAACTCGTATCAGACAGAGATCCACGATTCACTGCTGATTTCTGGCGTTCCGTGTTCAAATCACTCGGAACGCGCTTGAAGATGTCAACATCTGATCATCCAGAGTCAGATGGTCAGACGGAACGTGCCAATCGTGTCCTTGAATAGATACTTCGAGGATACATACACTCCTTTAAGAGTTGGAGTGAGTTTTTGCCAATGGTAGAGTTTGCCATTAACAACTCGGTGCATGCGTCCACGACACATACACCGTTTTACGTGAATGGCTTACGCCATCCGCGTGTACCCACCTTACTAGAGTGTAACTCTGGTTTAAGGGGGGGAGAGACTAGCGCGAGCAAAAACCGATTTGGTTCACGCTCATCACGCTCTGACGAAGAGATCATTGCGTTTGATGCCGATATCGACAACATTGATATCGAAGAAGATGATGCCAGTGAGAGCGAGGGAAGCGCTCACTGAAGAAAAGATTGATGTTGCTGCAGTGCACTCACAGCGCACTGAAGCTAACGAGTCATCAGATGAGTTCATATTGGCTCGTGAAACGGTAGTCCGTTTTGTGCAAGACTCCATCGCCGAAGCGGTGGATAAGCACAAGCAAAACGCAGTCAAGAATGGAAGGGCAAACACTCTTTTGTTTAATAAAGGTGACTTAGTCCTACTGTCTACGGTTAACCTACCAAAGCATGTAGTGACTAACTTGGGTAGCAGTAAACTACTACCCAAGTACATTGGCCCTTTTCGTGTATTGCACCGCCTAGGCAATGCATACACGATCGAGTTGCCACGTAAGATGCGAACGCATCCCACGTTTTACGTTGGTCGGCTTAAGCCGTACCATCAGTACGCTGATTCTTCCGATGAAGAACGCCCTTGCGCTCAAGCATCTCGCAGAGAGCCTTGTGCTCCCGATGGTGGGCATCAACAAGGGTCTGAAGAGCAGCTATCTCATCCCGAGACCGATCAGCCATCCCACGAGCTACCCTTAGCTCGTCACGAAGAGATGTCAGAGATCTCTCGTTCTCAAGCTGAGCAAAGGCAAACTCAGCTCGATGCTTCGAGACAGTGTCCGCCGGTTAGAGACGCCTGTCCCGCTCATGCTCGAGATCGTCGCGTAACCCTTGCGTTACGCGATCAAAGCAGCTCTCGGGAACACACCGATCCACATGATCGTGTGGAGAGCTTCTTTCCTCCTCCTCCACCTCCATTAGAGGACTCTCGCGGTGGCCAGCGCTATCTAGTTGAGCAGCTGTTGAACCACCGCGACGTGAACGGACGTCGGACGAGTTACCTCGTCCGGTGGCGCGGCTATCCCCCGTCCTGGGATTCTTGGGAGCCCCGCTCCCAATTGATGGTTGACGTACTGGGCCTGGTCGAGCAGTACGACGCGGCACATCCTGTGCCGCAGAAGGACCGCCGGAGAAAGTCTTCCCGGCACGGTCGTAAAGGGATTCAGGTTGTCAATCCCTTCGTACATCTCAGTAGAGACACGTACGCGCCACCACGGGCTGGTAAGGAGGTAAGCCTCCTTAGGTGCTCGTGCAGAGTTGTTCACACAACATTAGCACCAGTTTTCCCAAGAGAGGCAGGGTAATCCTTTCTCCCTTGACAGACGATGCAGATTGTAGCGTGCACCTGTCGGGGTTCGCTTTTCAAACTTATCACGAGCTTTGATAAGTTTGTCGTTCCAAACATCACGACCTACATCCTCGAGGTTATGGATGTAGGCGTTCCACGCCTGAAGTAGTGAGGGTCCATCACGCTTGTGATTCCCACTGTACCAACGATGTCTAAAGAAAGCATCGATGAAGAATTTCATGTTCAGCGCGATAGTCTTTCGCGCTGGGGTCAAGGTGATGGATCCCTGACGAATCGAACACCCGTGTTCGATAGCGATCACTTGTCGTCGCCGACAAGCGATTCATGACTGATTTTGGAGGCATCCATTCCTTCTTCTCGGGAGCGAGACGCAACACACTGCCGTCCCGCTCTTCCTGCGACGTGCCGACAGAAGGACTGGCACCTCGTTGCGAAGTGGCATCAATGGGAGAACCGACACCACTGTTCGCGCCCGAGTCTCGCGACCTCGAGCGCCTTCGCTTCGGCGATGGTTCTTCTGATTCATCAGATGAACCAAAGATGCTGCGACGCATAGCATCATCCATGCTACGCTTGGCAGGCTGCTTGGTTTCGATCGCCGTCGATACGGATCCGTCTTCCGTATCAGGAGAGTATGAGACACCGAGCTCATACTCTGAGAAGACATGAGTGTCTTCATGACGAGCGCCTGCGTCACCAAGTGACACAGGCTGAGTCGCTTCAGCAACCGATGGGACATCAGTTGCTGTGGTTTCTGCTTCGGCGTCCGCACAGAGACGTGCAGACGCGCTCTCGGCGGCCTTGCTCGCGCATCGCATGGGCTTGTTAACCATGCGATGAAATGTAGGAAAGTGGACGCGGACCAACAAGTGCAAACCCTGTCCCAAATGATTTGGGACGAGTATCCATTTAGTCAATCAGTCACTAAAGTGAATGATGGTTAAGGGAGGGGTGATGCAACGGGGTGAATCGTTACATAACAATTTATAAGAAATTGTTAATAGAATATAACTTTAAGAGTTAGATTCTCAGAATATTGTCATAAGGACAAATATTCTGTAGCACTTACAAGTAGTTCCTAATTGGTTGATATAGGCCATTATATCAACCAACGAAGACGCGCCACGACAGACGCACGCAATGAGTGGTGAGCAGATAACTGATTTACACATTTGTATTTAGACATAGTTAGATGAAGATAAATAGTGATTTATTGCAGACATTAACTATTATAAATACAGTTCTACTTTTTACTCTAACCAAGTACTCGCTTCTTCTTACCGTCTTCCTCTGCACGTACCAGTGTACGTGAAGTTACGAGGCACCGCCTTATTCTGTTATCAGAATCTGTAGCTTGTACTGTCACCAGTACAAGCTTCAGGGTGCCCCGTTACACTGAGGAGGCATTACTCGTTCGAGCAAACGCCAAACCGTCTCTCACTCATCACGTACTGAACACGAGATCACTACGTATGACGTCGATGTAGATTGCATTGACTTCGGTGAGAAAGAGGAAAGGAAGAGCGAGGTCGCTCCTAATAACCAGGTTACTGATCTTGCCGCAGTGTGCTCCAAGTTCACTGTATCCAAAGACAGCAAGTCAGGAGATGAATGCATGTTGGCTTGCAAAACGGTTGCCCGTTTCGTGCAAGATTCTATCGCAGAAGCGATGGACCGCCCAAGAAAAACGCTGACAAGAATGGAAGGGCAAACGTTCTTTTATTCAATGAAGGTGACCTAGCCCTATTATCTAACGTGGGTAGTAACTTGCGATCGCCCAGGTTTACCGGCTCGTGTGCTGCGCCGCTTAGGCAACACATACATAATTGAACTGCCACGTAGGATGCGCACGCATCCTACATTCTACGTCGGTCGCCTTAGGCCGCATCACCATCACGGATCTTCTTCCAGTGAAGAAATCCCTTGCACTCAAGCATCTCCAAAAAATCTTGTGCTTGCGGTGCTGACTATCAGCTCGCGTCTGGAGTTCGGATATCTCCCCGCGAAGCCGAGAGATATTCTGATGAGCTTTCACTAGCTCGTCGCAAAGAGAATGCTGTGCCTGCTCAAACTCAAGCTGGGCAAAAGCAAAATCTGGTCGATCCTTCTCCCGCTCCGAGGAGAGACGGTTCACTTTGTCGACCAGAATCACACGCTTACCTCTCTCGTGCTCGAGATTCTCGCGCAACTCACACGTCACGCACTCGAGCTGACTCACATTAACAGACTAGACCTGCAAAAAATCCGTCGAAGAGCGTGTTTCCTCTTCCGACTCATCCATTGATTGGTGTGAGGTGATAAACGCTTCCTCGTTAAATGCTTGTTGAACCATCACGATGTGAAGGGAAGTAGGACAATTTGCTCCCTCTGGTGGTGCGGGTATCCACTCTCGGCAGATCTTGGGAGCCTCGCTCTCAAATGCTAGTTCATGTTTTGGTCCTTGTCGAGAAGTATGACAAGGCACATCCGATGCCAAAGAAGGCAGCTCAGGAAACGAGCGCTTAGCACGCTTGTAGAGGGATTGCAAATTAGCTATTTCCTCGTGCATCTCTCGAGTGACACGTATCCTCCACCAGGTATCAGTCATCTTGCAGGCTTCCTTTGGAGCTCGTGCCAAGTAGTTCACACAACTTTGGCACGTATCACCCCAAGGGAGGCATGGAAGCCCGGTCTCTCTTGACAACAGATGCAGTTTAAAGCGTGCACCGGTAGAGGTACGTTTCTTAAACTGATTTCATGCTAGCAATAGCTTTTTATCCAGGCATCACGCCCAAACTCACCAATGTTGTGGATGAAATTGCTTCATGTACGATTCAACGAGGGACCATCACGCTTGTGATTCCCACTGTATTATCGATGCTTGGATAACGCATTGATGAAGGAATAATGTTCGGTGCAAAATTACTCGCAATAGAATTAAGCTTATGAAGTGTTGGTAAATCGAGCATTCTTATTCGACAACAATCACTCGTCGTGTCGGACAGGCAAATTAACACTCTCTGAGGAGGCAACCACGGCTTCTTCTCACAAGAAACGCGCAAAAATATTACAATCCTCAGAATCTTGCCTGGTTTCAACGGAATTACCGACACCATGAACATCCCGATCACCCGGACTCTGATTCATTTGCGTCACCGTCAAGATCGTTCTGGAGGCCGGGTCCACCGCCTTTCTCGCTGTTTGCCGAACCATTCCGTCTTGGAGACGGAGGGTCGGACTCGTCAGACGATCCGAAGATGTCACGACGCTCTGTAAGGCTTAAAGCACTTCAAGTAACCGAATTTGTCGGATCTATTCTAACCAATGCTGGTTCATTCTTGTCGCTTGTCTCCTTCGAGTCTATTTCATCGTCAGACTCACCAGAGCAAATGAGTTCGAGCTCGTAATCTTTGATGTCACGCGGTGCATCAATGAGAGCGCCTGTAGCATCCGCTGCTGCAGGATGAGTCGTGGAAGCAGCAGCAGAACTTATGTCAGCTACTTCTAGTAATTTCGTCTCCTCTGCGGCAGTGGAAAGGAGTCTCATGCCTGCGTTACCAGTAGCTTTGGCTGCACGCCGCACAGACTTGTTAACCGTGCGATGAAAATTCAAGATTAGGCGGATCGGACCAAGACTAGCGCAACCTGTTCCAGATCCACTCAAAAGATTCACTCAATCATCAATCATTCACTAATGTGAGTGACGGTTAAGGGGAGAGTGATGTAACGGGGTGCCTACGTAACATGATAATTCACAAAGGATATTATCGAGAACGAAAATGATGTTAGGACAAACTTAATATTCTCGCAATATTAATCTAATCGATATTACTGCTTCACAATGTGATACACTGCTCATTGGAAGATATAGGACTGAGATATCAACCAATAAAGTCTAGCCACGACAGAAGCACGCAATGAGTGGTGAGCAGATAGTTGCGATACATGTTTATATTTAGACATAGTTTAATGGAGTCAAATAAATACTAATTAAAAGGATCAACTGTACTGAATACAGCTCTAACTTTTGCCTTTGCTGATTACCCTAACTCCGTTTATACTCCTTCATCGGCACGTACGTGCACGCGACGTTGTCGGAAGAAAACACCCTTGCTGTAACGGGGTGAACCGTTACATAACAATTTATAAGAAATTGTTAATAGAGTATAACTTTAAGAGTTAGATTCTCAGAATATTGTCATAAGGACAAATTTTCTGCAGCACTTACGAGTAGTTCCTAATTAGTTGATATAGGCCGTTATATCAACCAACGAAGACGCGCCACGACAGACGCATGCAATGAGTGGTGAGCAGATAACTGATTTACACATTTGTATTTAGACATAGTTAGATGAAGATAAATAGTGATTTATTGCAGACATTAACTATTATAAATACAGTTCTACTTTTTACTTTAACCAAGTACTCGCTTCTTCTTACCGTCTTCCTCTGCATGTACGAGTGTACGTGAAGTTACGAGGCACCGCCTTATTCGGTTATCAGAATCTGTAGCTTGTACTGTCACCAGTACAAGCTTCAGGGTGCCCCGTTACACCTGGTAGCACTTCGTAGTCCGTCCAAGGACCGCGTTCACATCCAACATGAATATGTTGGATGATGAAGATGACCAAAGCTTTCACGCTACGCGTGACGGCTACTCCCATTTGAGCGATGTCGAATGGGATGCGGTTGAACGGATGGGTTCGACCATGGGCATCCATGCTGTTAGCGTCATGCTAGAGGCTCTCAATAGAGATGCCCAACATGCTACTATCGCCAAGTTCATTCAAAATGAACTTGACGCAGAACGCTAGAAAGTAGCCTTGCTTCACCAACAAGGTTCTCAACAAGCAGAGTTGTTGAGAGAACAGGGTGCTCAACAGTTTGAACTGTTGAGACAGCAGCAGGCTGCTGCTGGCGGGTCGATGTACTCGCGTCGACCCGAGACATTAAAGATTGTCATCTACAAGCATAGGGGAGTCGAAGAGGACTCCCTCTTGAGATGGATCATCGAAATGAGCGATGCCATAAGGGCGCGTCGCATCGACGACGGGGATATGCAAGTTGCATTTGCCCAATCAAATCTGGCAGGACGTGCCAAGACTTGGGCACTGGGGCTCAAGTTGCACGACCCATACGCGTTTGGGTCGTTGGAAGTCTTCAAGTCGCGGCTCAGACAAACGTTTGAACCGCCTAGAGCTGAGTTCAGAGCTCGAACCGAACTCTTGAAGCTCAAGCAAGGTAAGCGTGATGTGCACGCGTACGCGCAACATATACGACATCTTACGAGTTGTATAAGTTCCAATCCGGTGGATGAACACACGTTGGTTTCGGTGTTCATGCAGGGTCTTGCGGATGGTCCCGTCAAGACTCACCTGTTCCGGCTTGAACTAGATTCACTAGAACAAGCCATTTCCATTGCGGAACAGGAAGACTTCAGTCTGAGACAGGCTTGCGCCAGCTCGACATCATATCGTCAACCGAGACGATATGACAGCGGAGGTCCAGAGCCGATGGAACTCTGTTATGTAGAGAGCGAGAGGGCTCGCTCTACAGACTACAAGAAGTTTCAGAAATGCAACAGATGTCAGAAGACAGGACACTACGCTTACGAGTGTAGTGCCCCTCGTCCAGTGCCTCGCAACACTGGGCGAGATGACCGTCCGCCCATGAGAAAGGGGCAGGGACGCGTGTCCGCTGTTGGTGCAAAGATGCAACAACGAAATGGACCGTCAAAAAACGGACAGGATCAGTAGGTGCGGAGCACCCTACTGGTCCAGAAACGTCAAGAGAATTTGTAGGCATCTTGATGAAGGTTGCTCCCAACACACAAACGTTGTGCGTTGCTGCTCTAGGTAATGAGATCTCACTCATTACCTTGAAACTCGAAGTGACGAATAAGTTGTCCCTTCGAGCTCTAGTCAATTGTGGGGCGTCGAACAATTTTGTGTGACGCCAATCGCTAGAAGATGATCATTTTAAGTTCAGTGAATGTGACACACCTCCTACGAGGATGACGGTACGTCTTGCGACAGGCACAACCGTAACCGTCCTGAAGCGTATAGTGAAGATCCACTATACACTAGAAGATACCCAATATGACGATGACTTTATCGTATTGGATTTGGATGACAAATTTGATGCCATCCTTGGAATACCTTGGCTCAAAAGGTACGAACCACGGGTAAAGTGGCAACATCGAACAGTAACGATGCCTGCCGCTTGTTCACTAGATGACCATCTGGTGAATGTTTTGGAGCGTCCACAAGCGTGAGGATGTACTACGAGTGAGTGCGATGGCCTCACTTGTGGTACGGTCGTTAGTACGACTGCACAAAACCTTAGTGTAACAAACAGTTACACTTCGGAGCAAAGTTCCGGCGGCTATGAGGAAACACAGGCTGCGCCGAAGGTCCACCACTCGAATAAGTCGAGTGGACCGGGACAAAAATGTATCCCTAGTGGGGAACATCTAGAAGAAAAACAATCGATCGCTCAGGTTAAGCGAAACGATAATCCTAGATCGACTGGAGAGTCTTTCGTAGAAGATCTCGCTGTGGTTGCGCAACCACAGCTAGAGGAAGTAAAGGGAATAAGTCCCGATATTACAAATACGGCGGAAATAAGTTCCCCGAAACCCGCGGGAATAAGTCCCCGGGAAGCCGCAGGAATAAGTCCTTCGAGGCCTGAGGAAATAATTTTCCAGGAAATGACAGATACATTGAATGTCATAGTCAATAACGGATCAAGTGTAGGCGCTTATACACTTGATCTGATTGCGTCTCCGAAGTTGACTTCGGAGATCACTCAATTTCCAACGCTCGAACATAAAAGGTTCTTGCGTGATCTGCGTAGTGGCAAAGTCAAGCAGATCTGCGTGCTCGTCGCTGACGACGAGTGTGTAGCCGACATAAGGTCAGCAACAGTGTTCACTGAGAACGAGAGAGTTCTCAGTAGTTCATCGATGGACGAGAGTGTCCTAGATGAAACGACACGAATTGAGCGATATGACTCCCAATCGTGGGAATCGCTCAAGACAAATCCTCTCTATGAAGATTTGGTTGAATTCAAGGATGTATTCCTGAAACTGTTCCGTGCGAATTACCGAAGGATAAAGGTATTCGACACGAGGTCGAGCTTAAACCAGGCTCGAAGTACTGTGTCATGAAGCAGTGGCCACTGCCTCGTGAACAAGTACTTGCAATCGACAAGTTCTTTGCCGATCGTTTAGCTGCAGGCCATGTGAGGGAATCAACTTCCCCACATAGCTCTCCGACCTCTGTGTGCAAAAAGCAACAGGAGGGTGGCGGGTTGTGCATGCATTTAACAAATTGAACGCTGCAACGGTAACCGGCTCCGATACCGAGGAAGGACGTCATCATAGATGGTATGTCAAATAAAAACCATCTTTTCGTCCATGGATTTGATGAAAGGCTTCTATCAAATCCTTATGCGAGAACGGGATATACCCTATACCGCAGTTAGCACGCCTACGGCATTATCTGGGAATGGCTAGTAATGCCACAAGGGCTTAGTAATGCCCCTGCCACGTTCAACAGATGTGTATCACATCTGTTGAGACCAGTACGAGAGTTCGCGCCGAGTTATTTCGATGACGTATTCATCCATAGTCGAGCTATGGATGGAAAGTCGGACGTTGAGGTTCACAGATACCACGTCCGACAGGTTCTTACAATCATGCGAAAGCATCAATTGTATGCAAACCTCAAGAAGTGTATATTTGCAGCAAGCGAAATACCACTTCTTGGGTGCATCGTTGGTAAGAACGGTGTACGTCCTGATCCCGAAAAGATCAAGGCGATCACCGACTGGCCTGTGCCAGTTGATGTCAAAGGTCTTCAAAAATTCCTCGGGCTACCGGCGTATTTGCATAAGTATTCACGCAATTACGCCGAGATGACTGTGCACCTCTCTCGTTTTTTGAAAAAGAACGAGAGGTGGTTATGGAACGCTGAATGTCAGCGCTCCTTTGATGGTATCAAGCAGAGCTTGATACAATCCCCAGTCCTAGTAATTGCCTTTCAGGACAGGCCATTTCATGTGGTCTGTGATGCCAGCGATTTCGCAATCGGCTGTGCATTAATGCAGTACGATCTTGACGGCGTTGAACGCGTCGTCTGCTATCAGTCGCGTCAGCTGCAACCAGCTGAGCGGAATTATCCAGTACATGACACGGAAATCCTTGCCATGAAGTATGCACTCGCGAAGTTCAGAGTCTGTCGATAAGGAGATAGGCCCTTCATCGCTTATACCGACCATGCGTCATTACGCACGGCAGTGAACAGCCCGCACCTTTCACAACGAATGGCGCGGTGGTTGTCATTCTTTGCGGAATACAACTTTACGGTCTAGTACAAACCAGGACGACTTAATGTCGTCGCTGATGCACTCTCACGTCGTCCCGACTTTGAAACAGTCGCGAAACCCAACAGTGAGACAGTCACTGTTGCGGTTATGACGTCCTCAGTCCCATCTACAACGTTGTATGATGATGTGAGGCGGGCATACGCCCAAGATGTTGAGATTGTGAAGTTGTTGACACATCTCTCACAGCCATCTCGAGAATCGTTGAAACGATTGTCTCCTGCGTATCGATCTGCATCAGATCGATACACTACTCGTAACAGTTTACTGGATTATACAGCCGTTTCTGGTGACACACCACGTGTTGTCATTCCAGATGATACTGATCTGCGTTTGCGGATCATGTTCGAGTATCACGATGCTCCTATAGGAGGACATCGTGGCCGGGAGAAAACATATCTCACAGTGAGTCGAGACTTTTACTGGCCCCGCCAGTATCAGTTTGTGCGCAAGTATGTTCGCGCATGCGAAGTCTGTCAACGAGTGAAGTCAAGTCCTTCACTGCGTGCACCTTTACAGCCTCTACCGGTTCCGGCTGAGTGCTGGGAATCCATCTCAATGGATTTTGTCTTCGGGTTGCCCAAAGACGCACGCGGGAATACGGGTATTCTCTATTTGTTGACAGATTCAGCAAAATGGTACACCTTGTGGCTGTACCAGAGACAATCACGGCAAGTGGCTGTGCTTGTGTCTTTATTGACACCATCTTCCGACTTCATGGGTTGCCCCGTGAACTCGTATCAGACAGAGATCCACGATTCACTGCTGATTTCTGGCGTTCCGTGTTCAAATCACTCGGAACGCGCTTGAAGATGTCGACATCTGATCATCCAGAGTCAGATGGTCAGACGGAACGTGCCAATCGTGTCCTTGAAGAGATACTTCGAGGATATGTACACTCCTTTAAGAGTTGGAGTGAGTTTTTGCCAATGGTAGAGTTTGCCATTAACAACTCGGTGCATGCGTCCACGACACATACACCGTTTTACGTGAATGGCTTGCGCCATCCGCGTGTACCCACCTTACTAGAGTGTAACTCTGGTTTAAGGGGGGGAGAGACTAGCGCGAGCAAAAACCGATTTGGTTCACGCTCATCACGCTCTGACGAAGAGATCATTGCGTTTGATGCCGATATCGACAACATTGATATCGAAAAAGATGATGCCAGTGAGAGCGAGGAAGCGCTCACTGAAGAAAAGATTGATGTTGCTGCAGTGCACTCACAGCGCACTGAAGCTAACGAGTCATCAGATGAGTTCATATTGGCTCGTGAAACGGTAGTCCGTTTTGTGCAAGACTCCATCGCCGAAGCGGTGGATAAGCACAAGCAAAACGCAGTCAAGAAAGGAAGGGCAAACACTCTTTTATTTAATAAAGGTGACTTAGTCCTACTGTCTACGGTTAACCTACCAAAGCACGTAGTGACTAACGTGGGTAGTAGTAAACTTCTACCCAAGTACATCGGCCCATTTCGTGTATTGCACCGCCTAGGCAATGCATACATGATCGAGTTGCCACGTAAGATGCGAACGCATCCCACGTTTTACGTTGGTCGGCTTGAGCCGTACCATCAGTACGCTGATTCTTCCGATGAAGAACGCCCTTACGCTCAAGCATCTCGCAGAGAGCCTTGTGCTCCCGATGGTGGATATCGACAAGGGTCTGTAGAGCAGCTATCTCATCCCGAGACCGGTCAATATCCCTACGAGCTACCCTTAGCTCGTCACGCAGAGACGTCAGAGCTCTTTCGATCTCAAGCAGAGCAAAGGCAAACTTAGCTCGATGCTTCGAGACAGTGTCCGCCGGTTAGAGACGCCTGTCCCGCTCATGTTCGAGATCGCCGCGTAACCCTTGCGTTACGCGATCAAAGAATCTATCGGGAACACACGGATCCCCATGATCGTGTGGAGAGCGTCTTTCCTCCTCCTCCACCTCGATTAGAGGACTCTCGCGGTGGCCAGCGCTATCTATTTGAGCAGCTGTTGAACCACCGCGACGTGAACGGACGTCGGACGAGTTATCTCGTCCGTTGGCGCGGCTATCCCCCGTCCTGGGATTCTTGGGAGCCTCGCTCCCAACTGATGGCTGACGTACTGGGTCTGGTCGAGCTGTACGACGCGGCACATCCTGTGCCGCAGAAGGACCGCCGGAGAAAGTCTTCCCGGCACGGTCGTAAAGGGATTCAGGTTGTCAATCCCTTCGTACATCTCACTAGAGATACGTACGCGCCACCACGGGCTGGTAAGGAGGTAAGCCTCCTTAGGTGCTCGTGCAGAGTTGTTTACACAACATTAGCACCAGTTTTCCCAAGAGAGGCAGGGTAATCCTTTCTCCCTTGACAGACGATGCAGATTGTAGCGTGCACCTGTCGGGGTTCGCTTTTCAAACTTATCACGAGCTTTGATAAGTTTGTCGTTCCAAACATCACGACCTACATCCTCAAGGTTATGGATGTAGGCGTTCCACGCTTGAAGCAGTGAGGGTTCATCACGCTTGTGATTCCCACTGTACCATCGATGTCTAAAGAAAGCATCGATGAAGAATTCATGTTCAGCGCGATAGTCTTTCGCGCTGGGGTCAAGGTGATGGATCCTTGACGAATCGAACACCCGTGTTCGATAGCGATCACTTGTCGTCGCCGACAAGCGATTCATGACTGACTTTGGAGGCATCCATTCCTTCTTCTCGGGAGCGAGACGCAACACACTGCCGTCCCGCTCTTCCTGCGACGTGCCGACAGAAGGACTGGCACCTCGTTGCGAAGTGGCATCAATGGGAGAACCGACACCACTGTTCGCGCCCGAGTCTCGCGACCTCGAGCGCCTTCGCTTCGGCGATGGTTCTTCTGATTCATCAGATGAACCAAAGATGCTGCGACGCATAGCATCATCCATGCTACGCTTGGCAGGCTGCTTGGTTTCGATCGCCGTCGATACGGATCCGTCTTCCGTATCAGGAGAGTATGAGACACCGAGCTCATACTCTGAGAAGACATGAGTGTCTTCATGACGAGCGCCTGCGTCACCAAGTGACACAGGCTGAGTCGCTTCAGCAACCGATGGGACATCAGTTGCTGTGGTTTCTGCTTCGGCGTCCGCACAGAGACGTGCGGACGCGCTCTCGGCGGCCTTGCTCGCGCATCGCATGGGCTTGTTAACCATGCGATGAAATGTTGGAAAGTGGAGTCGGACCAACAAGTGCAAACCCTGTCCCAAATGATTTGGGATGAGTATCCATTTAGTCAATCAGTCACTAAAGTGACTGATGGTTAAGGGGGTGGGTGATGTAACGGGGTGAATCGTTACATAACAATTTATAAGAAATTGTTAATAGAGTATAACTTTAAGAGTTAGATTCTCAGAATATTGTCATAAGGACAAATATTCTGCAGCACTTACGGGTAGTTCCTAATTGGTTGATATAAGCCGTTATATCAACCAACGAAGACGCGCCACGACAGATGCACGCATTGAGTGGTGAGCAGATAGTTGATATGCACATTTGTATTCGGACATAGTTAGATGAGGATAAATAGTGATTTATAAACAGACATTAACTATTATAAATACAGTTCTACTTTTTACTTAAACCAAGTACTCGCTTCTTCTTACCGTCTTCCTCTGCACGTACGAGTGTACGTGAAGTTACGAGGCACCTACTTATTCTGTCGTCAAAATAAGTAGCTTGTACTGTCATCAGTACAAGCTTCAGGGTGCCCCGTCACAGCTTGTGCTGGGACAGCTTAATCGATCGGTGCCTCGTTACATGTAAGTAAAATACGCGACATTCTACCTACACTGAAATCAGTGTGGGTCGTTTGAACTGTGTCAGTACGAGTTTAGGGCGCCCCGTGCTATTTACAAGCTACTTATTCACTGTTAGTGCCATCGTAATGGTGCGATGACACATTTGAAATATTCGCGATCGAAAGTGGACACGGACACAAAGTATAGCACACAAAAAGTCGTTCCAAATTAAACTACTTCGGTAAGGTCTTACTCCAGCGTGCATATCGATGCACTATTTCGATCGCAACGGAAGTACTAATATCTTCACATTCGTCGATTTCGTAAAAGAGGCTTTTAAAAGTTTTGCCCTTGTCCTTCCACTGCTGGAACAACCATGTCTCACACTGGCGAGCTGCCTCCGCCTGCCCTTCGTATTTCTGCAATACTACCAGTTGATGGGCAAACTTGAATTCACTTCTACCGAAGGATTCCATCAACCACCTGTTCAGATAAGCGTTCCTCTCCTCTTCTTTGAATCCTTTGTGCACCATGAACGCTATCACCGTGTCCCTGTACTTGTTCTCGAACAGGTTCAAAGGGTGAGGTATCAGCATATCAATGACGTCATCGACGGATAGCCCGCGCGTGTTCCATTCAGCAACCAGATCGCCCTGCACACGCTTCGCAATATCGCTGGCGTGAGGAACCGCCTTTGCATCTGCTACTAACGTACTGAACACAGCTACCGGGAAAGGAGACTGTTCTCTCAACATGTCTTGCAGTGTATATGCCGTTCCTCTTCGGAGGTTGTAGCATTCGATATACGCTCGCAGTCTTTCCAAAAATGGTAGTTCAAAGATCTTGTATCCCCACAGCGGCCCTAGAGTATGGAACACGTCGGGTATGGACTTTCCTTCGCGAAACCAACCGTGCACCTGCTCATCCAAAATCTCTGTAGCCGCTGCAGCCCGGAAGTTCTTGCCAGATACTTGAGCCTTGAGTAACACCTCTGTTGTGGCTGCGCTTCCGTACTTCACTAAAAAAGCATTCATTAACACGCCGGCACCGTGAGGATCCTTTTTGGTTGTCACCTCCATGAACTTCTTCAAAGCCAACAGGTCCCGTTGTCTGAGACTATTCCAGACGGCCTCGAAATCGTTCTGGCCATCTATACTAGGTAATTTGGCATGGAATTGGTTCAGAATCGCTTCAGCACTCATGTCCTCCTTCAGCCACGCCCTGGCTTGCCAAACCCCGTAGATCTTCGCTGCGAAAGAGTTGATCCTCTCCAACGCGGTGCTGATCATGGATGGTATTCTCTCTTCTGGGTTCGTTGTCTCGTGTGCCCTTTGCAACTGGGAGGCATAAGTGTCTTTGGAGTCGCCAGGAGGGGAGCGAAGCTCAGCCTGGGAGTTGGCTTCTGCCACGTTGAGGCTGGGATCCGCGAAGGAATTCGTCACGTACGTCAGCATCACACTAGAGGCCAGGAGCGCGGTGATGACCAAGGTGTACCGCATTGCTGTTTGGTGATGTGGTCTGTCCTGGGGGCGAATGATCAAAATTGTAATGACTGAGTGCAGTGATGTGAAGAGCCCTTGGCTTCTGAATGGTTCTGGTGGAGGCCTACTCGACCTGCATGTAAAATGTGTGATCTGTTCCGGACGCATTATACCCACAACTGGCCACCATGTTCAGTCTTTGTAGTGGAAGTTAACTCCTTACCAGGTGTTTTGCACACGATCCTAGATTTGATGAGCATCTTCGTAGCTGCGAACGAACAAGCTGACGACATGTACATTCTTACAGCAAATATCAAGGAGGTTCATCCCATACGATGATACAAGAGCGAGATTGTATGTTTCTCTGCGTTTTGGGTAAATTGGTGCACCAACATTCAGCACATTCTGCGGGCTTCGCGAGCGACCGCTTCCCGGACACTCCCCTCGATGCCTGATCCACTGTCCTGATCTGAACGTTGCGTGAATGCCATCTTCAAGCCAGCTCTCAATTGACGATGCAATGGCCCGATCAGGAGGGACAGGGCTCATGATTGTTTAGTTGCTGAGGCTCAGACTGTCTATTATAGCTACAGATCACTGATTAGATGTCTGGTTGTGTGGTGACCACCACGTGTCATCTACCATGACACAGCCTTACCACTTCTGCTGGCTCAGGACGTCGGCCGTCAGGGTGAAGCACTTATAAAAGGGCCCGTGGAAACCGTCCGTTGACCAAGTCCGAGGTTAGATTCTTGTGATTTCGAGATATGTAAGACGTCTTCAAAATTCCAAGCCAGGATATTGACGCCGGTGGTGGCTGCTTGGCGACGTCCGATCCACACAGTTACAGGCACACAGTCGGTCTCGGTTGTGGCATTCGCTGGTACTGCTGTATCGGATCCGACGAGCGATTTCGTGGAGTGTGGTTTTGGTCACATATTTTTTTAAATCGGATAAGACGAGTGCACATTAGGAATGTCCGTGCTGCCGATCACAATGGAGTAAGACTGTTTATGTATGCACCATCGTACCCAAGGCTCCGCCCCACGCAGGATGACGCGGGGTAGGCCTATCCTGCGTCCCATCTTTGCGCAGGACGGGATGGGACGCTGGATACTGCGGGACGAGATCATTGAGCATTTTCCGCTACATTTACTTCGCAGCGACCAGATCTGCAGACACATGATCGCCTTCATATACGTGATGGTAATGAAGAACGAGGGATATAGTCAAACAGTATACTTCTTCTTGATGTGATCATTGCTTACCTGCTACAACAAGGGTAGAAGCTTCATGCCTTATCCTCTCGATCGTGATTAGTACTGCCGATGGCAGGCTCACACAAGAAGGGCTCTTTTCAAACGCGCGTAGTGGTCATGAAATTACCAAGATTTACCGCATGCATTAACGTCAATGCAGTTGATATTTGTGAGTAGCAACGTCTTGAAGCATGATCTTGGCCACATTTTTCAAGCCATCGCGATTGCTTAAAGGCGATTCTAAAGTTTGGCGGAATGGTAATACCTCTTGACGAGACTTTTGAGCAATCGAGTCACTACGAAAAGAAACTCACCTTCACCATACATTAAAGTCGCAAGGGTCCGGTAGGCTAAGGAAATTCATCGGGCCGTCGCTAGGGGCAGCCAAATCCTCTCTACAAGCCTTTATAATGCCTGGATGCATGCCTTGGCAGAAAGGTCGAATAAGAATAATGTATATTGAATATGACGATGAATGCATAAAAATAGATGACGCTTTCATTTAACGCTCTCTTGACTCCCACAGGACGTTATGATCGTAGAAAATTAACAGAATCTCGATGTAATATACTACGACAATAATGCGCGGACGCGCGGGATGGGACCTTGCAGGACGGAGCCCTATTCATACGTCCACGCTAGGATTGAGAAACTCGCAAGTAGAAAAAGCGAGGAGAGCCCTCGCATTCGCACTAATACAGACATAGCTCATGTTTCAGCGGGTGTCTGATGAAAAGCGGTACACCGCAGCTACAAGTTCGTGGTGATCGCTTCCAAACGCGTCTGCGATTCGCGAGGGAGCGTTTGGAAAAGGTATCTACGTCTATGGAAAGACTGCTCCGTGACATGCAAAACGTCAGAAGGAACGGTCTAGTCTGCGGGACAGAACACGGACAAAGGTCTTGAAGCAGTGTTGCTGCTGCCCACAACATCACACACTCTCTTTAAAGCGGATGAACGACAAGACCACGCTTTTCATTAGTTGTAGACGAATGCTTTTCCAAGCCACGTTGCTCGCAGACCGCGCCTCTTGCGACTTGGCATGGTGTTAGCAGAGCTCAGTAGCTACTGCGACTGATTGATACCATCTAACCAATGCCTTCCAGGTCATACGTCAAGAGACACGCGCACCGTCCGACCACACGTCGACGTCTAAGCCTATCGTGCGCACACATGTCGTCCAGACTACCACGTCGTGGCCCCACCTTAGGAGCCTACATAGCCAACGTTGCTAGTAGAGCTTGACAAACTGCGTTCTATGTGCTCTGCGTTTGTGGCAACTGCCGCTTTCATGCGTGTGCTCTACGTGTAAGTAATATGCCTTCAAGTAAGACCAGAAGGACTGTCGGTGCTCTGCATACTTGATTGTCACAGCGGTTGCGATCCACAAGAGCAGAAGCGGTGGTCCGCTTAGTTGTCACTTCGTCCGTCTGTCTTGTAGATCCAAGTGGCATCATCCTCACCCACCCCGACATTTTTGGTCTACTCTTCTCGTCCCCACCGTCTCGTAGCTCACAGTTCAATACTCGACGCATGCTGTGCCACAGCGGCTCGATGCTTTTCGCGATTTGACATCTCGTAAGAAGAGATCGTCTCGCTTCAAAAACACTCAAGCTCATGCTATTCTGCGCTCGGTAAAATAAAGACTACCGATCACCGTAGCACAATGAGCTTGTCGGCGTTGAAAGAAGGGCTTCATATGCTTGGAGATACGGCTGAAGAGACTCTTCTGGAGTACCTCCCTGCCGAGAACCAGAGCCCTGCAACGACTGTCGTGTTGACATGTCGAGCCTACAATGCAACAACAGGATGCAAGTGCTCGCCTCCTGCCCGAACCGCTACACATCCACGCAGCATCGGAAGAAGACACAGTTCCGGAGTCTCTGAGTCCGTCTGAACCACGAGCTCCTCTCTCCCAACTCGAAAGTAAGTGTCAGCTGCATATCTCGATCTCGCCTGCTCGCACGCACATGCCCGCACGACGTTTTCGTCTGCTCCTTCGTGACGTTTCGACGCGCCAATCGCGCCACAACGCGATCGCGTCTGTCGTTCGGCATGCAGAGCCGTGTGCAGAGCGACACGCAGTCACTCGCACACTCTCGCAAGTCCAACGCCACGTCCTTCTCCATACATTAAAGAGAGAGGAGAGAGGAGAGACCTTTAACACTTCCGTACGTAGCTCCCACCACCAACCCCAAAGGTCTCAGCATCATGACGGCAGACGCCGCTCTCGTCGCCCCCTCGTATCGATCCAGCGGCAAAGCCGACGCCAAAAGCCGCTGCGGTGGCAGCCATCGCGACGAGTGCGTCGACCCGCTGCGTATACCAAGCGAGCCGACACGTGGACCGTGTCCACGTATACAGACCGAGCGTATACACGCGGCCACGAAGTCCGTCGTGTCCTGTAGGACCGAACCTAAGCAGTCGCCGCCAAAACAGCATAAGAAAGCGCGCAAGCAACAGCATAAGCAACAGCATAAGCAGGCCAAGCGACGCAGTCACAGCGTCCACGAGCTCCCTTCTGCTGCTACTTCAGCTGCTACTTCAGCCGCCCACCACGACTCGTCCGTCTCCCCCCCTTCTTTGCGAAAGAACCGGTCGGTCTCACTTGGGGCCAAGAAGCACGTGATCTGGGGCGACGTCTCGGCCCGGGAGTTCGCGCGGTTCCCCGGCGGAGGCGGCGCCGTGCCGTACGATGGCACGTGGGCGCTCGGCCTCGGGCACCAGGTGTCCGACGTGGCGCTTGGCAGTGTCTTGGAGCGCGAGACGCGGCGGCAACAGACGCTGCAGGACCGCGTCGAGCACTTGTCCCGAGCCAGACGCCGCGACGTGCGGGAGGGCGAGACCCGTCAATTTGACTACCGACGAGGGGTGGAGAACCCGCTGTTTGCGAGGCTGAGTGAGGAGGAGCGGAAGCGGGTGTTCGCACTGGTGCAGGAGGAGAAGGAGGTGGAGCTGAGGGGGAAGACGGGGCCAAGTCGTGCGAGTGAGACGCGGCTGCCGTCGCCTCTGCACGGGCCCAACCCGTCGCGACGGAAGAACTCGACGGCAAGTCTCGACGCCTTTGAAGAAGGCGCCAGTGGAGACGACGCGGCGTGGCGGACGCCGGACTTTGGCTGTCTCTCCATCGAACAGCTCGATGAGTTCACGCGCATCCGGGACTCTCGGGACGGAGCCGGTGGCTGCTCGTGTGGCGACTTGGTCAAGAAAGTGGCCAAGATGAATGTGAAGAAACTACGGGCGTTCTTGCAAGAGCGACAGGTGGCGCAGCTCCCGGGAGTGGGCAAGACGGAGCTGATGGCGGCTGCGAAGAAGCTGGCCCGGGAGCAGAAGAACTGCCAGAGCACGGACTCGGACTGCGAGTGTGCGCGCAATGGCGTGCCGTGCCACTCGGACGTGTGTGAAGGCTGTGCGGGTGACTGCTGCAATCCGTTCCAGCGCTACGTGTACAGGAGCGTGGAAGTGCAGCAGTACCGCAAGGAGCAGCTGGCCAAGTACCAGCAACTTCAGGGTAAAGTGCAGCAACCAGACGACGTGACTGCGTCTGTCTGCGTCAATTGATGATGTCCGTCTGAAAGGACGATGGGGATGACCGAGGAAACACCTCGTGGGGTCCGAATGCCACAAGTGCATTGGACCAGAACATGTAAAAACAAAAGTGAAATGAGCTCGTTCAGCTGATCAAATGCCTGGACGTCCAGTTACGAACTTTGATGCAATTCTACCCTGAGGATGCGGCAGCCTGAGTAGCTACAAGGTGGCAGGAAGATGACGTTGGAAAGAGGTCATGATGCTGTAACCTTTAACGACGAAATCATCCGAGCGCAGAGCAAGATTTGAAAAAGATCGAGACAAGTTGAAGGTGGACAAACAGATGCTGCAGTACGGACAGGTGTACGTGGTGCGTTATCGCAGCAGGACAGGCAGTCGGAAGCTAGGATACGGTGGAATGGTATGTTTACAATCAGTGGTCGCGCTGTTGCAGCGATGCAATGGAGAGACATTCATTCACACAGTATCGAGCGCAAACATGCAAGCGCGACATCCGAATGGAGAGAAATGCGTGTACAGGTACAGTCAAACACATTTCACGTCCATTCTAGCAAGTGGCTGGCTCTGTCTCCGCTCTTCGGCCAAGCGGGAGGTACTCGTGATGGCCAACGGATCAACTGACCGCTTCTCTAGCACCTTGACTGCTCTGCTGCTTTCTCCTAAAAAACACACTGGCTCAGCAACTCCGTCTGCGTGTAGATGGCTGCACTGGGCTCGACTGCACATATTCCCCCGGCGATAGCAACGTGTCTCAACTACCGTCGTCGGGAGAAGATGCTGCGGCTCACGCGGCTAGCAGGCTTACTGCTGCTGGGCTGCGTGGCTCGTTTGTTGCGGCGCTTGTAGACGGCAATCTGGTCATCGACACGAACACCCCACTGCAGGTGCTCCGCAGTCACGGCAGCGTTCAGGAACAGATTCAGCTTCTCTGCACGCTCGCCAATCGTCTTTTGTGAAAAGTTGCCCACTAGGTGACGATGCGGTAGGTCCGGAATGTCTCGGCGTTTCATTCCGTTCTCCTTCATGAGACGGTCACACAGCAAACTATGCCACGAAATAGACACAACCGTGTTAGCGTCACACTTAGAACCATATAAATGCAGCAAGAGCACGTACCGGAAGGTGCTGTAACGTTTCCAGCAGAATACCGTGCCGTAGTTGGTCGTGCGGATTTCCAGCTTGTACTGGATGAATCTCGTGCCTTTGCGGTTCACAATGCGGCTGTCGACAATGCGAGCCGATACGAGTCCAATCTCATCGGGGACTGCAAGTGATCACACATCACAACGTCAGCAAAACAAGACACTCACAACGAGTATCCCGGAATAAAAATCAGCAAGCAACGTACTTGGCAGCGACGCATCCTCCACAATCGCGCGCTCCTCTTCTTCTTCCACGTACACAGCAACGTCTTTGATCTGCACGAACGCCAAGAACTGGTCGCCGTCCGAAGCATTCACCTCCGTGTTGATTGCGTAGCATCCAACGTGAGGGTCAAGCCCCACGACTTCTCCCGGACCAAACGGCGTGTCCACCTTCGTCCGCGGTGACAGGATCCGTTCGTCGTCCAGGTTGACGTCGCCGCTGGGCACCGTAATCTCCATGCCACCGACCGAGCTGTCCATCTTGACCGCGTACGTCTCGCGCTGTTTGTCGTAACTGACGATCCGGCCCGGATCACGCCGACGCACAAGCACCGGCACGTCCTTGGACATCGACTGCTCGTACTTGTCCGTCTTCTCCTGCTGGATCCGCTCCTGTAGAAGCCGCTCCTCTTCCTCTTTTGCACGCTGGATAGCCAACGTCGCTTCCACAAGCCGGCGCTCCTCTGCCTCGCGCTCCTGTCGCGCCTGCTCTTCCTGTTCCCGAACTCGCACTTCCTCTTCCTCTCGCGCCAGCCGCTCCTCCTCTTCCCGCGCCTGCACAGCCAGCAACGCCGTCTCCTCCTCCTGCTTTCGCAGGAGCTCCTCCTCAACCCGCCGCTCCTCGTCCGCCCTGCGTTGTCGCTCCTCCTCCTGTGCCCGCAGCAATTCCTCCTCCTCCATTAGCCGCTTCTCTTCCTCCTGTTGTTTCCGAAGCAGTTCCTCCTCCTCCTCCCGACGTCGCTCCTCCTCCTCTTCCATCAGTCGCTCTTCTTCTTCCTTCTCCAACAGCCGCGCCGCTTCCACCAGCGCCGCTTCTTCCGCCACCCGAATCCGCTCCGCCTCCTCCAACCGCGCACCTTCTTCCCTCGCCAGCCGCGCACCTTCTTCCACTCGATCCGCCTCCAGCTCCACCACCTGCGTTCCCTCTTCAACACGTCGCCTCTCCTCCTCCTCCTCCTCCTCCTCCTCCTCCACACGTCGCCCCTCCTCCTCCTCTTCAACACGTCGCCTCTCCTCCTCCTCCTCTTTAACACGTCGCCTCTCCTCCTCCTCCTCTTCAACACGTCGTCTCTCCTCCTCCTCCTCCACACGTCGCCTCTCCTCCTCCTCCTCGGCCGCTTTCCGCGCCTCCTCCACTCGTCGCCGCTCCGACGCCGCTTCCGCCTGCTGCAGCCGCACCGCCGCTTCCGCCGCCCGCTCCCTCTCCACCTGTTCCCGTCGCAGCCGCCGCGACTCGTCCACGCGCGCGTCGTACGCCGCGTCGTCCACTTCCTTCGCCGCGCGCTCGTCGTCCGAGAGCTCCTTGAGCTCCTCCGCGTCCCGTCGCGCCTGGTCCTGCCGCGCCAGCTCGGCCATGAACTCGGCGCCGTGCTTCGCCCGCAGCTGCCGCACGGCGAACGCTCTCCCGAGACTCTGGATCTTGGTCGCGTTCTTGTGGACGTACGCCATGGTTTTTGGACGATGGAGGTACCAGAACTTGACGGCCGCTTTCGAGCTCATGATCGTCTCGAGGTCCAGCGGACGCAGCTCCGTCTCGTCGGACTGCATGGCTTTGTGCGTGGCTTCATCTCGGTGCAGCGCTTCGTGGTCCGTGCGGACAGTCGACTCGCGGCCGTCGTTCGGTTTCCAGTACGACGAGTACATGGTGTTTTGTGGACGACGGAGCGGGTTTGTGGACGACGGAGCGAATTTGTGGACGACGGAGTGATGGGTGTGGACGACGGAGTGGTGGGTGTACGGACAAGTTGTTCGATTGGAACGGATTTGTGTACGATGGAGGTGGGAGGAGGGACTCGACACGGGCGAGTAAAGAGGCGAAATGGGCAGAGGGAGAGCGGGCGACGAAGGTGGTGGTGGTGGCGCCGGATATCGTGTCGTGCCGTCGAAGCGGACGGAGGCGGACGAGAGACGAGACGATCGGGTCGAAAGGGGAAACCCACCCGTTTCGTACGGGACTGTCTGACTCTGTCTGTCCGTCCGTCTGTCGGTGGCTTGGTGGGTTTGATTCCGTCTGCAAAGACGAGACGACCTGACCGCTGGGCTTTGACTACCACTGTTTAGAGAAAGTTGGAAAGATATCATTCCATCGTGCCAGCGCGGCGAATAGAGCAATAGACATTACTTCTATCTGTACGTGTGCATGTGTGTGCATGTATTTATGTATGTTTGTATGTATGCATGTGTGTGACCTTGGCATGTGTTCATGCATAGCACGGTCGACTGCCGTTTCAGAGTGTGCACGACGTGTTTGTAATGTGCCGTTATCTGGCAGGACCGCTTTCGACCGGACACTCGATCAAAACCAACGACTGTGCAGCGTCTATGTTATGGACGCATGTGCTCGCTGCCGTCATGTCGGACGCAACAGCGAGGTTCAGTCCATACAACTCGTTGCGTTCTTCGTTCCTATGTCATAGCCTTAGTACCAGCATCTTATTAGCTAAGCTTCTGGTCTTTTCGCTTGTAGAAGGTGATCTGCTTGACGTTAGAAGCACTTGCTTGTGGTAACACGACAAGCGAGGTAGGGTGTGGATGACTCGTTGTCATCGTTTTCAGCATTTTAGTGCTACAATGCTGGCCGATTAACGACAAGAAGACCGGAAGCGTGGTGGTCTCCAGATCATCGTCATAGAATACGCAGACCAGCTATACAGCATGTCGAATCTAGTGCAGCTACGTGCAGGTTATCGCTGCAGCACGACGTCCAGTTGTACTGGAGACACGTGGTCGTACTCGATACCAACTCTTCCTTTGTAATGACTACACTGCTAGTGAACGCGCCACCTTGTAACAAAGCGATCATCGCCCGCCACAAAAAGCTGTCGTGAGTCAGCAATCCACTGGCAATTCGTCACAGCCTGGCATAACGTGATCAACCGCTCACGTGCTCTCTGCACATGTAGCCAAGTCGTTCAATCTGCGTATCCGGATGCTGCAATGTATCACGAATGTACAGGCCAAAAAAAAGAAGACGAAGAAAAAAAAGCGCGGTACGATCCACGGCCGTTACGAACCACCCCAACTTCAACATTCACTTAATATCCACGTGCGAGCCAATCACATGACGAGGAACGACTGGCTGTCAACGCTGTTCAGAGGTCTCATCTACGTTGTCTATCACCGACCAGCTTCAGCAGCTCAGCTCCAGTTCCGAGCCAAATGCTGCCGTCGCGTCTTCGCCGTGGCAGTCAAGCGCTGCAGTGGCCCTCGCTGTCTCCTCTTGCCTCCAATCGCCTGTTCTCTGTACGCACGTTCCAGGACTTGGGGCTCGACGCGCGCCTTGTCTCGGGGCTCAACGAGAAGCACATTACGACGCCCACTGACATCCAAGCGAAGAGCATTCCAGCCATTCTGGCGCGAACCAACGTGCTGTGTACAGCGCAAACCGGTACAGGCAAGACACTGGCGTACTTGGTTCCCGTGGTCGAGCAACTGCTGCGCAAAGAGGCGGCCAGGCAGAAACAGTACGAGAGTCAGGGCAACAAAAGCCCTACCGAGGTCGTTCGGGGACGTCCTGGGGCATTGGTGCTGCTGCCTAGTCGAGAACTCGCGTTGCAAGTGGCTTCAGTAGCCAAGCAGCTGTCGCACTCGGCCAAGTTTGCCTCTTGTACAGTCACGAGCGGCGAGCGCAAGAGCATCCAGCAGAAAAACACGGCACGCAGACTGGATCTCATCATTGGCACGCCTGGACGCGTGGCCAAGTGCATCAGCATGGGAGACTTTTTCATCTCCCGTATTGATACCGTCGTGGTTGATGAAGCTGATACAATGTTTGACGCCAAGATGGGCTTCCGCAAAGAACTAGATGCAGTGCTAGAACCGATCCAAGCCAGTGCGGCCAAGCGCAATCAACCGCTGCAGGTGATCTTGGCAGCCGCTACGATCCGCTCGCCGATCGATCAGGTTCTGAGGAAGAAGTTCAACGGCCTACGTGTCGTGAGCGACGACAAGATCCACAAGACGCCAACGACCATCAAAGAGGAATTCGTGCGCGTGATCCCAGAGTCCAAACACTCGGCTTTGCGTGAGACGCTGCGTCTCCGCAGGCGGCATGCAGCAAAGACGATGATCTTCTGCCGCAACTCAGCAAGCGTGCGGTCCACCGAGCACATGCTGCGCGAGCACGGCTTTCAGGCATCAGTCTGTCTGCATGGTGACATGCCACCGGCCAGACGTCGTGACGCCATTCAAGCGTTTACTGAGGATGCCAATGTAAATGTCCTCGTGTGCACAGATCTTGCTGCTCGTGGTCTAGATTTTGACTCGGTGAAGCATGTCATCATCTTCGACTTCCCCAAGACTGCTGTTGACTACGTTCATCGCGCTGGACGAACCGGTAGAGCGGGTGAGCCAGGCCTTGTGACCAGTCTAGTGACGAAGCACGACCTTGCGCTCGCTATGAGCATTGAGAACTCGAAACGCAGTGACAGCACGATCAAGGAACTGCGTGAAGACGCGTCTGCATCTTCTCCGATCACTGCATCTCGACAACCAGCGTCAAGTGATGAAGTAAAGGAAGACCAAGCGCGTAGATATCCCCAAAACGTGCGAGGCGGCTTTGGTCGAGGCACGAAAAAGCTGCCGAAGCACAAGATTCGGACACCACGTCCGAGTGGGTAAGACGCTGGCTACAGTGCAATACGAGGAGACATCTACTGCGCAGGGCTACAGACTACACATCAGAAATATCACGGCCACCGTCAATCGTAATGGAAGAAAACCAGTTCATCTATCGTATACTGCAGTTACCTAGCTTTTCGTGGCAGCCATGCGGCGATACAGCGCCTCAAGCTCCCGCTTGGCATCACCCGGTGGAAAGTTGGCCAGGTCAAAGTAATGAGGCGCGATTTCTACGAGCCACTCGCCCCTGATCCGAGTGTTCAGGCGAATATAGTTGCGGCTTGTAAGCACGAACTCGTTGTACACGACCCAGTCCGGCTTCTTGTCGAGTACACACGATGGGTGCAGGTGCACCATCTGGTTGTCCTTCACAGTCACGAAGTGGCCTTCGGCAGCTTTGTGCGCAACCTGCATGAAAAACCCAGACACCAACGCCTTAATGATGTTCGGGTAGTACTGAGGTGAATGGATGTCCAGAGTGGACTGCGTCGGCATTTCCAATCGTTTCATATTGCGAATCAGCTGGTCGCGCATGTTTGACGCGCTCTGCAGCGATCGGCTGTTCAAATAGTTCTCGAAGCACCAGTTGGCATCACCATTGTTCAGTTTGTACGCGTGAAACACGTTCAACAGGGTGAGGTGGTCACCGTCTGAGTGAGCGAAGTTTGCCTTGGCTTCGTTGGCAGCCTTGGCGTCGTTCTTAGGACGAACAAAAGGCTCTTGGACCGACAGCATAGCCACGATCGTAGCCACTTCCTGCGGGACCTGATACTTTGCGGACGAGATCAACATCTTAGCCAGCTGCGGTAGCACAGGAAGCATAGCCATCTGACGGCCGAGGTCCGTGAGATCACCCTCATCACTCAAGGCGCCAAGATAGTTCAACATTTCCAGCGCACGCATCAATGTCTCGGGAGCCGGAGGGTCCATGAAATCAAAGTGCACCAAATCGTCAATGCCCAGTTGCTTCAGTGTCAGCACGACGCCGCTCATCTCAGAGCACAGAATCTCTGGGTACGTCTGCTCTTCCAAGTCGGTAAGGAACGATTGCTCCGTGTAGAGGCGAAAGCACTTGCCCGGTCGCGTACGACCAGCTCGACCCGACCGCTGCTTGGCTGAAGCACGAGAGATGGGAGACACCAGGAGCGACTCGACGCGAATCCGCGGATTGTACACCTTTTGCTTGGAGAACCCCGGGTCAATAACGTACACGATCCCGTCAATAGTCAGCGACGTTTCAGCCACGTTTGTCGACACCACAATCTTGCGGCCTTTCGGCCCGCCTACAAAGCGCGGCTCTGGTGCAGGCTTGAAAATGAGCTGCTGTTGTTGCGGCGTGAGCGACGAGTACAAGGGGTAGACGTCCAGCGGACCGTACTTGGACGCATCGAGAGCTTCAGCCTGCGCGCGAATTTGACGACAGGCATTTTCAATCTCCTCTTGCCCTGTAAGAAACAGCAGCACGTCCCCTGCCTCTTCACAAATGTGGATTTGCACAGCCGTCCGAACAGCAGCTTCGAGATAATCGCGCTCCGGTTCCGGCGTGTAAAAAATCTCGACGGGAAACGTCCGTCCCGGGATCGCAATCAACGGCGCGTCTTCAAAGTACGTTTGGAACTTGACAGCGTCGAGCGTGGCACTCATGACGACAACTTTAAGATCGCGACGTTTCGGCAGCACTTCCTTCAATAGCCCAAAGAGAATGTCCGTACTTAGCGTGCGTTCGTGAGCTTCGTCCAGTATGATCGTCGAGTACTGAGATAACAGCGGGTCGCTCATGGCATGTTGCAGCAACATCCCGTCCGTCAAGAAGCGCAACTTTGTGTGTGGTCCACTCACGTCTTCGAATCGAATCGTGTACCCCACTTCGTGTCCCAATTGCACGTCCATCTCTTCCGCCACGCGCTTGGCGATGCTTGTGGCTGCGACACGTCGGGGCTGGGTACACGCGACCATCTGGGCGCTCGCGCCTTGCAGCAACGTAAGAAACTGCGGGATCTGCGTCGTCTTGCCACTGCCCGTTTCGCCTTCCACGACGATCACTTGGTGCCGCTTGACCGCGTCTTGGATCTGGTCGAGGAATTGGTGCACGGGCAGTTGTTGACGCTGTGTAAGGAGCGTCTGGTAGCGGGCCGAGAATGGCAACTTATTGAGGGGATTAAGGCCTTTATAAGGAGTGATGGAGGTAGAAGAAGGAGATGGTGATGGTGGTGGTGGTTTGTCAGAGAACCGGCTCTTGCGCTTCTTGAGCGGGTGCGAGGAGCTGTCGCTGAGGTCGAGCTTGCGCTTGCGGTCGGTCATGACGGAGAATGACTCGCTGAGGCGCTTTATTGGTGGCGATGGGGTCATGGGTGGGTGGCGCACCGTAAGCTGTTGGAGCAACTGAGGAGGGGAGCGAGTTAGGTTGCAGTAACGAGTCGGACACACTTCGCGAGAGGTGATTTCTATTTGGGTTTGGATGTGTGTAACCCCTTGGAGGTGTGGATTTCTATACGTGCATAAGCGACACTCGAGGGCGGCGTGACACACGAATTTGTACGCACGCTTCCTTCAGCTTTTGGACCCGGATCAATGCTACTACCGCAACGGCCGCTACCAATCGAAATAGCAAGGTCTCACCTCGACCACTTTTTTGTAGCCGCTGACTGCGTGTACCCACACTGGATGGTATACGGTAGTGACCGTGGCCGCATCCGTGTGACTATAAATCGCAGCATTGCCAGATAGAAGACAAGAGTCATCATTACCGTATTTGCTTAATTACCTTGTATCGCACGCTCGACGTGCCCGGCAGTCATTCAAACATAAGTTACACCTTGCTATCCTCGTCACATTTCGGTGCGCGCACTTTGATCGTGCGGTAAACGTCCGGAATGAGAGCAAGACCGCTAATGACGAAGCAGACGCACCCGACAACGTAGAGCGTAATGGCCTTGTTCATATAGTACACACCATCGTCGATGCGGTTGATGTATCGAGGCAGGTAGTACCAGCTGCCGAGAATGAAGAGGAAGGCACCGAAAAACGTGGCTACTGACACGACAAATGCCCAGCAAAAAACGTTCTTGAGCTTGAAGCCAACCACGCGCGGGTCCTCGTGCGTCATGCAGATGAAGATGATCTCAACGACAGCAGTGACACAGAAGATGGCGCAGCCGATGATAAATGACCAGCAGCCGAGCTCCGGTGCCTTTAGGTACCAAGTGGGGAGGAAGTAGAGCGCACCGAGGAGGAAGATGCATGACGCCATGTAGTTGCCTAGTGCATTGAATGCACGCAAGACTTGACGCAGCTGCGAGCCGTGGTTGTGCCGGATGACCTGGATATAGTCGATGTTGGCGCCTAGGACGAACAAGATGCAGCCAACCACGAAGGTCCAGCTGGCAAATAGACCAGCTTTGGCGTTCCACATGACTGTGAGCTCGGGGTAGAAGAAGATGGAGCCGATTAGGAAGAGCACCGAACCCAAGACATAGGACACCACACGCCCAATTTCAAGGCACTTTTCCCAGCGTGCAAGCTCGTGGCCTCCTGTCTGTAGCACTAAAGGCTGGTATGGCGTCGCCTGGGCTGCAAAGTGCGAGTTGCGCGGAGAAACACCAGGCATGGTACTCGCTAGAGGTGTTTCCTAGGTCTCTTGACTGGTCGAGGTTACAAATGACAGCAAGATCAGCTTGGACACTGAACGAAAAAACCACATACAACGGGAGTCGAGGAGGAGCCATTGGGATCCCAAAGCCGGGATGATCGTCAACCAAAACGGCTGCCAATCGTTGAGTGAACACGCGGAATCCGTCCACGGCGGCTGGTCTGTGTTCCCACATGGGCAGAAAGCCGGGGTACCTAAATTCCGCGTGTTCGGAATACTCAAACCTCTAGCCTTGATCCTGAGTTTCTAGAGCTCTTGGACCAGGCGGTCCGACGAACGTTGTTTCGACACAATTACAGTCGCGACACTAGGTTCAGATACACGAAGTGGAAGTAATGCGGGAAAGTATACATTGCAGCGACCAACTGGTCTTCGCTGTGCTTTCGCACCGGGTACAACTGCACTGTAACGCCAACACGTCAGTTGCATGAATGGACTGAAGGGAAGCTCGTCCATGCAGTGGAGCATGCTGTAGCGTTCAGATGATGGAAAGGGGAAGGAAGGGAGGCACTTACAAAGTGGTTGAGATCTGTCGATGAACTTCATTGCCAGCCATCAGATTTATGATAGGGTCTTCGCTGATTTGCTACGTCGGCCGAGAGATTGATGAAGGCTTCAAATGCTCTAGGGAATGGCGATGACGACGCCACTGATATCTCGCCGATGCCCATTTCTGCAGCTATCTTTGTCCTTTTTGGTCACCACAATGACCCAGGCAGGAAACGCATTCCTGTCGAACGACTGGCCTCGTCTGCCGGACATCGCGCCATGAAGAGAAACGCTATCCATTCATCCAAATTATTCAACGATCCAATACTCGGGAGCACGTCGCGTACCTGATCGATCTTTGTTAAAGATCCAGCAAAAACGAGCTGTAGGGGCGGAAGTATTGACCCGTGCGCTCACATGGGAGAGGAGATCGCAATGTATCGCAACAAGCAAAAGTCGAATAAGGCGCATGAGGAGATAGTGGTAGAGGCATCGACCTTTGTGGCGATGGGGATACATCCAGTCGTGCTTTCTGCATGGGAGACGCACGAAGGGATTGTCGCGTATGTGTAAACTTCCATTGGTTCTACACCCGTTGTACTGGTGAGCTCAAGTCAACATGCGGTGAGCAACGATGATAATGTTCCTGATGCTGTGGCGACCAGCAACTGCTGGACTTGTCATCTCATTGTAGTGTCAAATGCTCCTTAGCTGGGCAACAATTTTCATCTTTCATCTGGTTGTCTCACGATCAACTTCGGAGACTTCTCGTTTCTGCAGCACTAGATAAATTTCGGATCAGCTCTTGCGGGCGATACAGCCAACGATTGTGCAAAAGACCAGCTTCAATGTCTTGACTATTGGTTCTCGCACGGTCTTGCCACCTTGTTATCAAACTGCCAAGACAATGTCTTTGCTATGGTGTACAGCAGTCAAATGACGTTGGCTAATCTAAACCTGCTGCGTTTGCGTTACTCTTGACAGAGGACATTTTCCACCTGCAGAATCTGCGAATCGCTTGTGGCCTGGCAGGGTTTCATAATCTCGGATCATACTGCATGTATCACGAATGAATAACAGTAGGTATCGCGGCAGACGCCCCACGTCCCAGCGTGTAGTGTTTCCCACTTTGCATCTACCATGCTATCGAAGCTTTACAACTGCGTGCTCTGCCTTGCAACTTGCGCATCGCTATGAACCTTGTACTTCTGCTAGATTGTAGACCAATCTCAGTCAGCTTTGGCTTATGACATTGGTGGCGCGTTAATGAACTGCAAAATTGTATCTGATGGGAGCGCAGACGAATATGAGGATAGCTTCGATGTTGCAACAGGTGTGGAACTGCCTCGCGCGTGCCATGTACAGTCAAATTGGTTCCACTCCAACGGAATTGTGCAAGGTGCAACAGCAGCAACGAATGATACCTGCGTCGCACAGGAGTAGTGACAGGGTCCGATCACTAGCATCCTCTAGGCAAAATCGCTGCAATAGGTTAGTAATGGCATCTTGAAATTGAGCTGACGAAAGATCGTTGTGCATGTGCTGGACATCCTCGAACAACAAGTGCATGCCGCTTCTGTTTCGCACGTGCCACACATCGCACAGACGCTCAGTCGTACCACAAATCGATGCGTGAGCCATATTTTGATAGTTGACGCAGACGAATGTGGAACATCACTCGCGTCAACATTGTAGTGACTACATTCCTTTAGATGTCGTGCAGCTAGACAATCATATCGCCCGAACGGCAGTGTGATTGCGTGGAGTTATAGCGTGCGTCACCTGCGATCTTCAGTGATGTCCTGCCGTATGGTGACGAATCGTCGAAACTTGCAAATTAATGTAGCAGGATATCAGGAGAAACCTAAACATGGGGAAGCGCAGACTAGCTGGGCACATGTTGAGGTCGAATGCGCCCCTTGTAAATGCTCACCCTGCCCCTTTAGTTACGGCTGCAACATCACAGCACTACATTTGACGTCGTACCTATGCACACTGTAAATGCCTACGTTGCAACAGGTAGCAACATCACGCACTGCAGCGTACAGCGTCAACCAATAATCATTATTCGAGTTCCTTTCTGTGTGAATCGCGACCGGTTTTCTTTGGTCCTGCAGCCCGAGAGTCTGCAAGTTTCTTGTCAGTAGAGTTTGAACTGGTTCTTCGTCTACGTCTCATGGTCTCTGCTATACACAGTGTTGCAACTCATGCAGCTTCGTAGGTGATCATCATAACCTGGGAAAGTATCACGCAAGTCGTTCCCTTATCACCCGTGTCAAAGTCTTTCATACAAGACTCACGTACAGACGTTCTTCTTCCTGATTTCTGCCATTGTGCACGGCTTCTTGATGCTTCTGCCTCTACAGGATGCTAGAATGCCATATATCTTCATACGCAGATGAGGCGATCTACTTCCATGTTGTCCTTCGTTGCACGAACAAAATGCGCAAGTTCTCCAAGTCTCCACATGATAGAGTGGACAGCTGCGGACTTGATAGAATCTTCATTATTGTCAGTACGGGGCAGTATGTTTATCCACAAGTCGATCCGTCGAGCCGCAGCTTCAAGAATACATCCTCTACGAGCTCGTCAAGGCAAACACACTCGGATCCTGACCAAAATATATGACTACTGCTGGAGCTTTTGCTGTTCCTGAATGCCAATCGAAGCATTACCTTGATTCCATTCTACACAACGATGGCGACCAGTAAGGTCAACGTGTTAGACGTCTGGTTGAATGAACGAAGAACTGCCTCAATGCAAACAGTGAAAAAATAACTGCTGTTCTAACATCTGACCGACAACCTCTGCTGGATGAACACGCTAGCGTCAATATTTGGATGACCTGCTCTAGCTTCGTCGGAAAATCGTTTAGTGAAACAAAAGCAAGTTACTGGACAACAGGGCACTGGATCGCCAGCAACCCGCTAAGAGCACACAATCCTATCACTACTCCACGTCAGCTCCATCATCAAAGAACGATCACGTTCTTACATGCTTGTACGATCCCTGTCCGGACATGGCACCACGTTGTTTCCAGTTCAGCTCTCACGTATGTAGGCGGTTGAGAAAGTAGGACAAGTCTCGAGCGTTCGACGACGACTTCACCTTGGTCGACCGGTAGATCGAATTTAGCGAATCATCAATGAGCTGCCGGTCCAGAAGCTTCTGGCAAGCCCTGAATGCTGCAGAAGCACGAGCACTGGCTTTCGAATGCATCGGGTCACTCCGAAACGTTTCCAGCTCGAGTTCGACTGGAAGGTTGAGCTCGGCTGTAAACATACTCTTTCCCCCAAAGTGCGTTTCAGAGATGGAGTACAACAGCTTCGCGTTCACAGTGAACAACTTGCTCGGCAACGACTGGCAGAACTGATTGATGTACGCAATACTGCTGTCCAGATCCAAAACCGCACCAGTGGATTCGATGACGATCTTCTGCTCACCGTTGCCCATCAATTGAGCGGAGATAGATCGCGGCTGTTGCTGAATAGTTTCAACCTTCTGTTTGGAAAACTCGAGCTGATTGATCACTTCAGCGTCATGGACCAGCTGTTTGTAGTACACCTCGTGAGCAAGATCATCGGCTTCTGCCAAATAGTACACAATGCCATCTTCGTGACGTGCACGACCCTTTAGCTGCACCAACATACGCGCCGTTCCAACGCGGTCCATGACAACGATCAGCCCGCATTGAGGAAAGTCAACGCCCTCCACAGAGACAGCTGTGGAGACCAGCACACGAATTGACCCTGACTCGAACTTCTTCAGTGTAGTTTCCATCTTGGGTAGTAGAAAGGAAGCCGTGTCACTACGTGATGCTCTGCCCAATATGCTGGCAAAGGGTTGGTCTACCGTTGTCTCATCCAGAATCTGGTTATTCGACACCATGGATGACGCTTCGTCAGGATCGTCGTCTTCTTCTATAAGCGACGCAAACTTTTCGTTAAAGTAGTCCGACAACACACGACATTCGGTTCGCGTATTCACAAAGACAATGCCCTGCAGATCGAGTCGACCACGCTTATGATCATCATCGATTTCCTCGCCGTCCTCGTCGTCCTCTTCCACAAGGGCTGACTTACTTAGCGCTAGATCGTCGGTAGGTGCGTTATCGCATTCGAATTCGTCACTAGCAGCATGCTCCGATTCAACCGCACACCCGGCCTCGTCATCTCCATCAAACAGATGCCTACGCAGAATATCCTCCGCCTTTTTCACTTTCACCGAGCACGCAAACTCACAGTGATCGCGCTTCGCTGTTAGCAACAACATCGTCTTGACTGCATCTTTGTCCAGTCCAAACATGCTTCCCGGCACTGTGATCAATAGCGATGCTGCAATCGCCAGTCGATGAATCTCCAGCTCAGCAAAGCGGTAGTAGCACCATGGACCCAAGTTCTTGTATATAGTGACACAATTCTGCGAGAACTTTTTCTTCGCTTTTTCCAACTTGGCCGAGTCAGTTGCAGCATCGCTCTTCCCCTTCTTCAACAGCTTCTCAACTACCGCCATAGCTTTCACTTCCGCCAGCTCCCGCTCCATGTTGGTAAAGACCCACGTATCGTCTCCCGCTTCTTCGTCCTCATGTCCCTTGACTGTCCACGGCTTCTGCACCGCGTACGTCTCGTACACGATCGGAGCGGCCGCCGAGAACTCGGCAATCTGCGTCTTGTCCAGCTCCACTTTCTTCATCTCTGCATGTAACTTCTCGGCACATTGACGCGTGGGACACGCCGTCGTGCCAAAGATCCGGGGCATGGTCGTCGCGTCCTCCTCGTTGTACATCTTGATCACTTGGGCGTACGGATGGCGCTTGGTCACGTGGTGGCACTCGTCAAACACGAGCAGGTTCATGCGAGTGAGCGAGACGTAGCCCTTAAGTAACGCGTTGCGTACGATCTCCGGGGTGCACACAAACACGCGCATGAGCTGCAGCTGGCGCTCCCACTGGGCCGCGTCCCACAAGTCGGCGGTGCTGCCGTAGTACGCACTGACCCTCAACGTGCTCGTCTGCTGGATCTTGGCGGTGATCTGGACCACGAGCTGGCGCGTAGGAGCCATAAAGAACGCGCGCTTGTCCCCCGAGTAGTCGAGTTCACTGAGCAAGGCGATGGCGAGGAACGTCTTGCCGATGCCCGTGTCCCCCACCATGACGACGTTCTTCTCCCGCACGAGCTCCAGGATGTCGCGCTGGAACGCGCGGAGCTCCACGTGCTGCATCGGTCGGTGCGGCGTCAGGGCGAGGAGCTCCGTGGTCGGCAGCTCTGTGCGTTTGTCCGAGTCAAAAGTGGCTGAAGTAACAGGAAGCGATCCAACCGTGACGAGTAGTGCGACGGAGGAAAGAACGATGAGGGAGTTTTGACGTTTTTGAAACAAGGCAGATTTACGTTTTGTAAAACGGTGGGGAATGGGTCGAGGTGTTGGAGGGAGGGAGGTCGTTCGTGTGATTCACGATGGGGTCAGCGAAATTTAAGCTCATCTGTTGGGCCGCCGATTTCTTTAATCTGAGAGCAGTCATAACTGTCCGCTATTGTGGTAACATAGTACATGGAACGTGGCGACTTGAATCCCTGGTAGAAACGATATCCTCCTTTCAAATATGATTCGCTGCTGATCTACCGGCTTCGTTCCCAGACGAACAAATGCAGCAAACTTGATAATCGGTAAAGTTAATACTTGATTCTCACGATGTCTCGAATGTTTGATACATCAGGATTGAGATTTGGAGCTGTCTCAAGAAGATGGGAGACTCATTTGCTCGATGCATCGGTAGCTTGAGGAGAAGAGTCAGATCTAAGTGGAATACGCGCCAAGCAGTGACGTTTCGAATGCTGCTGGTTAATTCGTCAGTGGATAGCCGACCATGTGTGGACATCGCCGTCGAGATGTCGAACCGCTTTTGTGGGTTTGCGGCAGAAACCGACACAGCATTGCAATGTTTTTCTACAGGACTCTTGTCTGTGGGACTGCCCGAAAGCTGTAAATACTGGACTTTGATGACATTGCTGTTGACGAGCGCAAGACGGCTGCAACTGTTCTGAGCCTGCCGTCGTTCTGAATTTCAATCTTTGATGAAGGTGCTCTTGTAATCGTTGCTGGAGACACGAAAGTTGTAGCGAAGGCGCTCGTTCCAGAATGGCTTTCAACGTCGTTTACGCGCACGGTGTGCAATCCCGCTCCAGAATGATTGCGGTTGACTTCGTCTACGCGCACGTTGTACACTCCCGTTCCAGAATGGTTGCGGACCGACCGTATAAGAGCACGTTGTGCAATCCATCGAGTTTAGTCCCAGTTGAAATCTAGAAAGAATTATCCATGGAATCCAGAAGGCTAAGAGTAGCAGCTTGCGTGTAAATTAAGGACCTAATGCAATCACTTTTGTATTCTCCATCAAGGCATTACATCCCAGGCACCACAAAACTAGCTTGCAATATCGCACCCATGATAAACAAAACTTGGCTCAATAACGGTGCAACCGTTGCATGCTTTACACTGTTTGTGGTCGATAATGATTACTTTGAGATGTTCGCATCAGCGCAAAAGCGGGCTACGTCCAAGCTATTTTCTTTTTCCGTACAGCAAGAACTCTATCGTATTTTACCTCACGATAAGACTGACGGCTCACTATTCTGCTAGCATCAAATTTGTTATCAGTTTCGCTTGAAAGATACAAGTGGATCCATAGTTTTGCTAAATTGCAATTTGTAGCCGGTCAAGCGAATTTATTGGGAGTAAATCTCATTATCAGCACCATCCTAGGTCAAAAGTCTCATTATCAGCACCACTCTTAAAAGCAGCACCAGCCAAAAATAAATATAGTGTAGATAACACTACTTGGTGCTCCCAATCATGACAACTATATAATGCTATTAGCGCCATGAGTTCAAGCACTCGGTAAGAGCAAGATTTATCAAGATGTCACCCTAAAGGGTGGCGGTTGATTCAGGTGCAAGTTATGGAGCCACTTAGTTGGCTCATGGACTAATATTTTTAGTCCGGTGTTGCTGCAACTAGGTCGTCGAAAGACTAATGTCTTGAATAGAACTGGCACTGCAGGGTTGAAAAATTGGTGGCTACAGCAAGACGTATGTATGCCCACAAGATCGATGTCTATGGGAGGTTCGTTCGACGGAGAGAAATCGGATGGTTGCAGCTTCCTAGCACTACATTTTCACCCTAGAAGATATCCACGCTGACGTAAGCCTGGCAATCGCCAAGCCACTTTCTCGGCAAATGAGATGGCTTCACATCTACGTTCATACGATACAGCAGAGTGTTGTGAGACTTTGAAGAGTAAGAGTGAAACGATATTGACTACAATAAGCGAGACATAGATTAAGTACACATGTATCTTACAAGTTAATTACGACATCGTGACTAAAGTTAACGTTATGTTATCCTTGTCCTTGTTGTTAGCGCTATCAGTAGGTAACTTATAGATGATTTTGTCGAACGCGAAGATTCGCGTGACCAAGCAGCTTTATACACAGTACTTCGCAGCGATCAGTCGTTCCGTACTGTTAGCGAACCACATAGTTCAGCAATACAGGAGGAAGCATTAGACCATGACCTCGGGTCCGCTGTCCCTTCTTCAGTTCGTACAAAGACCTACATAACAAACAATACGCACCGTAGAATAAGCAGTATTGAATGCCAAGACTGCAACCGGGAAACACTGCCACTTACAGCTGCTCTACTCAAATTGCTTTTATCCAGTATAGCATAACATGCTCAACACTCTAGGTATTTATTCCATTTTCTGTACAAAAGTAAAAGTGCTGTTTAGTGTTTGTCTCTTTCCAAAGCTCACAAAATTCACAAAAGCCCACGTACAAAATTGTCGACATTACTTTTGTACGTCCCGCTACAAAGTCTGAAAACGGCATTGCGTACTTACAACTCGCGCTTTCCTGGTAGGAATCCTACAATGACAACAAATACAAAACACCATACATACACTGTGTAAGCCTAGCTTAGATGATATTCACACGCCCTCGTAGTGTATTACCTTAAGTGACTAGTTGGACGTTGATGCCTATACCGCATCCCACGCAACCAGCACACCAAGGACTAATTCTAATCGACGCGCATCTGCGTCCTTGCATACATCTTTCATTAAGTACAGAGCAATGAACAACGTCAATTAGTTTGTGAACTACCTCAGCCACAAGATCTTACTGTTTATGACAAATGTTGTCGATACGTCATCATAAATTAAGTCCTGCTTAATTTCGCGAGCCAGTCGAGTGTGCTGTTCCGGCATCAAAGTATCAAGCGCACCATCCGATCGTATGGGACCTAAACGGCATAACCAACAGTTTCAGTATAAGCAAGTCTATAGATCTAGCGTCTCCATATCCTTGATACTTTTGCGGGATCGTACATCGGGCCAAAGCCTTACCCACTCTTGTTACGTAATCCCCGACATCGCAAGTCATACAGCACACAAATAGACTCTGCGTTATTTCCTCACCGAACTATGCACATAAATCATGTAACATACCACACATGTTCCTGTCGTCACGCATATCTCGCTACGCATCGCACGTCGCGTCGAATCGCAAAGCGCACTCTCCAAAATTTCACCACTATTTTTTAAACGCGATCGTCAAAGGTTCACTTTTAAAAAGAAATTTAAGGTGATCTACACTAAATTAATTTTTGGCTGGTGCTGATTTCGGGAATGGTGCTGATTATGAGACTTAGGCCTGGGATGGTGCTGATAGTGAGATTTACTCTTAATTGGTCGTGCTGTGGAGTATCGGAGTGGTGTGTACCCATGACAATCATTTTTTCGATCTTGTGGTGTGCGTTTTTTCTTTTTGTGGTGTATTCGAATTTTTATTTCTCTCCTCATGGTATACTCTTTTTACGTACCCTGCTGCTAATATCGCCTTGTCAAAAATATGCAGTCGCGCTCCATTCGTATCGACACTAAAAATATGTAGCTAACTCCGTCTTATCGGAGCGTCGAATCATGCAATTTGCGTGTGTGTCGTGAGTGTAGCAGCCGTCTTCACTTCTTGCGACCTTTTTTAGGCTTGCTTGAAGCCCGTTTACTCGCGTGAAATCCGTAGAGTCCTGGGGCAGAAAGCTTCACCGGTCCGACCATGCAATTCACTAGTTCGTTGTCGGGAATGCACCGCATGAGCTCACGCTGCACTGCGAGTGGATTCACGTCCGGCTGAATCTCATCCTCCTTCTGCAACTTCTGCACGTCCTTCTCTTCCTTCAAATTAGACGCAAAGAAATGGTCCATCGCCTGCTTAGCTGCCTTGCCCTTCTTCTGACCACCAGGCGTGAGCTTCACCTTGTACTTGAACTTACTCAGTGAGGCATACGGAGCACACATGGGCATGGCAAACAGCACAATGTCATTCGGTAATGGCTCGCCCGTGAACGCATCAAAGAACCCAGCACTTTCAGCTTCATCCTCTTGCTCGTCGAGGAACTTTTCTTTTTTCTCGCGTTGCTGACGAATGTACTCGTCCTTTGCCTCAATGGTAGCACTGGTCGCGATGGCGGGACAATCCTCGTCATCATCACATCTTGAATGTTCAATGCACTCAGTTTTGTGGTCATCCTGCCCGTCTTCCTGCTTTGTCTCCTCAATTACGTGACCCAGCGCCTCCATGCGCAGCCGACGATCGTCATCGTCTTGGTCGGCGTACTTCTTCTTAATTTTTTTCATCTTGCTCTTCTTGCCACGAACATTTTTCTTCTGATGCGGCACGTGAACGTCGTCTTTGTCGACGACATTCCCACGCGTTCCTTTTTCCTGTGCCTGCTTTCCCTGTTGGGACGGCTGCTCATCATCATCAACACTTCCGTTGTATACTGGTGCTTTACCCTTCTTCATGTCACGGCGCTCTTTTGTCGACAATCGTTTCCGGCCATCACGCTGAGACTGCTGTAATGAAGCGTCCGCCTTATCTTTTTCATCGTCAGTCTCACCCTCTTGGACAGCAATCGCAGTATCTTGAGGCTCACGCGGCACGGACAAACTATCGTGCACAGCTCGATTATTTTCTGCGACACCCTGTTCTCGTCTACGTGGCGACTCGGTTTCTTCTAGTGGCTCACTCTGAAAACCGTTTACGACGTTTTCATCGTTGTCATCTGCTACGTGAAGTACACCTTCTTCATGAAGGCGCGTGTGCTGACTCACACAACTCTCATCGATGCGAAAAAGAATCGCCAAGCCCATTTCGAGACGAGATGGCTGAATGTAATTCTTCTTGCCACGAATCATAAAACTGCCAGTCGTAAGGTATTCGCCAGTCGGTGCTGCCTTAGACACCTGGTCGGCATGGACCCAGTAGGCTCCAGCAATCACCTGACTACTCCAGGCGTTGCTACGGCATACACTCATGCACCCTGCCTGTTCCAGCGTTGCCACAGCAATAGGGGGGAATTCTTGGGTCTCCCCATTCTTTGCTATCGCGCGATTGCGCACAATGCAAGTAGCAGCACCATGAAGATCAGCATGGACGTATACATCACCCTTGCGCAGATAGCGCTTGACCAGTTGTTCGTTCTGGTGGGCGTCTTTTCCAGCAACCACCAAGTACTTTTCGTTGGTAAGGAACCAATGAAATTTCTCAAACCACAGCGTTTTGCGCCGTTGGTAGATCACGTTACGCTTCGTTTGCTGCTTTTCCAGTGTTTTCAAAGTGTTCTTCTCGGCCAGCGCAATTGCTTTGTCAGTCGCCTCCGAAGCCTTGATCGCCTTTGCACCAGCTTTCTTCTTCTTCGTATAAATTTCCCGCGCATTGGCGAGCGCGGACAGCGATAAATCGATCCAGATGATGTGTGCTTGCTTGTCTTCCTCACCCGTACCATCGCCTCCATTTTCGTCCTCGACACTCTCGTCATCGTCGCAAAGCAAAAGTGCGACGCGGTTGTGCTCGAGATCTAGTTTGTAAATAAGATTTGCCACGGGATTACCGTTCTTCTGCTCGTATCGCACGAGCTCTTCCAGACCACGCCAGTCCATGCCACTGGCCAACGCGCTACGGATGACAAGAAGCACATTCTCTACGTCGTGCTGGTTGACTTCAATAAGCCGGGCTTGGCGAAAGCTTTGCTCTTGAGCCTCTCGCAATTGAGCGAGCTGTTGTTCTTGGTTCTTCTTGAGCTTGGCTAGCTTGTTCTCCACCGCAACCTGTACACTTTGCTGCGCCACCTCAGCTGTCGCCGCCTCGAAGCGTGAAAAGTACTCATCAACAGCCTCGTCGAACGTGTCGAAGCTTTTGAACTTCTTTTGCGCATGTTGAGCGTACAAGAATGGCGTAAACTCCTCAAACTGCGGTGATGCAGCCTCCACCGTAGAATCTTTTAGGATGATAAAGCCGTGCTTTTGTGTGATCGTAGAAGGGTCCTTTGGCGCAGAAACATCGCTAGGCGTGTGTTCAACGTCGCCATCCATGTCATCCTCCTCAGTTTGACCCGGGATCGGGCCATTGACAGACGCCTGTTCATCCTGTAGCCTTGTCAACAGCTTCCAACCCTCGCGAATTTCTGCCAACAAGACAGTCAGCTTCTCGTCTCCAATTTCTGTAACATCCGTGGCATTTTTAATCTTCAGCGTGGGCGAGATGTCTGCACGCACTAGACAGTGCTCAAGCATAGCAGGACCCAGTCCTCCAAACGTTGATTCTTTTGCTAACAGCAACTGCTTGATTGTCTGCGCCTTCTTCTTTTTCTGCTTCTGCGTCTTGCCAGGAGTGTGCGGCACCATGGCCTCTTTTTCCTCTCTCTCTTTCGTCCAAAGATTGGCAAACTCGACTAACTCAGCGGAGGTCTGAATCGCACGCCGCTTCTCCTGTTCACCCAAGAGCTGCACCGGGTACTTCTGTCTGACCGCCATCTTGACGTTCTCATCAAATCGATGCGTCCGTAGCAGCGACAGAATGCGATAGTCACCATCAGTCAGAATAATGTTGCCCGAAGCGTAGAGCTCGAGAATCAAGTGGCACGTGAGCGCGTCCTGTCCGAACGTCAAGTCCACGACACGATCTCCCTCGAGCTGCGTCAGCGCTGACAGCCTCTTGCCCCGTAAATGTTTCCGCAACTTCATCGTGAACTGACTCGGCAAAGCGCTTGCGGACTTGGCATCACGCGCGTATTGGCTCGTGTGAAACCGCACGCCGGACTCGAGCAGAAGGAAGACCTTGGGAAAGGGGGGCTGCTGCAGCTTGAGCAGGTACGTCTTGGTCGTGCTACCGTCGCCCTGGCCGTGAACGTCGTAGATGTTGGTCACCCGCATGTTGACGACGTTCGCGCGGATACTGCCCACCATCGCGTGGATGTCATCGATGGACATACGCGTCTTCTTCATGCTGAACTCGGCCGGTCGTGGATCGCTTGGCTCCTTTGGTGCGATCGAAATTAATGCAATAGGGACTTTTTCATGTTAGGAACCGCAAATGTCACTGCTGCTGCTGATGAAAGTAAGGTCAACGGGTCCGGATTGTGGAAAATTACAGAGCCGCGGAATATTTCGAGAGAAAGACAGACAGACGTTATTTCTACTCCTATGGGTGATGGTTTTGGGTATCATCAAATTCACGCCCGAATGAGAATTCGTCACTTTTTGCCAATGTTTGATCATAAAGAAGGGGGATCGAGCTCTGGAGATCGCCCTTATATTGACTCCGCGTCAAAAAATATCGTGCACTCATACTTTTATCCAGTGCTGTGTCAGTTTTACGGATTAGAGGGTACTACTTAAATTTGTGGTATGTTTATGGATAGAAGTACCCTATGTGTGTTAACGATTGCCATACCGCATAGCGTAAGGTGCCTCACATATAAATTACTGATTTGGCCACTGCGACACAAAAAAGGAAGGCAAGATCTAGAGCTCGCCCTTCATGTAAGTTATTCATACTATGAACTGACTCAAGCTTTAAAACACTACATAACGGCAGTCACTGAAGAAGGAGTATGATACTGTCAATGTCTACATTATTCCAGATGTACATTTCACGCATCGCGTATAGTTTAGACTTTACTTTTATTCATCGAGTGTTTATTTACATGATAATATTCTACTTTGATCGATTTTAAGCTAATGACGTGCAGGCGTTACGATAGTACCCTAGCCAAAGATTGACTCTAAATATTCCTACAGGTCTTCCTCTCAAACATTCAGGCTCGGTAGACACATTTCCTATGAGTCAGTAAAGGATATTTGTTACCAAATGATGGAAGCATCGTACATAGGAAGAGTACCGATTGATAAACATCAAAACAAAATGATACAACAAGACTTAAGGATATCAAATATTTATCAGACAATGTCAAGTTGATTACCAACAATTTTTCTCGAATAAAACCTCATCCAGGACCACTCACAGATCTTCACCTCCAAATAAATGCCCAAAATTAGCAGAATAATAGTTCCCAAGGCCACTTAAACTATCCCTTACCTTTTGTTTGTAATATTGGTTCAGGTTGTGTCTCAAGGTCAGAGACACGAAGCCACCTTGGTCGTTTGCGGGGGTTGAGGTCCATCGTTAAAAAAACTGTGTAATTTTTGAATCACTCGTCATTGATGGGCTATCTCAACTATATTGGAAAGTACGGGAAAGCCCAGCCAGAGCTCACTACCAGAAATTTTCTGAACGCAGTGTAGGACATGTAGAAATGTAAAGAAGGAGCTACATCAGAGGAGGAGGAGGCAATTGCATATCGATTGACCAAGTACGAGCAGATTCCAATCTTAGATAGTGTTGCAACTTGAAAAATATGTCCGAAAAAATCACCGTTATGCGTCCAAGCTACTCCGCAGCCTACAGAATGACAATTGCAGCTATAACGCCACAAAATTCACCCTCGATGCTTGTATAAAATAGGGGTTCTCCCTCAAATCGAGTGCAAATTCTACATCGAGAAAATAACATCTTGCTACATAGAAATAAGATAGAAGAAATATTGTACAGCCCATAAAACAACCATAAAAAGATCCCAGTGGGCGTCTAATACAGCAAAGGTTTGTATTTATTAGAGGAACGCTGTTTAAAGTCAGACCTAAAACCTATGAGATGGGAGAAGTCTAGGTAGTACTTGGTACATGTAAAATGCACCTAGCCGCATTATTTACAGACGAACAGACTGACACAACACGCAGAAATGTACGATTCAATGGTTCGGTGTAATGGGGTCACACTAGCCATCCGCTAAATTGGTTAAAGACCTTCCATATGCGATATGGTAGACAAGTGTGGCCTTAGGTTTTATAGCATTAAAGAAAACCGTTGAGTCGGTATTCTCTGAGTTACGGTAATTATAGTGGATGTACTTGAGCCGTCATTATTTGATGACTGAGTGATGTGCCAACCATCCATCAGTTCATATGCCAATATTTGCATTGGTTCTAGTTTAGTCTAATACAGGGTACTTAAATTAGGCTTCTCCTTGATATAAAATCTAAATAAATTCAGCTCAATTTGAGCAGAATTCTGTAGACTTCCCCCTTTCGCACGTTGCGCTTGACAGTTCCGTAGTACTGTATCCCCTTGCACATTGTGCGTGTAGTTCCTTAGAACTACAGTATTCTAAGCTAATAGCTCATAGAGTCCGCACTAGTTCCGTAGAAACAGTCGACTCTTTAACTTGATAAAATTGGTTTCTTAGAACAAGTCGGCTACTAACCCTCACAACTAATTGGCTTTAGCCGTACGCCTCTGGCTTAACCCGTAAAGTATTACTCTGACTTTAGAGCTGTGGGTGCTCTGCTGCACTTGGTAGCACTTGTTGTCAATCCTACACCTGAGTCGATTTCGACTGATCCTTTGTAAGAGATGGAGACTCTTGACTGCCTATCCGAGGCCCAACGTCTCGCGCTTGATATGTTTAATGCCTTGAACGGGGTCTAGTAGGTCGACCACATTGTGGTCCAAGGTTTAGATATGCTCAAGCTTTGATGCATTCATGCAATTTAATGCCACGCTGAGCGGTCAGATCCATGACCTACACGGTACATTCCAGCACCTAAAAAGTGAGCCAAAGTCTCGTTCGCTCGCTCCCAGCGATAAGAAATCTGACGGAATAGAGTGAGGGGGTCTTCTCTAAATCCGAGAAGTCGATACCATGATGCTCCATTCTCTGAGCAACAGAATGTTGGCTTAGCCAATTCGTAACAAGACGTTAGAGCCACAGAATAGGCTCTGACGTGTGATGCGTCGGTAAACGCTGCGTTTCCTACATTGGATTCGCTTAAAAAGAGAGATGACTTGGGTGTCCGCACCACCGAATCAAGCGTGCCGTGTACGCTTCCGATTCCTTGCCGCTAGGCAGGGGAAGAAAGAATTATCGGACCTTTCCAGGAGTTTCAAACTCTTATAGCTGCCATGCAGCTGGAACCTCTTTTAAAAGAATCAGTGTCACCAATATTAGGGAAGGACTTCGTAATGGAGTTGCGATGAAGGGAGCATTCCGCGTCCACCCCTTAACGTCTGAAGAGGCTGTAGACATAGCTTTAACCGCTGAGTTCAACTTTAAAGCCACTTGCTACGGAACTCTTAGGCATGGCTAAAGATCTTTTGACGAAAATGAGCCTATGAACCTCAGCCATGGTGAAAAAGAAGAAGCCGAGCTTCAAGCTGTTGAACAGCAACGTACCATTCGTCGATGTTACTTGTGCAGGATAACCAAACACTTGAGTCCACAGTGTCCGCTGCGGAAATCGCGTCAATGTAGGCAGAGCCGTATTTGACTCCTAAGCCGAAGATGGGTACGGAGCGAAAAAACGTCAACTCCCAGCAGGCGTGGGGCGCCCTAGTGGGGAGGAACTATGTCCTGTCGAATCTTTAGGTGGTAGCGATAGACAGGGCTTAGCCCCAGACGGACTCGTGGGGGTCGCCAAGCGGCGTGAGTATAAATCAGGCTTGCTAGTTGCCTTGGCTAAGATTAAGGGCTTTGAAGAGCCGTGGTCACTTTTGATTGACTCTGGGGCGTCGGGCAACTATGTTTGGCGCCGATCCCTTGAGAAATATCAGCAGTATTCTGAGGCTATGAAGCTCATGAGAGTGATGTTATCACTATTCGCTTAGCGACAGGTACTCGTATCACCGTACCTAAATTTCCGGTAAACTTAGGCGTGAAATGTTTAGATATCGATAGTATCGAACATTGTCTTGTCCTTGTTTCGGACCCGATATACGATCTCATCTTTGTGATGTCTTGGCTGGTACGCCATGAACCATGGATTGATTGGAGGTCAAAGACCTTAGGCGCAACGCGCAATGTTTCTCAGCGAAGCTTTGGATAGTCATGAACCCACTATTGCTAGACAACAAAAGCGCTATTGGCGCGAGAAACTAGCTGAGTCTGTTAGTGTGCTGAACATCGGAGTGTCTAAGTTTATTAGCTCTGAATTCATTAATAATAGTGTAAAAGGCTATTACTCCGTTGAGTTACACTGGTAATAGTAGAATTTTGAATTCTAGTAGCATTAATGGCGTAGAGTTGAGTCATCCTGGGTGCGATCCCTGTGATGTGCGTGTAGTGGCACGTATAAATACACTGGGTGAGGGAGGCTGCAATAGCACCTCACTGAACGTCGGTAATGACATTGTTGGCAATATGCAAAGGCATCCAGGACTAACCCCGAGTGGTGCATGTACAGTGGCATGTACTCCACTGAGTGGGGTCGGCCGTGATGGCACCCACTGATTGTCGGTAATAACATTGTTGACAATACTCCAAGTCATCAAGAGCCATGCATATTTAGTGCGAATATCGTGGATCCAATGCCAATGATGAGATAGGCTCTCAGATAGAGCAAGTAGAGGTCGGAGATGATCTTCGCCTCGTGGAACCGGATAGTCATGACCCGTTGAAGTCTCAGTGCACAGACGGCAGCGACGCCAGATGGGTACTGAAAAACGAAAGGCATCTGCCGTGTTTCAAAGGACAACAGTAAACACTTGAAATCTGGCAGGACGTGCCTAGACTTGGGCACTGGGGCTCAAGCTGCACGACGCATATGAGTTTGGGTCGTTAGAGGTCTATAAGTCGCGGCTCAGACAAACGTTTGAACCGCCTAGAGCTGAGTTCAGAGCTCGAACTGAACTCTTGAAGCTCAGACAAGGTAAGCGTGATGTGCACGCTTATGCGCAACATATACGACATCTCACGAGTTGTATAAGTTCCAATCCGGTGGATGAACACACGTTGGTTTCGGTGTTCATGCAGGGTCTTGCGGATGGTCCCGTCAAGACTCACCTGTTCCGACTTGAAATGGATTCACTGGAACAAGCCATCTCATTGCGGAACAGGAAGACTTCAGGCTGAGAAAGGCTCGCGCCAACTCGACATCAAATCTTCCATCGAGACGATATGACAGCAGAGGTCCAGAGCCGATGGAACTCTGTTAGGTAGAGAGCGAGAAGGCTCGCTCTACAGACTACAGGAAGTTGCAGAAATGCAACAGATGTCACAAGACAGGACACTACGCTTACGAGTGTAGTTCCCCTCGTCCAGTGTCTCGCAACTCTGGGCGTAGTGACCGTCCACCCATGAGAAAGGAGCAGGGACGCGGGTCCGCTGTTGGTGCAAAGACGCAACAACGGGATGGACCGTAAAAAACGGACAGGATCAGTAGGTGCGGAGCTCCCTACTGGTCCAGCAACGTCAAGAGAATTTATAGACCTCTTGATGAAGGTTGCTCCCAACATACAAACGTTGTGCGTTGCTGCTCTAGGTAATGAGATCTCACTCATTACCTTGAAACTCGAAGTGACAAATCAGTTGTCCCTTCGAGCTCTAGTCGATTGTGGGGCGTCCAACAATTTTGTGCGACGCCAATCGCTAGAAGATGGTCACTTTAAATTCAGTGAATGTGACACACCTCCCACGAGGATGACGGTATGTCTTGCGACAGGCGCATCCGTAACCGTCATGAAACGTATAGTGAAGATTCACTATACGCTAGAAGATACCCAATATGACGATGACTTTATCGTATTGGATTTGGATGACAAATTTGATGTCATCCTTGGAATACCGTGGCTCAGAAGGTACGAACCACGAGTAAACTGGCAACATCGGACAGTAACGATGCCTGCCGCTTGTTCATCAGATGGCCATCTGATGAACGTTTTGGAGCGTCCACAAGCGTGTGGATGTACTATGAGTGTGTGCGGTGGCCTCACTTGTGGTACGGTCGTTAGTACGACTGCACTAAACCTTAGTGTACCAAACGGTTACACTTCGGAGCAAAGTCCCGGCGGCTGTGAGGAAACACAGGCTGCGCCGAAGGTCCACCACTCGAATAAGTCGGGTGGACTGGGACAAAGATGTATCCCTAGCGGGGAACATCTAGAAGTGAAACAATCGATCGCTCAGGTTAAGCGAAACGATAATCCTAGATCGACTGGAGAGTCTTTCGTAGAGGATCTCGCTGTGGTTGCGCAGCCCCAGCTAGAGGAAGTAAAGGGAATAAGTCCCAAGATTACAAATACGGCGGAAATAAGTTCCCCGAAACCCGCGGGAATAAGTCCCCGGGAAGCCGAAGGAATAATTCTTTCGAAGCCTGAGGGAATAAGTCCCCAGGAAATGACAGATACATTGAATGTCATAGTCAATAACGGATCAAGTGTAGGCGCTTATATACTTGATCTGATTGCGCCTCCCAAGTTGACTTCGGAGATCACTCAGTTGCCAACGCTCGAACATAAAAAGTTCTTGCGTGATCTGCGTAGTGGCAAAGTCAAGCAGATCTGCTTACTCGTCGCTGACGACGAGTGCGTAGCCGACATAAGGTCAGCAACACTGAATACTGAGAACGAGAGAGTTCTCAGTAGTTCATCGATGGACGAGAGCGTCCTCGATGAAAAGACACGAGTTGAGCGATATGACTCCCAATCGTGGGAATCGCGCAAGACAAATCCTCTCTATGAAGATTTGGTTGAATTCAAGGATGTATTCCCTGAAACTGTTCCGTGCGAGTTACCGAAGGATAAAGGTACTCGACACGAGGTCGAGCTCAAACCAGGCTTGAAGTACTATGTCATGAAGCAGTGGCCACTGCCTCGTGAACAAGTACTTGCGATCGACAAGTTCTTTTCCGATCGTTTAGCTGCGGGCCACGTGAGGGAATCAACTTCCTCACATAGCTCTCCGACCTTCTGTGTGCGAAAAGCAACAGGAGGGTGGAGGATAGTACACGCGTTCAACAAGTTGAATGCTGCAACGGTACCGGCTCAGACGTTGATTCCAAGGAAGGACGTAATCATTGATGGTATGTCAAGAGTACCATCTTTTCGTCCATGGATTTGATGGATGACTTCTATCAAATCCTAATGCGGGAACGGGATATACCCTATACCGCAGTTAGCACGCCAAGCGGCATGCTCTGGGAATGGCTAGTAATGCCACAAGGGCTTAGTAATGCCCCTGCCACGTTCAACAGATGTGTATCACATCTGTTTGAGACCAGTACGAGAATTCGCAACGAGTTATTTCGATGACGTATTCATCCATAGTTGGGCTATGGATGGAAAGTCGGACGTTGAGGTTCACAGGTGCCACGTCCGACAGGTTCTTACAATCTTGCGAAAGCATCAATTGCATGCAAACCTCAAGAAGTGTATATTTGCAGCAAGCGAAATACCACTTCTTGGGTACATCGTTGGTAAGAACGGTGTACGTCCTGATCCCGAAAAGATCAAGGCGATCACCGACTGGCCTGTGCCGGTTGATGTCAAAGGTCTTCGAAAATTCCTTAGGCTAGAGGCGTATTTGCACAAGTATTCACGCAGTTATGCCGATATGACTGTACACCTCTCTCGTTTGTTGAAAAAGAACGAGAGGTGGTTATGGAACGCTGAATGCCAGCGCTCCTTTGAGGGTATCAAGCAGAGCTTGATACAATCCCCATTCTTAGCAATTGCCGATCAGGACAGGCCATTTCATGTGGTCTGTGATGCCAGCGATTTCGCAATCGGCTGTGCACTTATGAGTACGATCTTGGAGGAGTTGAACGCGTCGTCTGCTATCAGTCGCGTCAGCTGCAACCAGCTGAGCGGAACTATCCAGTGCATGACAAGGAACTCCTTGCCATGAAGTACGCACTCGCGAAGTTCAGAGTCTATCTATTAGGAGATATACCCTTCATCGTTTACACTGACCGTGCGTCATTACGCACGGCAGTGAACAGCCCGCACCTTTCTCAACGAATGGCGTGGTGGTTGTCATTCTTTGCGGAATACAACTTTACGGTCGAGTACAAACCAGGACGACTTAATGTGGTCGCTGATGCACTCTCACGTCGTCCCGACTTTGAAACAGTCGCGAAACCCAACAGTGAGACAGTCACTGTTGCGGTTATGACGTCCTCAGTCCCATCTTCAACGTTACATGATGATGTGAGGCGGGCGTATGCCCAAAATGGTGAGATTGTGAAGTTGTTGACACATCTCTCACAACCATCTCGAGAATCGTTGAAATGATTATCGTCTGCGTATCAATCTGCATCAGATCGATACACTACTCGCAACGGGTTACTGGATTATACAGACGTTTCTGGTGACACACCACGTGTTGTCATTCCAGATGATACGGATCTGCGTTTGCGGATCATGTTCGAGTATCACGATGCTCCTATAGGAGGACATCGTGGCCGAGAGAAAACATATCTCACGGTGAGTCGAGACTTTTACTGGCCCCGCCAGTATCAGTTTGTGCGCAAGTATGTTCGTGCATGCGAAGTCTGTCAACGAGTGAAGTCAAGTCCTTCACTGCGTGCACCTTTACAGCCTCTACCGGTTCCGGCTGAGTGCTGGGAATCCATCTCAATGGATTTTGTCGTCGGTTACCCAAAGACGCACGCGGGAATACGGGTATTCTCGTATTTGTTGACAGATTCAGCAAAATGGTACACCTTGTGGCTGTACCAGAGTCAATCACGGCAAGTGGCTGTGCCCGTGTCTTTATTGACACCATCTTCCGACTTCATGGGCTGCCCCGTGAACTCGTATCAGACAGAGATCCACGATTCACTGCTGATTTCTGGCGCTCCGTGCTCAAATCACTTGGAACGCGCTTGAAGATGTCGACATCTGATCATCCAGAGTCAGATGGTCAGACGGAACGAGCCAATCTTGTCATCGAAGAGATACTTCGAGGATACGTACACTCCTTTAAGAGTTGGAGTGAGTTTTTGCCAACGGTAGAGTTTGCCATTAACAACTAGGTGCATGCGTCCACGACACATACACCGTTTTACGTGAATGGCTTGCGCCATCCGCGTGTACCCACCTTACTCGAGTGTAACTCTGGTTTAATGGGGGCAGAGACTCGCGCGAGCAGAAAACGATTTGGTTCACGCTCATCACGCTCTGACGATGAGGTCATTGCGTTTGATGCCGATTTCGATAACATTGATATCGAAGAAGATGATGCCAGTGAGAGTGCGGAAGCCCTCACTGAAGAAAAGATTGATGTTGCTGCAGTGCACTCACAGCGTACTGAAGCTAACGATTCATCAGATGAATTCATACTGGCTCGTGAAACGGTAGTCCGTTTTGTGCAAGACTCCATCGCCGAAGCGGTGGATAAGCAAAAGCCAAACGTAAACAAGAATGGAAGGGCAAACACTCTTTTATTTAATTAAGGTGACTTAGTCCTACTGTCTACGGTTAATCTACCAAAGCATGTAGTGACTAACTTGGGTACTAGTAAACTTCTACCTAAGTACATCGGCCCATTTCGTGTATTGCATCGCCTAGGCAACGCATACACGATCGAATTGCCACGTAAGATGCGAACGCATCCCACGCTTTACTTTGGTCGGCTTAAGCCGTACCATCAGTACGCTGCTTCTTCCGATGAAGAACGCCCTTGCGCTCAAGCATCTCGCAGAGAGCCTTGTGCTCCCGATGGTGGGCATCGACAAGGGTCTGAAGAGCAGCTATCTCATCCCGAGACCGATCAACAATCCCATGAGCTACCCTTAGCTCGTCACGCTGAGACGTCAGAGATCTCTCGTTCTCAAGCTGAGCAAAGGCAAACTCAGCTCGATGCTTCGAGACAGTGTCCCCCATTTGGAGACGCCTGTCCCGCTCATGTTCGAGATCGTTGCGTAACCCTTGCGTTACGCGATCAAAGAAGCTCTCGGGAACACACGCTCCCCCACGATAGTTTGGAGAGCGTCTTCCCTTCTCCTCCACCTCCATTAGAGGACTGTCGCGGTGGCCAGCGCTATCTGGTTGAGCAGCTGTTGAACCACCGCGACGTGAACGGACGTCGGACGAGTTACCTCGTCCGGTGGCGCGGTTATCCCCCGTCCTGGGATACTTGGAAGCCCCGCTCCCAACTGATGATTGACGTACTGGGTCTGGTTGAGCTGTACGACGCGGCACATCCTGTGCCGCAGAAGTACTACCGGAGAAAGTATTCCCGGCATGGTCGTAAAGGGATTTCAGGTTGTCAATCCCTTTGTACATCTCAGTAGAGATGCGTACGCGCCACCACGGGCTATTAGGGAGGTAAGCCTCCTTAGGTGCTCGTGCAGACCCACCATTCATTGACAGACGATGCCGCTTATAGCGTGCACCTGTCGGGGTTCTTTTCTCAAACTTATCACAAGCTTTGATAAGTTTGTCGCTCCAAACGTCACGACCTACATCCTCAAGGTTATGGATGTAGACGTTCCACGCTTGAAGCAGTGAGGGACCATCACGTTTGTGATTCCCACTGTATCATCAATGCTTAAAGAAAGCATCGATGAAGAACTCATGTTCAGTGCGATAGTTTTTCGCACTGGGGTCAAGGTGATGGATCCTTGACGAATCGAACAATCGTGTTCGATAGCGATCACTTGTCGTCGCCGACAAGCGATCCATGACTGACTATGGAGGCATCCATGCCTTCTTCTTGGGAGCGAGACGCAAAACACTGCGGCCCCGCTCTTATTGCGACGTGCCGACGGAAGGACTGGCACCTCGTTGCGAAGTGGTGTCAATAGGAGTACCGTCACCACTGTTCGCGCCCGAGTCTCACGACCTCGAGCGCCTTCACTTCGGCGATGGTTCATCTGATGAATCAGATGAACCAAAGATGCTACGACGCATAGCATCATCCATGCCACGCTTGGCAGGCGGCTTGGATTCGATCGCCGTCGACACAGATCCATCTTCCGTATTGGGAGAGTATGAGACACCGAGCTCATACTCTGTGAAGACATGAGTGTCTTCATGACAAGCGCCTGCATCACCAGGTGACACAGGCTGAGTCGCTTCAGAAACCGATGAGACATCAGTTGCTGCGGTTTCTGCTTCGGCGTCCGCACAGAGACGTGCGATCGCGCTCTCGGCGGCCTTGCTCGCGCATCGCATGAGCTTGTTAACCATGCGATGAATTGTAGGAAAGTGGACTCGGACCAACGAGTGCAAACCCTGTCCCAAATGATTTGGGACGATTATCCATTTAGTCAATCAGTAAATAAAGTGACTGATGGTTAAGGGTGGTGGGTGATGTAACGAGGTGAATCGTTACATAACAATTTATAAGACATTGTTAATAGAATAAAACTCTAAGAGTTAAATTCTCAGAATATTGTCATAAGGACAAATATTCTGTAGCACTTACAAGTAGTTCCTAATTGGTTGATATAGGCCATTATATCAACCAACGAAGACGCGCCAAGACTGACGCACGCAATGAGTGGTGAGCAGATAGTTGATTTACACATTTGTATTTAGACATAGTTAGATGAGGATAAACAGGGGGTTTATTACAGACATTAACTATAATAAATTAAGTTCTACTTTTTACTTAAACTAAGTACTCGCTTCTTCTTACCGTCTTCCTCTGCACGTACGAGTGTACGTGAAGTTACGCGGCACCGCCCCATTCTGTCAGCAGAACAAGTAGCTTGTACTGTCATCAGTACTAGCTTCAGGGTGCACCGTTACAAAAAGCAGCTTGAATTCGCTAAGCAATCATTGTTCTCACCTGCCCACGGCTTCAATCACCGTAAAGAGTCGTATCGCCTCACCAGCAACAGCTCTTTACCTCTGTCTTGCTTTGAGAACGAAAAACCTGAAGATGATGTTAAGCGAACCTGCTCGTAATGTCAAGCACTTTACCTCCATCTTCACATGGTCGAAGTTAGCGCGTCCATTGTCTATATTACCGAAAGTGTGAATCTAGTTCCAACCACACTGTACTTGTGAATACCCTGACGTAGTAATAGCGCGCTTTACGTGCTGGAAAAGACCTGTTCAACTCGACCAACATACTTTTGGGGTCCGCTCCCGTTGCTGTTTCGTACCGATAAACTGTAGCAAGTGAGGCACGTAAGCACTTACAAAAGACCCCTCTTTTATTCGTATCGGTGTTGCCACAACTACACATAATTGCTGCTATTCGTTGTTTCCTATACGCAGCGTGTTAGCACAAAAATATCCACGAAAGATTGACACCATATTTTCAACCGTGCATGGTCTTGAAGTACGTTGTGCTGATGGCCTTCTCGACAATGCATCTACAATATGTATGATTCTACAAACGCATATCGCAGATGAAAACAGGCCGCTGTATCGACAAAAGACAGCTTTAGTTGTCTTCGAAGTTGAACGAGGAGTCAACATGCAAAAGCGACCGTTACGCGGTGAAAGATATACATCGACGAGGCCATGATGATCGCAGGGATGGAATTATACATCGATTGTGTCATATCGTGAATTTGAGAAGACGAGGTAGACGCTTCAACGAGTACTAGAGGTCACCATATGTCGCTGAAGACCTGATTGCTGGTGTGCGACGCGTAGATGCTGTGGAATGTTTTTTGATCAGTTGCGCTTACATCGCTTGCAATACCTTTTCGTGAGACCAAAGTTCGAGCCAATTTTACAACGCCACAAGTGATACCAGTCTAAACGTACGTCGAGCTTCCAGTTAGAGATGGAGTTGGAATTTATGTGTGGTCTAGCGTCCGTGCCACCATTTGTGCCTCCAGCTGTGCGACGAATCTGTAATATAACGCGGTCTCTCAAAAGTCTCCTCATCGACGTCATCATTAAGAAGAAAGCGAGTGCTCATTTCTGTGGTCATGTGCCTTTGAGATTGCCGTTTGCAACACGTTTGTCAGGAGCAGGTCGGACGGGACTATTTTAAGACGTGTGGTGAAAGAGAAAGTATGAGAGCAAGCTTTATTTCATTGTACACTCACCAAACACGCCGAAAAACGTTGGGTGTCGCATGCGTCCACGCTATGGATCAAACGTGAACATGCTGAAGCTCCGCGCCCTTGGGCAAACACGTCGACGCTGGAAGAGGATGGTTACCAAATTGCTGATCATATTGATTGACGTGAAATACATGTCCCTCTTAGCCGAAGTAGTCACATGAGTGATGCTGAACTCGCTGAGGTAAAGGGAATTACCGCACCAAAGTACTGCCGCTAAGGCTGATATAGGCGCAGATGGATGTTTCCTGTATTACATACCAAGAGTCGACCATAACTATACATTAGTTAGCTGCGGCATGTCGTAAGTGTAACTGTACTTCTTGAAGATGTGAACTGTTCTGTAAGTTAAGCAATGGGGTGGATATGCAGAACATCGTCTTCTGTTCACCGACAAGCACTAGATGAAAAACAGCATCATAGATGGGTCGCATTACACATTGTGCACGACTTGATGTGTCGGCACCTACCCCATTTCTGCGTGCTGTGAGTTGGCTGACTCTGACACGAGCATTCGTAGACTTACAATGCGTACGGGAAAACTAGAGGCTAAGAAGTCAATATTTCGTACCAGCCACAATCGTTTCTTTCTTTTATATTCGATTCCTCCCCTTTTTTACAGTATTACATTAACTACAACAAGTAGTCGTTTTCGCGTCAATCGACGTTTTGAATTTCCTCGTCTAATGGCTGGTGACTAGTAGTGCGATAGGACGCTGCGAGTTCGTATCAAGATCCCAAACTCATCCACACGTGGTATCGAGCATTGATATCACCTGCTAAATTTGGATATCATAGATTTAGCTGGATAAATGCAACACAACTCAAAAAGGGGCGGAAAGGGAGTACATTAGCAAAAAAGGAGACCTAGGACTTTGTCGATCACATTCACATCTGTTTACTTTTCATTTACCTCTTACTAATTCATATCATTTACTTTCCATTTATCTCCTACCACTTAACTTTGTAATCCTGACAAAAAAATTGACTAGTCGCATACTATCTAATACAGTTGAGGGTCAAAGATGCAAGACTGTGTAACTCGTGTCAAATCGTATCGTCTACTGCATTAATAGTCAATGCATCATCTACTGCGAAGGAGGCGATAGATTCTGCTGTTCAAGCTAGCTGTACAAACGAAATATTACTATTCTTGCACAAATTTAGAGAATTGTTGAAAAGACGCCTTAAACTTGTTAAATGGACGCTTGGTAAAATGTACATTTTTGCCAACGTAATCGACCGCAAGCTCTTATTTGCGGGCAGAGAGTCATAAAAGTTGAATTGATGCATTAATCGATGAATATTTTTTTCAGGCTGACGTGACCCACCGCCGGCTTAGATTTGCTGCAGGAGAGTAAAAACAATCAAATAGGATGCAGAGCAGATCACAAAGTAATTTTGATCTTGACTACGTGCATGCTCACCCCACCCGAACATACTTGTGACAAGGCAGCGATGACCTTTATGCCTTCACTTTATGTTCCCATCTCCGCACGCCTTCAGCACCCCGGTAGCAGCAATTTCTGACGCTTTTTTAAAAGGCGTCCATTTACTAATGTTGTAGGCGTGCTTTTAACGACTACCCAAAATTACACTAGGCGATCTTGTTATTTCATTTTGCTGTAACAAACTTCAGATTACCGATGAGTTCTGCACATGCAAATTGAACCGTATTGATCAATGCCAGTGTAGCAAATCCAGTTATGACGTCGAGTACATGTGTCGTATTTTGCTTACTTCACGCATATCGATTTTCAAATTACAAAAGTAAAAATGTTAAATACAGCTTGTACATGCAATCAATCGTGCCACTTTACATGTCAAAAGTCGAAATACTAGAATCAGAAGCGCTAGCACCTCCGTCTACCGACAAAACAGCTCCTGCAATATTCATCGATCTGTTCCGTCGCATCGGACTGGTACCCGAACCACTGATCACACCTTCCATCTCTACATGGTCCAGACTACGATGTCGAGCCAGCTTTCCTTTGCTAGTTGTTGATGCTGCATAACTTTGCGGGGCTGGGGGTGACGGATCCAGGCTTGACAGATTCATGGAGCTTGGCGAGGTGTAAAATGATGGTACACGGCCGATTGCTTTCCGTCCGCTCCGTCTTTCGTCTTCTAGAGCTTGCTCGCCACGCAAGTATCGCACAGCACGTTCTAAGGCAAATTCCACGCGGCACATGCTACGGATACGTGCAATTGCTGGCCAACATGCCCGTTCACCAGCGAGCAAAATATCGGGGAAAGTCTCACGTGATGGATTGGTCATCACTGTTCGCAGCAATGTCGTGGCGGAAATCTTGTCGGTGGGGCAGATCGTGATATCCCCTTCGTACTTTTGCGTGAGCAGAGGAACTAAACCAATGTCGAGGAGCTTGAGTACGGAGGTATTCAGACCAAACTCGGCAATATTTTTTACGTACGCCTTCATTTGCTTCTTCAAAAAGCTCATGAGGCTTCCAGTCTGTTCATTTCCAAACGTTGAATGACCTGAAACAATCTTGTAATGAATGTTGACCTGGCTGACGATGAAGTGATTTACATTAAATAGCTCGGCCAGACGTTCCATTGGAAGATCGCACTCGACACTACCGTCACTCCACTTAAGCCCCTCTCGATAGTAGGGAACAATGTTTCCTTTCTCGTCCTTGGCCAACAGCTCGACAGGACGAAACACGTTCGGAATCGCACAAGACGCTAGGGAAGCCGACCAAATAATCACATTGGGGGCCGTGAGATAGTTGAGCAACTGGGGGTAGTCATCAGTGCTCAGCGGGGTTACGGTGACGTTAATAATCCGACCCGTCTTATCGTAAGCCTCTCTGAAGGTGTAGTCTCCCATTGCACTTCGCAAGCAGTTGCGAAGTGTCTTCGTATCTAGTAAGAAGCGCTTGTCCAAAAATCGGCCCAGGAGGACGAACGCATCCCGCACAAAATCAAAAGCACTTTTAGGAAGCACTACCTCGATCCGCGGTAATAAGGACGGCGTGTAATCAGCCCGATCCTGCTCGGTAATGTTTGCTTTCAAAAAGTCTAGATTCACACTTGATCCCGACAAAAAGCCCAGTGCTTCATCATCGTTGCGAACCCCGATAGCCCCCGCCAAAATCGACCCTGCCGAAGATCCAGCAATTACACTGGGCAGCAAATTGTTTTCCAACAGAGCTTTGATCACGCCCGCATGGTAAAACCCATGCGCTCCACCGCCGGACAACATCAACGCCGACCGCCCAAACGCATGCCGCGTCTCGCTAAAGAAAGCCAACTTGTTGTCGATCGACAAGTCGTCGTGCTCCTCGTCTGTTCGTGGCTTTGCACGCAGCACCACGTTCATGGACTGCACAATCGCGTCCAGATACTCTTCAATCACGTACTTGGTCCCCACTACACAAAGCAGTAACAAATCAGCAGTAGCATATTGAAAGCCATCAGTACCGCCACAGCATACAAAAATGGCGTCGTCCTCTGACTACCCATCCAACAACAGACAACACCGCGCGAAGAACGAGAGCAGCGACAAACCGTTGCTGACTGAGTACAACCGCGGGTTGCTCAGTCCCCAGTGTTTCCTCAAGAGTCCCGCCCGTAGCGCAAACATAAGTCGGACCACGTCCTTCTCACGCTCGAGCTTCTTGTACATGAGCGTCTTGTTCGTCACGCGCTCGTACAGAAAAAGGTTCGACTTGGGGTCCGCCCGCCACTTGTCGCGGCCCTCGACTTTGTCCAGCTCGCCGGCGATCGACTGGCGCTCGGCGAAGCTCTGGGCGTGCTCCAGCTGCTGCTGTAAGCGCAGCGAGCGTCGCCCCTTGGCACTGAAGCGACGAACGGCGTTGCCCACGACTTGACGAGCGACGGCCTGCAGCTGGTGGACAATGTGCAGCACGAACGTCGCGCAGAGGAACCGAGTGAACACGTCGGGCACGAGAAGCGCTCGCAGCGTCTGGAGCCACAGCTCCAAGAGCGTCACAACCACGTGATGGGTACATTCGTACTTTGCCGAAGCGGTACGGTACGCGCGCCGCTGTATGTGCTGCACAAGCCGCCTCATAAGCTTCTCCTGTCTCTCTAACCCCGTCGCAGCGATCCAGAAACGCAGCCATAGACGAGCAAGTGTGTACACATGCTGCTGGAGCCGTACTAACGAGCTCGACGGCTGCATGACGACCAGGGGCCGGTCCACGGACAGCTTTGAGCCCATTTGATTCCTTCCTTTAGGACGGTCGGACGCAACGCTTCGCGATCGTGCGACCATCACTCTGCAAGCATAGAGTAGTCAAGTCAACAAAAACTTCAACATGAAGAGGATGGGCTTCACGTCAAATTCAGCTTTGGATATTAACGTGAAGGTACAGGGAGTAAAAAAGGGCCAGCATGTGGTCGACGCGTCTAGCAGTCAATACCCGTAGCATGTCGCGGAATGTACTTCCCAGCCGTAAGCACCTCAGTAGCGATCTCGAGCAGCTGCTCGTCGCGTTTGCCTGCCAACTTGATGTCACTCAGTAGGTTCTGAATCTTGTTGGACGTCACGTCGCAGTACAGCGCCGTGAGCTTCTTCTCGTGCTCAGCCGATTCATTGCCGGCGATAAGCGACGAAGACGAACGTGAGATAGTGGCAGTCATGGCAAATAGCGCAATCGCCGAGTCAGCAATCCGCTCCAGCTGGATCTGCTCGTTCACGATGTTCTTGCCATGCTTGCGCAGCAGATACTCGACCGCGTCACCGAATTCCGCTGTACGCTTCTGCAGCAGATCGACTTGACTGGATAAGCTCGAGTGCGCCCCTTTCAGTGGCGGTGGCGAGAACTTTCGCTGCAAACGGTCCGAGATCTCCTTGGCCGCGTTCGACGGGTCTGATAGCGGGTTTTGGAGTAGCTTGCCAACGGCCGAAAGGCGTTCACCAGCAGTCTGTAGTGTACAATGTAGCAGCACGTTAAACTGGCAACAACACCAACAAGAAAGCATAGTCAACGTACTCGAATCCCACTAAGAGCGATGAGCATGCGGAGAATCTCGTTCGTGCCCTCAAAGATCGAAAGGATGCGACAGTCACGCATGAGACGCTCAAACGGCCACTCCTTCATGAAACCAGTGCCACCCATAACCTGAATGCACTCGTTGATACCGACAAAAGCTGCTTCTGAACCATACACCTTACACATGGCAGCCTCGATTTCGCAGGACGGATCACCGCGGTCGATCATGCCCGTCGTCATAAACGCCATGGACTCAATAGCATACGCATCCAGTGCCATCATACCAAACTTCTTCTGGATCAAGCCAAAGTTAGCTAAAGGTGCACCAAACTGCTTGCGCGAGTTCGCGTGCTCAGCTGCCGTTCCCAGCACCCGACGTAGCGACGCTCCAGCACAAGCCCCAAGGCCGAACCGACCATTATTCAGGATATTCATGGCCACCTTGAACCCCTGACCAACGCCAGCTGCGCCGCCTGTTTTCATGTCCGGACCACCGCCCAACACGTTTTCAATCGGCACTTTGCAGTTGTCAAAAAACACTTGACACGTGTTCGAGCCTCGAATGCCGAGTTTATCTTCGGGAGGACCACTTGTGACCCCTCCGAAAGCTCGCTCGACGATGAACGCCGTGACTTTGTCCGTGCCGTTTACTTCCGTCTGGGCAAACACCGTCATCACGTCCGCCCAGCCGCCATTACTAATCCAGATCTTGTCTCCATTCAGCACAAAGTGCTTGCCATCTTCCGACAGCGTCGCCCGTGTCTTGATGGACCCGGCATCGGATCCACTCGAAGGTTCCGTGAGGGCAAAGGCGGCAATGTGCTCGCCAGTGGCGAGTTTCGGGAGGTACTTGGCCTTCTGCGCTTCATTGCCATTGAGGAGAATCCCCTTCAGTCCGATCGACTGGTGCGCCATGACCGTCACGGCTAAACTCCCATCTGTAATCTCCTCACACACCCGAGCGTAGCCCGTGTTCGAGAGCCCGAGACCTTCGAGTTCCTCCGGGATCTGCAGGCCAAAGAGTCCGAGCTCCTTCATATCGTCCAGCACTTGCTGCGGGATCGTCTTTGTCTCGTCAATTGCACGCGAATCCACCGACCCAAAGAATTTTGTCACAGGGTCCACGAGCATCTGCAGCGTCTCGGCCTCGCTAGGAGAGAGTTTCGGGTACGGAAACGCTCGCGCAGCGTTGTTGACGCCAAGGAAGAGACCGCGCGTGTACGACACGTCGGTAGCTGCTTCTGCTGCAGTCTGTAGCCAGCGGACACCCCGTTGCAGGAGGAGAAGGCGTGGACGGGAGCGTAGAGGAGACAAGTGCATCATCACAAGATCTGATCAGAGAACCGAAGAGACGCTGGGTGGTCGTGGATTGGAGAATGACGACGAAAGGGCACAACCGAATCTCAAGATCGACCTGACGGGTAAATCTAGGTGAGATATGCGACGTGAAGACGTGTTGGCTACTGGAATCAGATGGTCATAAAAATAGTCGGATGTAAATAGAGACTCACAACTTGGTCAAATTCTTTTTTACCTGCACACTCGACCTATAGAGATCCAATGAAACAGCCAATCGCAGTCGAAGCTGTGAAAAGCTAGCTCACCACTATCCATTCACACGCCATCGGATTCTACAGGAGCTCGAGGCCCTCCTATCTTTGCGTGCACCACGCTATTTCCCCCTCTCACCTGCAAACACCGCACCAGCCGTCGCAGGCAGTCCTTGCCATGAGCAGCTTGGGCCAGCGGGTGCGCAATACCTACACGTCCGGCGCGCCGGCCAACTATGTCCCAGGCTTGGGTCGTGGCGCCGTGGGCTTCACGACGCGCTCGGACATTGGGCCAGCGCGTGCGCCCATGACGCAAGACGGGACGCAGGACGCGCCGTTCCTTCCTCCCGCTGGTCGGGGACGGGGCGTCGAGATTGCAGGCGTTGGACCCGGTGCCGGACGCGGGTCTGGGACCGCAGGAATGGGCGGATTCGGACGTGAAAAGGACGATAACGAGGACTTTGGCGACTACAGTGAGACGAACTACGACGAGTTCTCGGGCTATTCGTCCCGTGGGCTCTTCCAGGACACGCCCTACGATGAGGACGACAAGGAAGCAGACGAGACGTACGAGCAGGTGGATGAGCGCATGGACTCGAGACGCAAGCGGCGTCGGGAGATCCGGCAACTGGAGGAGCTCAAGAAAGCGCGCAAAGAAATGCCCAAGATCTCGGACCAATTTGCGGACCTCAAGAGTTCTCTCCAGCAAATGTCGGACGCGGACTGGGATCTGATCCCAGAGATTGGAGACTATTCGCTCAAGTACAAGACGAACACGGCACTGCAGAAACGCCACGAGATGTTTGCACCTGTGCCCGACAGTCTCTTGGGAACTACTGGAGCTCGAGTTAGTGGAACGATTACACCGGTGAATGGGATTGATACACCTGCTGGCATGACGAGCTCCGTAACGGGATTGGCAGGCGCGAGAGGCGCTCAGCTATCCCACAAGCTGGATAAGATGTCGGACTCGATCTCGGGCCAGACGGTCGTGGACCCGAAGGGGTATCTCACGAGTTTAAACAGTCTGAAGCTCACGAGCGACGCTGAGATTGGCGACATCAAGAAAGCGAGGCTTTTGCTAAGATCCGTGACATTGACGAATCCCAAGCATGGGCCCGGGTGGATTGCTGCGGCAAGATTGGAGGAAGTGGCAGGAAAGTTGGTGCAAGCAAGGAAGATCATTGCACAAGGGTGCGAGTCCTGTTCGACGCAGGAAGATGTGTGGCTGGAAGCAGCACGATTGCAAAATCCGGAGAATGCCAAGACGATTTTAGCTAAAGCTGTGCGACACGTGCCCAAGTCGGTCAAGGTCTGGCTCCAAGCAGCGCAGCTCGAAAACGATGACGAGCTTAAGAAGCTCGTAATGCGTCGCGCTCTTGAGTTTATTCCCAACTCGGTAAAGCTATGGAAAGCTCTCATTGAGCTGGAGGATGTTGACGGCGCTCGGATTCTGCTCGGTCGGGCTGTGGAGTGCGTTCCACAAGCTGTGGATCTATGGCTAGCTCTGGCTCGGCTCGAAACGTATGAGAACGCGAAGAAAACGCTAAATAAGGCACGCGCGGTTATTCCGACTGAGCCGTCGATCTGGATTACAGCAGCCAAGCTGGAGGAAGCCCAAGGCAAAAATCTCGACATGATTGATCGCATCATTCAGCTGGCACTGAAGTCACTTCAAAAACATCAGGTGGTCATGAACCGGGAAATGTGGCTTAAGGAAGCCGAAGCGTGTGAGCATGCTGGCGCACCATTAACATGTGCGGCAATCGTACGTGTTAGTTTGGATGTTGGGGTTGACCACGAAGACCGTAAACGTACATGGATGGACGACGCTGAAAACAGTATAAACCGTGGCGCACTACTAACTGCCAAGGCAATCTATGCAGCTGCATTGCAGGTTTTCCCAGGAAAGAAGTCGATTTGGCTGCGCGCGGTTGCGCTGGAGAAGAAAGTTCACGAGGGCAAGAGTCATGAACCTGTCGAACGGCTGTTGCAGAAGGCCGTTACTTGTTGTCCCAACGCAGAGATTCTGTGGCTTATGGCTGCTAAGGAGGTTTGGACCAACGGATCTGTCGAGAATGCCCGATTGATCTTGCGCCAAGCATTTAGTGCCAATCCGAATAGCGAGGCAATTTGGTTGGCAGCCGTGAAGTTGGAGTGGGAGAACGATGAAATTGACTTGGCTCGAGCATTGCTGGCTAAAGCACGCGCTCAAGCACCGTCGCCCCATGTATGGATGAAGTCTGTGCTTTTTGAAAGGGAATGTGCTGAGAATCGTAAAGACGAAGAAGATCTTGTCTTGGAAGGTATCAAGCTGTATCCTGGTTTTCCCAAGTTGTACATGATGGCTGGACAATTTTACGAATCCCTGGACCCACCGAGCTATGACAGTGCAAAGAAAATGTACCGCGAAGGTATTCAGCATTGTCCGACGTCAATTCCATTGTGGACTCTTTCCAGTCGACTGGAGGAAAAGATGAATGGTGTTACCAAGGCGCGCTCGGTGTTGGAGATGGCACGCTTGAAAAACCCGAAGACCGATTTGTTGTGGCTGGAGGCTGCTCGATTAGAAGCTCGGTGGAACAACCCTAAGGGTCAAGAAATGCTGATGGCCAAGGCTTTGCAAGAATGCCCTGAGTCGGGCATACTCTTGGCAGAATCAATTGACATTGCTCCTCGTGCGCAGCAGAAGCGTGCATCGTTCACCGCACTGAAAAAGAAGGACAACGATACGTCAGTGTGCTTGTCAGTCGCTAAACTGTTTTGGCAGGAACGCAAGTACTCAAAAGCACGCAAGTGGTTGGAACGAACAGTTCAGCTAGATTCAGATTTTGGAGATGCATGGGCACATTACTACCTTTTCGAGCTTAGGTATGGTACCAAGGAAGCGGCAGAAAAGATTTTGAAGCGGGCGGTGATGTCTGATCCTCATCACGGTGAAAAGTGGACGCGGATCTCAAAGCAGACACAAAATCGCCGCAAAAAGACTGAAGAGCTAGTAAAGCTTGTCAGCCTAACGTTGCCGTTTGCCGAACAACCGTAGGGGCACAATTGAAGTAAACGAAGAATGAGAGCTTTTTGATGCAAGTTGTACTTACGAACTAACTTCTTTGACTACTTGTAGAATATTACTTTGGCCCCTTGGGAGACAGTACAAGCGCCAATTAGAGATAAAATATCGAAACCTTGGCACGTGAAGGCTAAATAATCTCGCCTGAGCCTATCGCTGAGCATATCGTTAAATTCAACAGCCTTCAGCTCGTTTGCGCTGTTTAATTTTGATGGGGTGTATGTCGTCATGAAAACACTCCATTTCGGATAACAGAACCGCTGTCTTTGTTATCAACAATTCTTTATCCCCTCTTTGGTCGGCTTGCTACTGAACGATAACTAAAACAGTCGATCTCGATTCTTTGACATGTGTAGTTGCTAGTTTGGAAATAGTCGTGTTAACGTCATAATTGCTAGATTGGAAATAGCCGTGTTAACGTCCTGACAGGTAGTTCGCACATAACACTTTGTATCGCTTTCTTAGTCATGGTAAAGCTCGGTTGCGACAAGAACTGTGAGTCCCGTTTATTCCGCTCGGGCCATACAAACGGTTGTTTGGCTTCAAACCGTGAAACACTTGCGTTACAAGCAGCCGTAAGCGGATACTTTTACTCGCTGAGTTAGTCGTATAAAAGGATAAGAAGTACTGTTCTTCTCGTTGGTTTACGTAAAAAAGAAGTTCGTCGACTCACGTGCTTAACGAAGAGGCATAGCGGATTTCTGATTGTCAGATGAGTATACCTTACCATCAATCATTGATTCACGTTACGCAAAGCTCAGTTGGTCGTCTAATGACGATTACGCACTTCGTTTTTTCAGTTGTAATGATGCGACGCCAATGCTTCAGGAATGATGCAGAGCGCTTTGAAACGATATCGGTGGCCACATGGTAAGGCATGGTGTAGGCGGATAGCAATCACTTCAAGCAAAAAAAACCATGTGACCTTTGATGTAGTAGGTGGCATACCAGTGTACCCTATGAACTAGACCGTATTAATTTTTCACTTCGCCTTTGACCTCCATACGATCAAACTCACATTAACATCACTTATAATGTAATGAACGCAACGTCGTGCGGCCATTCTTAGTCTGCAATACCAAAGCCTTGTTTACTAATGGTTAAGCCCGACATGCATGGGGATATCAAAAGATCCGTCTTCTACACTATATTACCCTCAGTATTCGCACTATTTCGTGTGAAGCAAAACGGCGAGTAGTGAAGGGTAGCTTGGGAACGAGTCGAGCTAGCAGGCAAGCGAGTTTCTTCGCATCATGGGGCTAGCAACATTCCAGTACTTGACTGTGCTCCCCTCTACAAATTCTTTTTGTCCATTCTCGCTTTTGAACGGATGGCAATTGTGGTAGGGTTTAGTGAATGATGTTTGACAGCAGTAGCATAAATGAAAGTTCACATGAGCTCCTGTTTTCTCATATGCTATACACTCGGACGAGTGCATGTACAGTGTCAGCAATACCACATCATGCAGTTTGTAGTAGAAGCAGTATCATTAGAAATTATCTAACTTGGTTAAAAATAAAATTAATTGTAATTTAGATACTTTAAATATAAAACAATTTTTATGGTTTTTAAACAAAATACCACATCATGCAGTATAGGCATTGATCTCCATAGCAAGACTGCAACGTCTACATTGCAGCAATCCACGTAACCGTTTTGATACATATATTTATCGCTTAACAGCATGCGCTCTACCCGCATGCCCGTCCGCCAGGCGAACCATGAGTTCTGCCAAAGCTTGGACATAATTGCTGAGCAATCGTTTTGCTCAGCAGTTTTATGTCCCAGCACACTAAAGCATACGTTTACTGCTCATTCTTGAACGTACGGATTCAGCGTCTTATAAACAAGGTCCACGATACGTTCTCCACGATTCTTTCGTGATTGCACAAACACGTGGCCATGTTTAAGCGTCACGCGACATTGTGCTCACATGCTATGCCAAAGCTTCCCACAGAAGAGATTATTGAAGCAGCATACAACCAGAAAAACTTCATTGTTGTAGCCCTCGGCTCGTGGTACACAGTAATTTTTACCATCAATTCGCACCGATATCAACTTCATCTTCAGAGCTTTGTTGGCGATGTATTGCCATCAATAGGGGGTCGGGGGTCACCCCACCTTGAAATTGGACAGCCTCCGCCTTGCTGGCGCAGGTTTACTGATATGCAGACTATCCATCATCTAAGTCGGTCTATTCGATCGGCAGTTCGTTAACCTCCATCGTCCAATGACGTCCTGATCATTTCGAGCGTAGAGCTCGAGTAGGCCCACGCTTGATCTCTTTTGTAATGGCGTGCTAAACACAACCTTTGTCGGCATACTTTGAACGTATGAGGAAATAAAGATCGCTCTCACATCTTCTCTTTCACCTCTAATCTCTTGAAGCGGGTTAGATGACCCAAGATAAGAATCTAGGGTCGTCCAGCCCGCTCCTAGCAACCGTGTTGCAAACGGCAATCTCAAAGGCACATGACCCCAGAAATGAGCGCTCGTTTTCTTCTTAATGATGACGTTGATGAGGAGACTTATGAGAGACCGTGCTGGATTACAGATTCGTCGCACAGCTGGAGGCACAAATGGTGGCACGGACGCTAGACCACACATAGATTCCAACGCCATCTCTAACTGGAAGCCCGACGTACGTTTAGACTGGTATCACTTGTGGCGTTGTAAAATTGGCTCGAACTTTGGTCTCACGAAAAGGTATTGCAAGTGATGTAAGCGCAACTGATCACAAACATTTCACAGCATCTACGCGTCGCACACCAGCAATCAGGTCTTCAGCGACATATGGTGAACTCTAGTACTCGTTGAAGCGTCTACCTCGTCTTCTCAAATTCACGATATGACACAATCGATGTATAATTCCATCCCTGCGATCATCATGGCCTCGTCGATGTACATCTTTCACCGCGTAACGGTCGCTTTTGCATGTTGACTCCTCGTTCAACTTCGAAGACAACTAAAGCTGTCATTTGTCGATACAGTGGCCTGTTTTCATCTACGATATGCGTATGTAGAATCATACATATTGTAGATACATTGTCGAGAAGGCCATCAGCACAACGTACTGCAAGACCATGCACGGTTGAAAATATGGTGTCAATCTTTCGTGGATATTATTGTGCTAACACGCTGCGTATAGGGAACAACGAATAGCAGCAATTATGTGTAGTTGTGGCAACGCCGATACGAATAAAAGAGGGGTCTTTTGTAAGTGCTTACGTGCCTCACTTGCTACAGTTTATCGGTACGAAACAGCAACGGGAGCGGACCCCAAAAGTATATTGGTCGAGTTGAACAGGTCTTTTCCAGCACGTAAAGCGCGTTCTTACTACGTCGGGGTAATCACAAGTACAGTGTGGTTGGAACTAGATCCACACTTTCGGTAATGTAGACAATGGACGCGCTAACTTCGACCATGTGAAGATGGAGGTAAAGTACTTGACATTGCGAGCAGGTTCGCTTAACATCATCTTCAGGTCTTTCGTTTTCACAGCAAGACAGAGGTAATGTAACGGGGTGAATCGTTTCAAAACAATTTATAAGACATTGTTAATAGAATATAACTATAAGAGTTATATTCATAGAATATTGTCATAAGGACAAATATTCTTTAGCGCTTACGAGTAGTTCCTAATTGGTTGATATGGGCCATTACATCAACCAACGAAGACGCGCCACGACAGACGCACGCAATGAGTGGTGAGCAGATGGTTGATGTACACATTTGTATTTAGACATAGGTAGATGAGGATAAATAGTGATTTATTGCAGACAAAAACTGTTATCAATACAGTTCTACTTTTTACTTTAACCAAATACTCGCTACTTCTTACCGTCTTCCTCTGCACGTACGAGTGTACGTGAAGTTACAAGGCACCGCCTTATTCTGTCATCAGAATAAGTAGCTTGTACTGTCACCAGTACAAGCTTCAGGGTGCCCCGTTACACCTGGTAGCACTTCGTAGTCCGTCCAAGGACCGTGTTCACATCCAACATGAATATGTTGGATGATGAAGATGACCAAAGCTTTCATGCTACGCGTGACGGCTACTCCCATTTGAGCGATGTCGAATGGGATGCGGTTGAACGGATGTGTTCAACCATGGGCATCCATGCTGTTAGCGTCATGCTAGAGGCTCTCAATAGAGATGCCCAACATGCTACTATCGCCAAGTTCATTCAAAATGAACTTGACGCAGAACGCGAGAAAGTAGCCTTGCTTCACCAACAAGGTTCTCAACAAGCAGAGTTGTTGAGAGAACAGGGTGCTCAACAGTTTGAACTGTTGAGACAGCAGCAGGCTGCTGCTGGTGGGTCGATGCACTCGCGTCGACCCGAGACTTTGAAGATTGACATCTCAAAGTATAGGGGGGTCGAAGAAGACTCCCTATTGAGATGGTTCGTCGAATTGGATGACGCCATAAGGGCGCATCACATCGACGACGGGGAAATGCAAGTTGCATTTGCCCAGTCAAATCTGGCAGGACGTGCCAAGACTTGGGCTTTGGGGCTCAAGTTGCACGACCCATATGCGTTTGGGTCGCTAGACGTCTTCAAGTCGCGGCTCAGACAAACTTTTGAACCGCCTAGAGCTGAGTTCAGAGCTCGAACTGAACTCTTGAAGATCAAACAAGGTAAGCGTGATGTGCACGTTTACGCAAAACATTTACGACATCTAACGAGTTGTATAAGTTCCAACCCGGTTGATGAACGCACGTTGGTTTCGGTGTTCATGCAGGGTCTTGCGGATGGTCCCGTCAAGACTCACCTGTTCCGACTTGAACTAGATTCACTAGAACAAGCCATTTCCATTGCGGAACAGGAAGACTTCAGTCTGAGACAGGCTCGCGCCAGCTCGACATCATACCGTCAATCGAGACGATATGACAACGGAGGTCCAGAGCCGATGGAACTCTGTTATGTAGAGAGCGAGAAGGCTCGCTCTACAGACTACAAGAAGTTGCAGAAATGCAGCAGATGTCACAAGACAGGACACTACGCTTACGAGTGTAGTGCCCCTCGTCCAGTGTCTCGAAACTCTGGGCGTAGTGACCGTCCACCCATCAGACAGGAGCAGGGACGCGGGTCCGCTGTTGGTGCAAAGATGCAACAACGGGATGGACCGTCAAAAAACGGACATGATCAGTAGGTGCGGAGCACCCTACTGGTCCAGCAACGTCAAGAGAATTTGTGGGCCTCTTGATGAAGGTTGCTCCCAACATACAAACGTTGTGCGTTGCTGCTCTAGGTAATGAGATCTCACTCATTACCTTGAAACTCGAAGTGACAAATAAGTTGTCCCTTCGAGCTCTAGTCGATTGTGGGGCGTCCAACAATTTTGTGCGACGCCAATCGCTAGAAGATGGTCACTTTAAGTTTGATGAATGTGACACACCTCTTTCGAGGATGACTGTACGTCTTGCGACAGGCGCATCCGTAACCGTCATGAAGCGTGTAGTGAAGATCCACTATACGCTAGAAGATACCCAAAATGATGATGACTTTATCGTATTGAATTTGGATGACAAATTTGATGTAATTCTTGGAATAACGTGGCTCAGAAGGTACGAACCACGAGTAAACTGGCAACATCGAACAGTAACGATGCCTGCCGCTTGTTCATCAGATGGACATCTGATGAACGTTTTGGAGCGTCCACAAGCGTGTGGATGTACTACGAGTGAGTGCGATGGCCTCACTTGTAGTACGGTCGTTAGTACGACTGCACAAAACCTTAGTGTACCAAACGGTTACACTTCGGAGCAAAGTTCCGGCGGCTGTGAGGAAACACAGGCTGAGCCGAAGGTCCACCACTCGATAAAGTCGAGTAGACCGGGACAAAGATGTATCCCTGGCGGGGAACATCCAGAAGAAAAACCATCGATCGCTCAGGTTAAGCGAAACGATAATCCTAGATCGACTGGAGAGTCTTTCGTAGAGGATCTCGCTGTGGTTGCGCAACCCCAGCTAGAGGAAGTAAAGGGAATAATTCCCGATATTACAAATGCAGTGGAAATAAGTTCCCCGAAATCCGAGGGAATAAGTCCCCGGGAAGCCGAAGGAATAAGTCCTTCGAGGCCTGAGGGAATAAGTCCCCAGAAAATGACAGAGACATTGAATGCCATAGTCAATGACGGATCAAGTGTAGGCGCTTGTACACTTACTCTGATTGCGCCTCCGAAGTTGACTTCGGAGATCACTCAGTTGCCAACTCTCGAACATAAAAGGTTCTTGCGTGATCTGCGTAGTGGCAAAGTCAAGCAGATCTGCTTACTCGGCGCTGACGACGAGTGTGTAGCCGACATAAGGTCAGCAACAGTGTTTACTGAGAACGAGAGAGTTCTCAGTAGCTCATCTATGGAAGAGAATGTCCTCGATGAAAAGACACGAGTTGAGCGATATGACTCCCAATCGTGGGAATCGCGCCAGACAAATCCTCTTTACAAAGATTTGGTTAAATTCAAGGATGTAATCCCTGAAACTGTTCCGTGCGAATTGCCGAAGGATAAAGGTACTCGACACGAGGTCGAGCTTAAACCAGGCTCGAAGTACTGTGTCATGAAGCAGTGGCCACTGCCTCGTGAACAAGTACTTACGATCGACAAGTTCTTTGCCGATAGTTTAGCTACGGGCCATGTGAGGGAATCAACTTCCCCACATAGCTCTCCGACCTTCTGTGTGCAAAAAGCAACAGGAGGGTGGCGGATAGTACACGCGTTCAACAAGTTGAATGCTGCAACGGTACCGGCTCAGACGCCGATACCGAGGAAGGACGTAATCATTGATGGTATGTCAAAGAGTACCATCTTTTCGTCCATGGATTTGATGGATGGCTTCTATCAAATCCTTGTGCGAGAACGGGATGTACCCTATACCGCAGTTAGCACGCCAAGCGGCATGCTCTGGGAATGGCTAGTAATGCCACAAGGACTTAGTAATGCCCCTGCCACGTTCAACAGATGTGTATCACATCTGTTGAGACCAGTACGAGAATTGCGACGAGTTATTTCGATGACGTATTCATCCATAGTCGAGCTATGGATGGAAAGTCGGATGTTGAGGTTCACAGATACCATGTCTGACAGGTTCTTAAAATCTTGCGAAAGCATCAATTGTATGCAAACCTCAAGAAGTGTATATTCGCAGCAAGCGAAATACCACTTCTTGGATGCATCGTTGGTAAGAACGATGTACGTCCTGATCCCGAAAAGATCAAGGCGATCACCGACTGGCCTGTGCCAGTTGATGTCAAAGGTCTTCGAAAATTCCTTGGGCTAGCGGCGTATTTGTACAAGTATTCACGCAATTACGCCGAGATGACTGTACACCTCTCTCGTTTGTTGAAAAATAACGAGAGGTGGTAATGGAACGCTGAATATCAGCGCTCCTTTGATGGTATCAAGCAGAGCTTGATACAATCCACAGTCCTAGCAATAGCCGATCAGGACAGGCCATTTCATGTGGTCTGTGATGCCAGCGATTTTGCAATCGGCTGTGCATTAATGCAGTACGATCTTGAAGGCGTTGAACGCGTCGTCTGCTATCAGTCGCGTCAGCTGCAACCGGCTGAGCGGAACTATCCAGTGCACGACAAGAAACTCCTTGCCATGAAGTATGCACTCGCGAAGTTCAGAGTCTATCTATTAGGAGATATACCCTTCATCGTTTACACTGATCATGCGTCATTACGCACGGCAGTGGACAGCCCGCACCTTTCACAACGAATGGCGCGGTGGTTGTCATTCTTTGCAGAATACAACTTTACGGTCGAGTACAAACCAGGACGACTTAATGTGGTCGCTGATGCACTCTCACGTCGGCCCGACTTTGAACCAGTCGCGAAACCCAACAGTGAGACAGTCACTGTTGCGGTTATGACGTCCTCAGTCCCATCTTCAACGTTACATGATGATGTGAGGCGGGCGTATGCCCAAAATGGTGAGATTGTGAAGTTGTTGACACATCTCTCACAACCATCTCGAGAATCGTTGAAATGATTATCGTCTGCGTATCAATCTGCATCAGATCGATACATTACTCGCAACGGTTTACTGTTTTATACAGCCGTGTCTGGTGGCACACCACGTGTTGTCATTCCAGATGATACCAATCTGCGTTTGCGGATCATGTTCGAGTATCACGATGCTCCTATAGGAGGACATCGTGGCCGTGAGAAGACATATCTCACGGTGAGTCGAGACTTTTAATGGCCCCGCCAGTATCAGTTTGTGCGAAAGTATGTTCGCGCATGCGAAGTCTGTCAACGAGTGAAGTCAAGTCCTTCACTGCGTGCACCTTTACAGCCTCTACCGGTTCCGGCTGAGTGCTGGGAATACATCTCGATGGATTTCGACTTCGGGTTACCCAAAGACGCACGCGGGAATACGGGTATTCTCGTATTTGTTGACAGATTCAGCAAAATGGTACACCTAGTGGCTGTACCAGAGTCAATCACGGCAAGTGGCTGTGCCCGTGTCTTTATTGACACCATCTTCCGACTTCATGGGTTGCCCCGTGAACTCGTATCAGACAGAGATCCACGATTCACTGCTGATTTGTGGCGTTCCGTGTTCAAATCACTCGGAACGCGCTTGAAGATGTCGACGTATGATCATCCAGAGTCAGACGGTCAGACGGAACGTGCCAATCGTTTCCTCGAAGAGATACTTCGAGGATACGTACACTCCTTTAAGAGTTGGAGTGAGTTTTTGCCAATGGTAGAGTTTTCCATTAACAACTCGGTGCATGCGTCCACGACACATACACCTTTTACGTGAATGGCTTGCGCCATCCGCGTGTACCCACCTTACTAGAGTGTAGCTCTGGTTTAAGGGAAGGGGAGACTCGCGCGAGCAAAACCCAATTTGGTTCACGCTCATCACGCTCTGACGAAGAGGTCATTACGTTTGATGCCGATATCGACAACATCGATATCGAAGAAGATGATGCCAGTGAGAGCGAGGAAGCCCTCACTGAAGAAAAGATTGATGTTGCTGCAATGCACTCACAGCGCACTGAAGCTAACGAGTCATCAGATGAGTTCATACTGGCTCGTGAAACGGTAGTCCGTTTTGTGCAAGATTCCATCGCCGAAGCGGTGGATAAGCAAAAGCCAAACGCAGACAAGAATGGAAGGGCAAATACTATTTTATTTAATAAAGGTGACTTAGTCCTACTGTCTACGGTTAACCTACCAAAGCGTGTAGTGACTAACTTGGGTACTAGTAAACTACTACCCGAGTACATCGGCCCATTTCGTGTATTGCATCGCCTAGGCAACGCATACACGATCGAATTGCCACGTAAGATGCGAACGCATCCCACGCTTTACTTTGGTCGGCTTAAGCCGTACCATCAGTACGCTGCTTCTTCCGATGAAGAACGCCCTTGCGCTCAAGCATCTCGCAGAGGGCCTTGTGCTCCCGGTGGTGGCCATCGACAAGGGTCTGATGAGCAGTTATCTCAGCCCGAGACCGCTCAACATCCCCACGAGCTACCCTTAGCTCGTCACGCAGAGATGTCAAAGCTCTCTCGTTCTCAAGCTGAGCAAAGGCAAACTCAGCTCGATGCTTCAACACAGTGTCCGCCAGTTGGAGACGCCTGTCCCGCTCATGTTCGAGATTGCCGCGCAACGCAAGAGTTACGCGATCAAAAAGGCTCGCGGGGACACACGCTTCCCCAAGAGAGTCTGGAGATTGTTTTCCCTCCTCCTCCACCTCCATTAGAGGACTCTCGCGGTGGCCAGCGCTATCTGGTTAAGCGGCTGTTTAACCACCGCGAGGTGAATGGACGTCGGACGAGTAACCTCGTCCGGTCGCGCAGTTATCCCCCGTCCTGAGATACTTGGGAGTCTCGCTCCCAACTGATGATTGACGTACTGGGTCTGGTTGAGCAGTACGACGCGGCACATCCTGTGCCGCAGAAGGAACTCTGGAGAAAGTATTCCCGGCACGGTCGTAAAGGGATTTCAGGTTGTCAATCCCTTCGCACATCTCAGTAGAGATGCGTACGCGCCACCACGGGCTAGTAAGGAGGTAAGCCTCCTAAGTTGCTCGTGCAGAGTTGTTCACACAACATGGGCACGAGTCTCCCCAAGAGAGGCAGGGTAATCCCTTCTCCCTTGACAGACGATGCAGCTTGTAGCGTGCACCTGTCGGGGTTCGCTTTTCAAACTTATCACGAGCTTTGATAAATTTGTTGTTCCAAACGTCACGACCTACATTCTCAAGGTTATGGATGTAGGCGTTCCACGCTTGAAGCAGTGAGGGACCATCACGTTTGTGACTCCCACTGTACCATCGATGTCTGAAGAAAGCATCGATGAAGGATTCATGTTCAGTGCGATAGTTTTTCGCGCTGGGGTCAAGGTGATGGATCCTTGACGAATCGAACAACCGTGTTCGATAACGATCACTCGTCGTCGCCGACAAGTGATCCATGACCGACTTTGGGAGGCATCCATGCCTTCTTCTCGGGAGCGAGACGTAAGACATTGCGGTCCCGCTCTTCCTGCGACGTGCCGACAGAAGGACTGGCACCTCGTTGCGAAGTGGTGTCCATAGGAGAACCGACACCACTGTTAGCGCCCGAGTCTCGCGACCTTGATCGCCTTCGCTTCGGCGATGGTTCATCTGATTCATCAGATGAACCAAAGATGCTGCGACGCAAAGCATCGTCCATGCCACGCTTGGCAGGCGGCTTAGATTCAATCGCCGTCGATACGGATCCGTCATCCGTATCAGGAGAGTACGAGACACCGATCTCGTACTCTGTGAAGACACGAGTGTCTTCATGACCAGCGCCTGCATCACCAAGTGACACAGGCTGGGTCGCTTCATCAACCGATGAGACATCAGTTGCTGTGGTTTCTGCTTCGGTGTCCGCACAGAGACGTGCAGACGCGCTCTCGGAGGCCTTGCTCGCGCATCGCATGGGCTTGTTAACCATGCGATGAGATGTTGGAAAGTGGACTCGGACCAACAAGTGCAAACCCTGTCCCAAATGATTTGGGACGAGTACCCATTTAGTCAATCAGTCACTAAAGCGACTGATGGTTAAGGGGGGGGGGTGATGTAACGGGGTGAATCGTTACATACCAATTTATAAGACATTGTTAATAGAATATAACTATAAGAGTTTTATTCTCAGAATATTGTCATAAAAACAAAGATTCTCAGAATATTGTCATAAGGACAATATTCTGCAGCACTTACGAGTAGTTCCTAATTGGTTGATATGGGCCATTACATCAACCAACGAAGACGCGCCACGACAGACGCACGCAATGAGTGGTGAGCAGATGGTTGATGTACACATTTGTATTTAGGCATAATTAGATGAGGATAAACAGTGATTTATTGCAGACAAAAACTGTTATCAATACAGTTCTACTTTTTACTTCAACCAAGTGCTCGCTTCTCCTAACCGTCTTCCTCTGCACGTACGAGTGTACGTGAAGTTACGAGGCACCGCCTTATTCTGTCATCAGAATAAGTAGCTTGTACTGTCACCAGTACAAGCTTCAGGGTGCCCCGTTACATTAACCATGCGTATTGCATCGTTTACCTCTGGGTTTTCTCACTAAAAACTAAAGCTGGTACGACAAGGTGACACATAGCGATGTTTATAAAAGTGTCGCCGTAGGGCGATGACGCACCGACATTTTGCATACCACAAGTTAAAGCCGTATGCATCATCGAGACTCTGACCTAGGATATTATACTTCTAGAATGAAATACACTGACGTCCCAAATAAGTTATTAATAGATTACACGTCGGTGCGTCGCATTGGCTGAAGTTGCTGTGATACCTTGTGCGCTACTACGCGTTGGTCGATATCATAAGGACTTTAGGTGCCGCTTATTGAGGTGTGCGGCGGCCGCAAGCCATTATAGAAAGTGCCTTTACCAAGCTCTGTATAACTTACTTAGTCCTCTGGGTTGAAGTATTGTACACTGTACTATATTTAATCTCACTATTACCAGTCCTGCTGATTAATACTCGATGCATGGCCCGTGTGCTCGTAGATGACATGCTATAAATTTGAACGCATTCCCTCTTGCCATCTGACAGACGCTTCCCCGCCATACTGTCTTCGCAAGAAATCCGGTTACTTGTTAAATCAGGCACCTCACGCCTGGTATTTTGTCCCTTGTCGTAGATTTGTTACCTTCTTAGCATAAGGCTACCTTTCATGGCAGCGCAAAAAAACTGTATTTCAAGCACCTCTTGTTCTGCAAAGTTCCCCTTGAGTTCATTAAATTCATTTCTTGACTTCGTACCGTACACGTGGCTAATGCGCATAGTTGCCGTCGTTTTTGGTAGTAGTTAAGCACTAATACTGAGAGCTGGTGACATGTGGGTTATTAATCGCCGAGGGTGTCACAACGACGACACTCCGAAGTTAGACAAGCGACCGTTCCATTTGTTGACTGCCCCCCTACCCGGATCGTATTACTATGTACACAATTCGAGTGGCCGGATGCCCTACTAGTCATAAGCAATAAAAGGTTTATTGAGGGGCAGGAAGTTGCATGAACAAAGTTACAAACTTTGATTGCACGTTTGAGCGTTCTCAACATTGCGTCGTATGTGTTTTCTCAATATTAAATATAAACACGTAACATTGGTGCGACACTCCACAAGAACCAGGCTTAGCCCGTCATTAACTTTTTATAGCGGCGAAATTATCGGATTTATACACATGTCGTGTGCAATGAACTTATGCTCCATTTTATTTGGCTTCACGCTACCGGATACCGAGGTCTCTCCGACCAGTTCCCCAATCCAATTTACAGATAATGTCTCGACACCGTCGATCTCGATCTTTTTACACGACTTCTCTCCGTCTTATAAGATTTATTTGTAAGTAAATATCAAAGAGAATTTATCGTAATGTTTCAGCATTAAGGGGCTGGAGTGAGAGTCAGGGCGTCTTCAAGCACTTTCTATCCAGCCTTTCACGCGGTAAATAGTCATGCCATTCAACACCTGCTCGAAAACGAGCTACACCGTTTGTTAAATTAAAAATTGTGGTATACATGCGCATTACGCACTATTCGTAGAGCTATGAGCCCCGTCGTCTCGAGCTGTGGCTGAATAATATTAGGACAGGCCTGAGTTTTAAAACGTCGCTATGCAAGAATCCCACAGAACTCTGCATCTCCTTGTCAAAAGGGCCCCACTGCGTCAAACGTCCGCCTTTTACAATGCAATTTCTGTTGTCAATGAATACCCGGAAGTGGGTAGTACTTGCCGCGCTTTTGCTTTTGGTGAAGATAGTTCTGCAACCTCATTTCCTATATTGACCAAATCAGCTTATCTCTTCGTAAAATATCTGATTAGGGTAGGTGGTAAGCTTTATCCTAGCATGTTCTGAATCTCATGCAACATTTTATGTTCCGATCCACGCTCGTTTACAAATGATTGCAGTCTTCCTCAGCTGTGCTCTGATGTGCAATTTTAGCCACGTGTTCTTTGTTTTCATAACGTCCATTGCTACATCGGCTTTTCAGTCAAGGTCCCCTGTAAAATAAGTAATTTTTGACCTGGCAAACGACTTATGATATAGGGAATGGGGATCTCTTTGTCGCCAGCTCGTTACGTGAGAGCTGGTGTCGCGTGTCCCATTATCATTCCGACTATCAACAAAATTCCGATATCTAGAAGTCCATTCTTTTGCATTTGATAACAGAACAACCAACCCAGAATCTTTTTGTCGTAACGTATAAAGTGGAGATGACGTACCTGCACCGGTTCACGCAGTAGATTAGCAAGTAATCGCAAAATTACCATTCGAATCCCTTCCAATTGTGCTACTGGGCTGCACTTGAGCACACGAATTCATCGCAAGTACAGGGTGATTACTTTATACGCGACATGCATCCTTCGCTGCCTCAAAGTTGTTTCGCATTGGGTGCATCCTGTATACATGTTGCTTTAATACGTTTCACGGTGCTTTCGTAATTGAATTAACTCCACTCTAATGTTTTTAAGCGCGCTATTTATCGTCGTCCTTTTGTAGCTTTGAAAAGTCGGTAAAAAAGCCTCAAGACCTGGGTACTCTTCCGTGTTCACGTTACGATTGCACACAACCTGATAAAGACTTCATGAATTCAAAAAGAATAATGAAAGGAAGGCCTGCAGCTGATGTTGACATATACAGCGAATTATTCGATAGGCAATGAATCGACTATGTCTACGCTGGAACGGAATGTCTGAGCTCCATCAGTGCCTACTATACTTGTGTCAACACCTTAAAAGAATCGAGATGAATTTACTGTCTTGGAATTAGATGCGGTGCTGGTATGCCACTGTTATTACTAAACAATTCGCTTCAAATCGTTCTCAGGTTGACTTTTTAGTTGCTTCGATGTGACAGCCCTACGCAGAAGAGAAGAATTTTGTCCCAACACTATATGGTGTACACCGTTATCTCACGCAGCATGCAACGAACAAGCGTCGTATTTGTCACGTCTTAAGCACTATGAAGATAAAATAAGGTGCTGAGGTTTTTCAAAGCGTACTTATAAGAATACTTTTAGCAAGAGATAGCGAACCGCCCGCCACTGTCTATAACCAATACATCAGCTGGACGTCCGCGAAAAGCACGCAGTAAGGTCTGCTGTAGTACGCGGTGTTGTGCTTTTCTACCACGATGCTCTCTGGATCAAAAGCCGGCTCCGTTCTAGTTTACGATGTGCTGCTGCATCTCCTCCGTATGGCACCATTGCTCCTCTCGCATACATGCGAAGTCAAAGCCGCGCGCACCTGAGAATTTGTCGGCAATGAAGTCCTTGTATACGTATGTGATACAGTCGCATCTACTCTCATGCTTTGGTGTAGTCGGTCCCTTCTTTCCAAAGTCTGTTCGTAAAGATGTGCTCTTGACTTCAACGTGGCGGCAACGCTACAACTCTCGCCCCCGTCGATACATAACTATCGAACATGGGCAACATCGCATCTGTCGCACTGAACTCTCGTGAACAAATCTGCCCTCGACGTTCATTTTGGGCTTTTCTTTTGTTGCTGGATCAAATGGAGAAGTAATTGTGCAGTATTGTCACGCCGAGTTGGTCCGATGTCGCTGCTCCATTCTTGACGGCTTGTCTAAATACACATGGATCACTTGTCTGAATCACTTGTGCAGCATTATGAGGTTCAGTGCTAGTCGATGCAGTGTTTCAACCAGAAGCTGATTTTCATCCAAAGCTGAACGTGAACAGTGAGTGGTGCTTTCGTCAACTGAAAAGCAACTGCAACATCAACAAGACGCTTGGACGTCCATCACGATACGGCTGGGTCCACACAGTCCGTAGCACTTGCAGCTTTACTTGTGGTTTTGACTGCGCACCTCGTGCTTCGCATTGGTGCGTTTGGATGCCATTATGCGCAAATGTAAAGAGGAATGAAGCTCGATTTGCACTGAAAACTGTCTCCACACTCGTGGCGAATGCCCGCCGTGCAGGATGATTGCACCTGACGTTGCAACAACCGGTGAAACAATGCGATGCAACTTGCTGCAGTACTCGAGCATCAAACGAATCATGCAAAATTTTACGCTTTGCTGACGGTTCATTGAGTCAATGATGCACCAAGAATGGGCATTAAGTACACCTCGAGGTTTCATCACTTCGGCAGTTTGAAGTGGACTTTGCTGGCGTTTAGTGTCGGCTTATTATGCAGAAATTATGGTCATGTGCATCTCGTAAGCGCTGTTGCTTTTTCGTTGCACAATTAAGAAGTACAAGTCCGTGAGTTCACGCAGTGTCATTTTATTTATATTCATTCGATCGTGCACACAAACCAAACAACCATTTGCTGCTTGTCATTTTTTCAGGAGATAGCCAATGCCACCATAATTCACGCATCGATGCGTTTAAGTATTACACCCACTCAGCATTTGTACCGGGACGCATTGACTCCACTATTGAGCGAATAGCCTCAATCTCCAATATTCGCCCATAAACGATACTCTCTGCCAAGTACCGCGGCATCAGTCCCTTAAAGTCTGCCCGTACGACGCATGTAAGTCTTGTTAAAGACGCGCCGTGCATTTGAAAGCCCATGTCTTCCTCGTCTCCTACAAAAGGTTCAATTAAGTAACCACCAGTTGCAAACGCCATACGCACAACCCCCTTGCGCACAGGTACATCTGCACGAGGAACTGATTCCTGCAGCACGGCGTATGTATCCGGCTTTCCTGTTCGCTCTACAAAACTGTGAAGGTCGCAAGAGTCACGTGGCTTCACAAGCCATGCTGGCCATAGCGACAATTTCGAGTGCTGATGGTAAAGTACCACCTTCGAGTCATCCAGAGGCTCCACCCTCGAAACCTTTGCCTTGTTGTCATTATCTGTACTTCCGCCATCAAGCGATTGTAGATACTGAAACACGTTTCTAGGCGTCGAAGCAATAATAACACTTCCTTTCATCTCCACAAGACGATTTCTTTCGGACGCAAATCTCCCAGATGGACACAAGAAATGAGCAGGTGTTTTGCGTAACACCTCAACATCATTACGGCTCCTGTACGCTGTCCACTCTGCAAAATCAACATCATTTGCATGAAGCAGCCGCTGCAGACCATTTTGCGAGAGCTTTGCATAGTACACCTTCATCAACTGATTGTCGCGATGACTTGCGTAGCCCATAATTTTATCCAGCTCGCCCATTGACACAGGCATTGCATGATTTCGTCGCTGTGGGACACTTAAAATCTCGCTCGAACTTCCACCGTCTTCGTCCTCTTGGATCTCAGTCGGATATGCCGCAGTTTTCGACGTCTTAAGCATCCTCTTAAAGCGATGTCGAGGCTTCACAGGCGACGTTATTATTGCGGGAGTTGACTTCGCTGGCGAAGTAATGCCCGTGCAACTAGTGCAGCTGCTACCGCTGCTTCTGTTGCTCACGACAATCTGATGCTGTCGTCGAAATGTATTGTTGTCAGCGACCTCCAACGCCAGGTAATCCAAGTGCGAGCTCATCCAGTTGCGCAAAACAGCACAGGAAGCCTCGGGCGCCTCCATAATGCACGCTCCCGTAAGATTAACAATTGACGGGTCTTTGCCCAAACTACTGCTACTCCGACTTGCCCAAATCTGCGACAACCGCGGGGCGACGTTGCTGCGCGCAACAAGACTCTCTCGGCGAGGATCATTTTGCGCTTGTAGACACAGCTGATCATAGAAATGCGTGAGCTTGGGCCGATTGCGTACAAGGAGAGAATTAAATGGCACCATATACGATTCGATAGATGGGCTGTACTCAACGTTGTTTGCCAGCGACTGCATCAACTTTGCCAGCAGCACAAGCGCACGCTGCGTCCTCTTATCCGGCGCAGCATTTTCCGGCGTCAAATTCATCTTATGCGGAACGACAAGTGCGGGGCACAGAAACCGCAGAAATACTAAACCGCCCAAGTGCATGTAGAATTCTTCCTTCGCAGCAGTCACTGTTGAAACTGTACCGTTCGAGACACTTGACTGCACAAGCGCCTCCTCAAACAGATTTTCCTCAATAGAGCTGAGCCGTGGTAGTACTCCGAGGAACCCAGCACTTTCCGCCGATGTGCCCTCCGTATAGTTGTTGTTGTAACTGCCAACGTCTGAAACTCGTAATCCGCTGCTGCTTCCTCCTTTGATGCTAAATCTAGGTAGTGACAAGTTGCTGCGTCGATCGCGTTCAATAAGCCGTACCATCTCCAACTCCATAACGCGGTAGATCTTTGCAATTTGGTACGGAAAGAGCGAGACAGCATTAAAGATACAGTCCAACGTGTACTCCGCCAGCACTTCGAGTCGCTGCTGGTTGGCACGTAAATCGTCCTGAGGTTGCAAGAACCGCGGGTTCACTTCGTATTCTTCTGATTCAGTCCACAGTTTGTTAATGACGTCACCCAGTGCAAGCTGTAGGAAGTCACCGCCAAGCTCGCACGTATATTCCCGCAGCAACTACACAGCAACCGCAACTCACTCTCAACGTCAGCGTCTCAAGTACGACCTCGAGTCTCACACCCTCGATACAAAAAAACAATGTCCAACGTACAGCGGTCGTGGCCGAATTGGCTCGAAAGAGCTCGTTCCAATTCAGTGTGTGCACCATCTCCCGAAGCATGAGCAGGCCCAGCAACTTTCGCAGTTGGTCCTCGTACTTTTCAAACACAAACAACAGCGCTCGAATCACATTTACGTCGGCTCCCGACGGCACCTACAGAACGACAAAGACAAACAAAAACAACCAAAGGCACAGACAAACAACAAAGAAGAACACAAAAGCCATGAGGACACGAACAAGCTCATTCTCCACACCTCACACTTCAAGTCCACAGCAGCTGCAGTCGGTACCTACCGTAGCCAGCGCCGAGGCGAGACGGAACTCGGGGTCGTGCACGAGCGCAAACACGAGCGCGCTTTCGGCTTCTTCTTGGGCGAGAAACGCCACTGCGTTGCGCACAGATTCGTCCGGTCGTCGCTTGCCGGCCGCTCTCGCGCTGCTTGCAGCCTTGTTGTGGGTGTTGGACGCATCGGATAGATGTCCCCCGTCCTGCGCTCGCTTCTGTCGGTCCCGGGCGCGACTGCGGAGTCCGATGGCCAGCGCCCGCATCGCCTCGAGCACGCGCATGGAGCGAGACGGCGAGTGATTGGGCGGTCCGAGGCGGCGTCAAGTCGCGGCTGGAGAGCTCAATAGAAGAGTGAAGTCAGTGAGGGACCGGCTGTGTACGGGGCACGAAAAAGAGGGGACGAAGACAGGCGACGGGGTGATGGATGGATACTTATTGAAACACGTAAACAACGAAGGGCCGAGGGAATCGACGAGATGAGACGAGACGATGACGCACGCTTATCAGCTGGAGCAATGTTGGACTTGTAAACGAGCTTTTCGAGGAAACACGGGATGGTGTGGGTGATTGCTGGGATGAGAAGCGAAAAGTAGGGAAAGTGGTGATCGTGTGCTTGATCTGGACTCTGTCAGTGTCTGCCTCGATGTGCAGACATGTTAATTAGTTGTCGTCACGTTAGTAGCGACACCGCATCTGCAGAAAGCACTTGTCCATTGCATCAGAGCATTTCCAGCTCCGGGTGGAGTTGCCGTCGGTGCACGGTGTAGACGATATAACTAGAGGCCCGGCGAACCATGTCGCCGAAATGTTGTATTTGAAGTTTCGGTCGCGCTGGCGATTCGAGTAGACCAGACAATGCAACGCTACCGCGATTCTACTTGCTAGCGCACGTTTGCGAGTTTATCACGTGGTATCAATTGCTGTAAAGTCTTGACATCTCGTGCGACCCGTGTCAGGTCGTAAGTCAATGATGCATGTTATATTCGTCGATCTCTGCATACACGGAGTATTCCCATACTTCGGAATAGCTGGCTCGCGTCCAAAGAGGCTCGAGTCGAATGTACAGCACATAAATGCAGAGGTTCGATTGTCGCTTGCATTCCTGACTATCCCTCATCCAACACTGAGTGCAAGTTCGAGAACGTGTCTCGATTGTGTGTACATTGTCACGACTGATGATCACGCGTTGTCAGTCGTGACAATGACGTAAATAGAACCTACGCAACGACACAATGAGCGACACCCGTACGTACATAATCAGCTATAGCTGTATAGACGGTGAGGACAATTTTAGGGCATGTTAAAAAAGGGCAGGCCTTGTTTAAGGCGTCAATGGACGGTCAGGTTCATTCTCTGCCGTCCTTGCGGTGAATCGCGATCAGGAGATTTGCCCTGCATAATTTCTGAGAAGCCGCGCTGGAATGGGCTCGAGAGGCCAATTCCACCGGCACCAACCATCCACTTTGTTAAATCTAGTGAAATTTAGACCCAGATGACGCATCCTACTCATGCAGCTGTCCAAATTCATCCAGGAGCTTGTGCAGTTGTCGAAGCAGCTGCTCGTTCCCGCATTCGACCAAACGAAAAGGCTCTCGCAACGTCGCCGCGCCTCCAAACACACGGACACTGCCGTCTTCCACGACCTCGAACGGAACAAATTTCTGCATATCGATGTTCAAGCAAGTCACATAGACACCTAGTTACCATTAAAGCACTAATGGTACCTCACGATCGTTCTCACTTGCACCACAACAACGTACATTAGTTAAGAACTGGCAGAGCTCCTCGCGACGCTGGTGGATTACTGCTGCATCCTCTCCACGATCGCACTCTTTCCCTTTTGCCAGCTCTTTTGTAAGAGAAGCAAGCGTGGGCAAACCGACACTCGTGAACCCGCACAGCGGTTCCTTCTCGACGCCTCGAATATCATGAGCCAGTACAATCTTGACGCTGTATTCCGAGTTGTTTTGTCCTGAAGGGACTAGAAGCGCGACGTCTTCCGTCTCGGGGTCGATGCAGTACAGGACACCGTCGGTTGCTCTACCAATTTGCAGCTGTACACGAACAGGCTGCCCTATCCATGGACAGAATTGACGGAAAAGCGTCTTTTCGTTCGTCATTATTGGCTCCCGTCCAGTCGTCCACAGTAAACGAGTCTTTCTTTGTGTGACGTTGCACTGCAGCGCAATCATCGTAACGTGTACAAGCGTGTTTTTCGTTCATTAGCGAATCCTGGCAACAAAAGTAAACTAATGGAAAATAAAAGTACCACCCACTGCCTTCGGCCATTTCGTCGATGACTTGGCCGAGTCTAGAGATTTTAAGTCCTTGATCGGTAGCGTCTAGCCGGATACAGGCTTCTCCACGTGCACCCATAGCGCAATGAACATGAGACCCACAGCAATAGAGATCGAGCCCATGAAGTTACCTTGATCCATCAAACTCTGGTAGCTCCAGCCAAAGTACTCCTGGATGCTCATTCGCACGCTCGGACCGAGGTTGTACGCAATGTAGAACCCCATGAGTACAGCAGCGCACAGCATCGAGTCGCCGTGCGAATACACGCGATTGTAATAAGCCACAATGTAGCGCACCATGGCCCAAACAATGCCGAAAACCGCACCAGAGAACACCAGCACATTCGGCAGCTCGGCCAGCGATCCGCGTGTGGCATCGTGTCTGTTGAGCCACTTGGACTTGCGACCAGTTATCTTCCACACGATGGCGCCTAGCATTGCCGTGAAGTTGGTGAACGCGTACACAAACCTCGTCTCTTGCGACCGCACCACATCGTTGTTTTCAACACCGCGCGTACTCAAAGCCGTCAGCACACCTTGCACGACAAGTTTCGGCACCAAAGCCACCAGCACGCGCAAGCCATTCACGAAAATCGGAGCGTAACCCGTGTACAAGAAGTACAGTGTGACGTAGTACAGAAGAATCACCGAAATCGACTCGATCGGGTAGAGTGTCGAGTTCAAGTAGAACACACGACGCATGAAGTTGTTCGGTTTACGGTACTTCGGAATGTCCACGTGCGGACGTTTCCATTCCGGATCGGCCACGTTCTTGTTCTTCTTCATCAAAGCCGTTTGGAAGTTACCCTTTGCCCAACGCTTGCGCTGAGCCATGGCTGCAGCAACGGAATCAGGAATTGATCCTTCTGCTAGACGAACACGCTCATGCGCTTCACCTTCAAAATCCTTGCGGAAGTAAAGCGCCTTCCAGCCCATGGATACCAGACGCTCACCAGTGTAACAGTCCTCCGTTAGCGTACCGTACTGAATGCCGCCGATCGAATCCAAAGCTTCTCGGCGAATCAAAGCGTTTGTGCCAGCAAACGAAGCACAGTCGTATCCGTCTTGGCCAGTCTGAGTAGCATCGTAAAACGCAGAGTTACGATGGCCGAGCGGGTCGCCAATCTGTAATTGCACACAGTCGCGAAAGTACTGCGGAGTTTGGACAAAACCGACGGCGTTGTCACGCACGTCGTCCGAGTACGAGTGCAAAATCGACATATCTGCGTTGCTGTTGTTGTTCGTGTTGCATTTGCGGCACACACCGCTCTTGCCCAGTTTCGAATCACAATTGACACACCGCAATTCTTTCTTTGTGGCACGCGTGTCGCTCAACGTTCCATTCACTTGACGACGGTGCAAGTCGCTTTGAACGTGCGTCGCGTTCTCAAAGCATTCCTTCGAGCAGTAGCTTATGCGCTCCTCAGGAACGCCAGCAATTTTGCACGAAGCGCAGCACATCTTGGCCACGTTCTGGCAGCCTGAGCACGAGCACGAGTACTTGTTCCTAGACTGTCGATCTTCGTCGTCAAAGAAGAACGGAAGTGTAGCCAGTATAAACTTCGGGTGAGGCTGCGTGTCCGTGTCCAGTAGCAACATGTAGCGACCGTTTGCACCTTCGTTGTACAGACAATTGTTGATGTTGCCTGCCTTGGAGTAATGCTCTTCCGGCTTCACGCGGCCAACAAACGTCACGTGAGGCAGACCGGGATAACGGTAGTCATCACGGAACGAACCTACGGCACAGTCCGCGCGATTAACCACTCTTGGACGAGATGCTGAAGGCAAGTTCGCCGATGAGTGCAGTTTACGCCATGCGTATACCTCCATATCCTCGTTCGGGTCGCACACACGGTCGTACATAAATTGCGCCACTTCCTGACGAAGATCGCCAGACTTTTCAAGAATCACCTTGTTCAGCTCAATGGCAGGCACGGAATTACCCTTCGTCCACTTGGTGCGGCAGTAGCCGTCATCCAGCACGTAAATCTGCAAGAGATGCGGCGGGTACTGCAAATTCATACACGCCATCAGCGTGTCAATTGTCTCTTCAGCCGGTTCCGAGTAATGGCACAATAGCACATCAATCTTCGGCCACAAATCGTCGGGCACCTTAGGATCAAACTCGTCGAAATAGTGAGCACCACGACGTACGGGTTTCCACATGCCGAGGTAGTACAATGCACCAAGCACGATGGAAACTAGCTCAGCTACAATGAGAGCAAAGAAGGATACCCATTGAGCTATCGATGGGTTGTGAAAACACACAACGTCATCTACCCCTGCCAATGTCAAGTACCAGTCAGGTGGTGTGAACCACCCGCTCATGGGATCGGCAAGACAGTCAAGTTCGTCCGGGGTGTTAATGTACACGTCTTCACAAGCCAGCGTCCGGTTGCTCAAGTCGCAAGGCTGAATACCCACGACAAACCAGAAGACGAGACCAAAGATCTCACCAAGACTCAGGAGCAAGAAGAGGAAGTACAAGATCCGGTACGTCGTGATCCCTTTCATATAGTACTTGCGGACATTCGGGAGCTTTCGCTCAATGATATTGCCCGAGCCACAGGACACAATAGCTTCCTCCACCCCTTCAAACCAGAGCCGGTACTCTTCCTCGGTCTCAGGACACAGTACCCAAACTCGGCGCTTCGTGTGCACCTCAAAGCCCTTGTGCGGGAGATCAAGACGAGCACAAGGCCGCAATTGCAGAGCGTCCTTGAGCTCGATAGCCCCCACGACAAGGTCCGTGTTCCGCGTCGTAAAGTACTGGCGACACTCGAGATGCGAGTGGAAGTAGTAGATCTTGGCCTTCTCCAGTGCAAAGTAGCGGCGTTTCCAGCTCTTGTGCATCGGGCCCTTGATCGTGCGCTTGCCTTGTTTGTGCATGTAGCCATGTACCGTAATCACATTGTCATCGAGGTTGTCCGTCTGGTCTGAAGACATGGGCGCGCGTCCCAAAAGGTCGTCAGGAGCTCCTCCCGTTCCTCCTCCTATCGACTGCACGAGCTCCTTCTCGCTTGGCTGCTGCACGCCCGTGGACGACGGCGTCGTGTACATTGCATAGGCATCCAAGGGCGGTCCAGCTGACTGCTCCTTGTGAAACATTAGCAGTGCACGTCCCTAAAGAGAGGGAGGGACGGAGCGATAACGGTCAATTGGTTAAGTGGTTGGTCAATTGGTCAATTGGTTCAGTGGCGGATAAGACAAAGTGGCTACAGTCCCGTGCGATGAATGCAAAGCAAAGGGGCGGCAGCAGGTGAAGCGGAAAGACGCGCCGTTGCCGTGTCTCGCTCACTCGTGTTTCTCTCGAATGGAAAAGTCGCTCGCGGCCCCAAGTCCCGCGTTGGTTTTTCTCCTTCGTCCGCCTCTCTCTCTCTCTCCTTTTGAAACTCCAAATGCGGTTTCTCTCTATCACACAAAAAGCAGCCGGGGCGACGGGTTGAAACGCCGGCTGGAAAATTAGGTCAATGGGGATTGATCACCCTATGGGAATCAGAAGAGCGGACGGCAGAGGAGCGAGGGCAGGGGGGATTATTTGGGTACGGTGCCCACTTTCTGCTATCATACGCTGACCAAGTGGATTCTCAGATGTCCCGGCTCTTGCTCGCTCTGAACATTACCATCATCATTGTTTCGAGGAGGTCACTATAGGGTCTCGCTCACGTCCATTTGAGCCAGAGTTTCGCTGCGAAGTACATGGCCGTCTGAGAAATTCTCCAGCAGTCAGAGTGGTGCGTCCCCATGTATACGTCCAGAACTTTAATCTGTACGCTTGTCATTCGTATTGCAATGTCGCAGACACGACACTTCTGGCAAAAGGACCCATTCGAGGAATAAAACCTCACGGTTTCGTCCACTCCGTCCACTCCTCCCGCCCAGGTGCTCCTATTTGACAAGCTGTTTCTGCTGGATAGCAGCAAGGTTTGTAATATCGCACTGCGACAGGCATCGGGCCAGCTCGTTTTCCAAAACCGTCGAAGTATACTTGGAAAATCCTGTAAATAAAAGAGTCTGAGAAGCTCATTTCTGCTCTACAGCAGCAAAACGTGTTGTACAATATCCAGCAGCGACACTGCAACACCTACGCCACTAAACTGTTGACATGATGTTGCCATTAGTCACGGGCGGCAAGATACGAGGTGTCATGTTGGGTACAAAAGTGGATTTAGATGAAGTCGAGTGCTGCGTCGCCAGTATCGACGCGTAGTGGCAGTCCGTTGCCAGCCGTTTTATCGCGCAAGTCGACATTGTAGGCTGTCTTCGCACGACCATCTTGTCTCTACATAGCTCACCAGTCTTTTTTGCAAAGTAATTATGCTCTGCGCAACGCTACGAAGATCAGAGTAGATGCAGGTTGCGCTAGACTGGCCGCACACAGTGCACACTAAAGCTGGAAGTGAGAAATATATTGAAAATCAAGTACATGAGCGTGAAGAGCTGCACAGGTCTCCGATGCGACATCTTAGATCGTAGTTTATAACCAGATCCCGTTGCTGGCCTAACGCCCTACGCTGCTGCATCCTCCTTAGAAAGGGTTGGACGTCGGCTGCTCGATCCAGACCCACAACGTGATGAAGACGAGTCCAAACGCAATTGAGATGGAGCCCACGACGTTGCCTTGGTCCATCAAGCTCTCGTAGCTCCAGCCAAAGTACTCTTGAATGCTCATGCGCACACTCGGTGCCAGCTTGACAGCAATAAACAGACCCATCATCAGGCTTGCAAATAGCAGTGATGCGCCGTGCGAAGTCTGGATGCTGTTGTAGCCAGCTAGAAAACGCACCACCGACCACAGCAAGCCCACGACGGTTCCAAAAAAGATGATCACATTCGGCAGCTCGGCTGTCGACCCGCGGCTCGCACCGCCAGTGTTAAACCACTTGGGCTCCTTGCCCGTAATTTTCCACCAGAACGCCTCCAGCACGGCAGTGCAATTCGTGAATGCGTAAGCAAACCACACTTCTTGAGACCGGATCACATCGCTGTTCTCAACTGTGCGGTTGCTCAATGCTGATAACACACCCTGCACGAATAGCTTCGGCACCAAAGCGTACACGAGACGAACGCCAGCAATGTAGATCGGTGCGTAGCCAGAGAACAGGAAGTAAATTGTGATGTAATAGAACAGGATAGCCGTGATCGATCCGAGCGGGTAGAGTGTCGAGTTGTAGTAGAACACGCGGCGCATGAATTTGTTCGATTTGTGGTAAGAAGGAACTTGCACTTCCGGCATCTTCCATTCCGGATCAAAGTACTGCGTTTTCTTGTTCATCAACGCGATCTGGAAATTGCCCTTTGCCCAACGCTTACGCTGGGCCAGTGAGCCGGCAACCGAATCTGGGATCAGGCCTTCAGCCAAACGAATGCGCTCTGTCATCTCTCCTTCAAAATCCTTACGGAAGTACTGTGCCTTCCAGCCCATTGAGCACAACACCTGACCAGTGTAGCAATCTTCCGTCAAACTGCCGTATTGAATACCACCAATAGAATCCAATGCTTCGCGACGGAACATGGCGTTCGTGCCAGCGAAAGATGCGCAGTCATAACCGTCCTGACCAGTCTGAATCGCATCGTAGAACGTGGCATTACGATGACCCATTGGGTCTCCAATCTGGAGTTGGATACAGTCACGAAAGTACTGAGGTGTCTGGACGAAAGCCACGGCATTGTCACGCACATCGTCCGAGTAAGTATGAAGCGATGACACATCCTCCCCATCACTTCCCTTGTCCCCCGGGTTGCACTTGCTACAGATACCGCTCTTGCCAAGTTTCACGTCACAATTCATGCAGCGCATGTTCACCTTGTTTGCACGTGTGTCGCTCATCGTACCGTTCACTTGGCGACGGTGGACCGCACTCTGCACGTGCATTGCGTTCTCAAAACAGTCTTTGGAACAGTAACTAATTTGTTCCTCCGGCACACCAGCAATCTGGCACGACGCGCAGCACAGCTTCGCCACCGAATTACATCCGATGCCACAGCAAATGTACTTGGCCTTGTCTTGACGGTCCTCATCGTCGAAGAAGAACGGCAGCGTTGCCAGAACAAATTTTGGATGCGGTTGCATATCCGTATCGAGGATGATCAGGTAGCGGCCATTAGCACCTTCGTTGTACAGGCAATTGTTGATATTACCGGCCTTGGAGTAATGTGTTTCTGGTTTCACCCGCCCGATAAAAGTCACATGCGGTAGACCAGGGTAACGGTAGTCGTCGCGGAAGGATCCAGCGGCACAATCGATACGATTGACGACCTTTGGTCGCGACGAAGACGGTAAGTTAGCAGACGAATGCAGCTTACGCCACGCGTACACTTCCATGTCTTCATTGGGGTCGCACACTCGATCGAACATAAATTGTGCCACCTCTTGACGCAGATCACCAGCGGTTTCCAAAACACCCTTGTTCAGCTCAACCGTGGGAACTGCATCGTTCTTCACCCACTTGGACTTGCAGTAGCCATCGTCTAGAACCCAGATCTGGAGAAGATGTGGCGGGTACTGCAGGTTCATGCATGCCATCAGCGTATCGATCGTCTCTTCGGCCGGTTCAGAGTAGTGACACAAAAGGACATCAACCTTGGGCCAAAGCTCGTCCGGAACAGGCGGTTCAAACTCATCAAAGTAGTGTGCACCACGACGCACAGGTTTCCACATGCCCAGGTAATAGAGAACTCCCAGAGCAAACGTCAGTGCCTCAGCAAAGAGCATGGCAAAGTACGAGACCCACTGCATAATAGGCGGATCATGAAAGCAAATCACATTCTCGACGTCGGCCACTTGCATATACCACTTGGGTGGCGTATACCATCCACTAAATGGTTTGTCCGAGCACCTTAATTCAAGCAGAGACGTAGTCGTGATCGTCGCACAGTCAACTTCCAGACGCGATGCGTCACAAGGTTCCAAGCCGATGACGAACCAAAAGACGATAGCCAGTAGCTCCACGATGCCTGCAATGAGGAACAAAAAGTAGAAAATGTGGTACGTCTGGTTCCCTTTCATCAGGTACTTGCGAACATTCGGGAGCTTTCGCTCAATGATATTGCCCGCCCCATTGGCCACAATCGCGCGCTCGACGCCTTGGAACCACATCCGGTACTCGTCGTCCGTTTCAGGACACAGTACCCAGACTCGGCGCTTTGTGTGCACCTCAAAGCCCTTGTGCGGGAGATCAAGACGAGCACAAGGACGCAATTGCAGAGCGTCCTTGAGCTCAATAGCCCCCACGACAAGGTCAGCGTTCCGTGTGGTAAAGTACTGGCGGCAGTCCAAGTGCGAGTGGAAGTAGTAGATCTTGGCCTTCTCCAGTGCAAAGTAGCGGCGTTTCCAGCTCTTGTGGATCGGGCCCTTGATCGTGCGCTTGCCCTGTTTGTGCATGTAGCCATGTACAGAGATGAGGTTATCGTGAGGACCTCCAAGACCGACGGCGTCCGAGACGCTCATTGGTGGAAGCGCTGGTCCGCGTGGATCCACGTATCCCTCTTGGGGGGTAGGTCGACCTTCTTGGGAGTAGAAGGCAGGGTTCGCGTCAAGAGCGCTCGTCGCGGGCGTTCCATGGAGCTCGTAGTCCTCGTGCTTGATAAGCGGCTGCTTAGCGTTGCCATACATGACGGTGAGAGGTCACGGGGGGGGGGACTGCAACTCCGTCTGTCAACTTCCTGTTGGGTACTGCAATACGAAAATAGAAGAGTGAGTGTGGTAGTCGTCAGTCTCTCGTGGGTGCTTCGCTCTTTTGCGAAGAAGCGCAACTGATCGGGTAGGGGACCCAGCGAGCACGGCGTTGAAACCCCCTGTGTGTGAGGGGCATATCACGTCGTTTTACTATGCGACCCGAATGACCAGCTGGCAGCGGACGGTCCGCTCGTGAGTGGACGAGGTTTTTTAAAACGTACCCAATTTCTGGTGGTGCAACCGCCGTGGACATGAATCATGAATCACTGCGAGTCGTAGGACGTTATAGGCGCATCTTCATCCGTTACTGACATAGAGACTCACACAACGACATGCTGGCCTTAACTGGGGTGACGTTACGTGCTCGTCAGTAGATCTCACAGGTGAGAATCATTGTCACGCATCGGGCGATATGCCTGGCACTTGGACCTACCCAAATGTGCCTTGTCATGATGACATGATGAAAGAAGAATCATCTCGTGCAAGGGTGTGGAGCTTCTAACGTTAGTCTCAGTACTACTACAAGTTCACTCAATAGAATGGTGATCGTGTCGTGATTGTGCAAATATAGAGTAAATGCTTCTCCGTCTTTTTCTGTCCAAAGAGCATGTGACTTGCTACCTGTACATAGAAAGCCATACCCTATCCACCATGGCTTCAAATCTAAAATGAGTCGTGACACAGCTGATCCTCACAGCTTTGGCCGCTTCTAGACAATCTTCGAGCCAGCACTGAAGAAACCCGAAAGGCTCAAATGGCATCAATTACAGTACCCTCAACAATGTTCGTATATTCAGTAGACGGCATTACCAGCATAGATGTTGATATCAAGATCGATGTGCATCATGTAGCAGTTGCCACGATAACGATGATCAACACGTATTTATGTTAATCATGTATTTATGAACGCGAACCCGCCCTCTCGTCAGATACCTTGGTCATTTCTTCCTCGCTCTACGACTTCACGGCCAAATTCATCAAGTGCTCCATAAACACCTTCAAGCTCACGTCGTCCGTGAAGATAACTTCGCCCTGACCATCCATGCTGTTATGCGTGACACTTGGGTTGAGCTTCGCCATCAGGAAACGCGATTGCGACTTATGCTGGTCGCACACAACGTAACGCGGAACAGGAAAGCGCGAGTCCATGATAAGCTGCGCGTCAGCCTGTGGCGCTTCCAGCAAGTTCTTGAAATTCTCATGAGCGGGATCCTCGTGGAACTTCTGGTCACGCCACGCAGCAATTGTATCACCGTGAAAGACCACCACATAAAAGAACGAGTCCAATAGTAAGATCGTGTCAGATCGGACACTCGCAGCATCCAGCAGCGCCGGCACGGGGGGACCATTGAACGAGTACGACAACAGCGATGGCTGGATCATGACAAGCGAGTTGGTCGTGCTCTCGCGCAGAAGGCAGTGACGATAATACGAACTCTCATCGGGTGAGTAGCCGAAAACGGTCAAAAACTGCGAACGGCGCAGATGGAACATGAACTGAGGGAAGATAGCAAACTCAGGCGATAAACGAAACGAAGATGGGTCATCCTTGCGGTAGTCAGCAAAGCGGGAAGCTAAACGAATGAGTGACCGGTCGATCCAGCGCATAATATCGAGCTGCTCCTCGCCCTGCTCCGAGCGATGCACAGCGATACGTGCTAACATCACAGCGGCAGCCTCCTGGTCAAAACCGCGACCGAGCGTGGCTGTGTCGTTCGAATCCACAGTCCAAGGACCACAGATTGTGGTCACACGTGTACGGTAACGACCGCTTGCGTGCTGGTAACGTGTGATCATCTGAATGTAGCGAGCCTTGCCATGCGCCAGCGGGGTCTGGTTCGAAATGTCAAAGTAAATAGCGAGAGTCGTGTTGGGATCGATGCCACCCATCGACCAAGCGTTGGTGCCGCCTACGCCAATCTGCACCTCAGAGACGTTCTTAGGAGCTGCACCTTGGCGCTTCAGTGGGGCGCAAGGACCGATGGCACCAGCTACCTTGAACTCACGGCTCGTAAGCACCTCCACCGAGGCTGCAAATGCCATTGTTAGCTGTTCCTTGTCGCAGTCAGCTGCTTCGTCCGAGAACTTACTGAACATGCGCCGGAACGACTCGCGGAAAACTGACTGACCGAATGAATCGGCAAGGACAATCACACCACCAGTCTTTTGCACACAATCTGCCATTTCCATCACACCGCTCTGATCGAGGGAGCACGCGAAGATATCCACCACATGACTAGAAGCCACACAGCGGGATGCTAGATCGTTGTAGTGCAACAACGCCTTCTTTGTAAGCGGTGCCTTGTCCTTCTGCAGGTCCGTGTGCGAGCGAATGTCTTCCTTGCGGTCACGACTGACGATAGCACCAGGGCCGATAGTTGGAGGCCCACCTACAAACATCATGATACGAGCTCCTTGGCCGCGGAATGTTGCCTCCAAGAGACCGACGCACACCGACATTGCAACACCTGTGCAACGCTGCGGACGCTGGTCGGCTGCAACAGGCCAAGGGTCACGCTGCAAGTCTTCCAAAATGGATTCAAGCGTAAAGCCGCATTCAAACACCGGAAGCAGGAAACGTGCTGCGTTGCTGGTTTGCTGTTGCGGCTGCTGAAACTGTCCTGGTACCTCCTGCTGTCGTTGATTGCGCGTCGCAGCCAAGCCCAGCATGTCAAACACTTGCTGTGCAGTGAAGTCCTTGTTGCCTCGGAAAACATGCGACTTTGGCACTTCCGGGAACCCTAGCTCGTGCACGTGCACCATCGTACCAAAAGTGACGAGACCGATAAGTGCATCTGGCGGCAATTGGTTAAGTGTTTGCTGGATCGAATCCTTCAGTTCCTCCAGCTCTTCCTCAGGCACGCACGTGTCAATACAGAAGACAAAGACAGGGGGTCCTGCTTGGCGGTTCTGCAACTCGTACTCCAGAGTCGTGTACTGCGGAATAAGCTCAGCTGGCAGGTTTTCCTGCGTAATGTTCTCGGCATAGTGTGGAGGAAAATGGTTGCGCGTTACACAAAAGGGACACACCCAGAGCTTCGAGACAAAGTCCACTTGACAATAAGGATTGAGCACGGCAGCACAGGCCTTGCAATGAATAGGGTCGTACTCCACAGCAGGCGGCATGCCATCAATAGGCTTTAAGGGCTGGTAGAGGCAGCCAATAGGCATGACACAGCGTGTCTGTTCCAGTTTCGTACAGGGCCACGAATTCCACGAGAAACGCACGCCGTCCTTGGCCTCCATCGCGTGAAAATCCCACTCCTGGGGCTGCATGCCTGGCTGGTAGACACCCTGTTGGCCGTACTGGTCGTACTCTTGAGGTTGCTGAGGCTGGTTGTATTGATCATATGCTCCCTGTTGGCCGTACTGCTCCTGTTGAGGATCGTAACCTCCCTGTTGCGGGTGGCCATACTGTTGCTGTTGTTGTTGCGGCTGCTGCTGCTGCTGTTGAGGATCGTAACCTCCCTGTTGTTGCGGATGCGGCGCGTATCCCTGTCCGTATCCGGCTTGCTGCTGGTCGTACTGCTGAGGCTGCTGGCCGTAGCCGCCAGGTTGCTGGTCGTAGCCGCTGTAGCCGCCTTGTTGCATCGCTAGTGGAGGGGGAGCTGCTCGTGCTGGAATCCACGCGTTATCTGCCGGAGTTTGTGTGGGTGTGGGTGTGGTACACCTAATTGTAGGTAGGCTAAGTGTACCACATAACGCAGTGAAATCTATTCTTATACAGAGGAATGACTGACGTGGGGCCTGGAATGCTTGAGCATCTGTTGATTTATTTACATTATGTACAATGGAAGGAAGTTCTGCGCACAGGCAGCCCCCTCCCTGGGTGCTACGCATGAATATCGATATACAGTCAATTCACCGGCATGTATAGCTTGCTCTCAATGCGGCGTTCCTCCCGCCGTCGACGGAAAAATGTCGCCACTTTGGCTAGACTCACGTACAATCCGACAGCAAAGAAGGGCAGGACGAACGCCCATGTAGCTGGGTGTGCCAGCACTTCGGTAAAGCTTGACAACGATTCGCTCGACTGCACGTGGCGAGCAGCGAGTGCATTTTCCGACCGCAGAGCGGGGCCGGCGCCATTGTGGTGTCTCGAGTAGTAGATGTTAATCTCCATCGACGAGTCTTCGTCTTCTCCGTTGTGCTCGAACGCCTTCATGTGCTTTTTTGACTGCGCAAATGCGGCAATCGGGGACGCGCTCGTCTCCCTATCCGCCGATAGTGCGTTCACACAATCGACAGATAAGACGTCCGCGTGGGCGCTCATGCAGAGACGTACCACGCGCATTGCGTCAACAATCTTCCGGGGCTCGACCACGTCTGGAGCTTCACGTAATAGCGCCATGACATTGGCCTCTTTCTGGCAGTATGCAATAGCATCCTGCTCGCATTCTGGACTAGTGACAGTGACTCTGTCAATTGCCTGGAACGTTGGCCCGCCGCCGTCCAGTTGCTCAATCTGTTGTTGTCTCTGCTCTTGAGGCTCCATTGTTCGGTTTACGCTGGAAATGTCAAATGCTAATAACCTCAGCCAAGACCCGTCTTTTTCTGCTGTTCTCATTGGTACATTACTGAGGGCTGTGGTCAAATCGATACTTGCGAGAGCTGAAATAACAAGTCTCTTCGAAGCGCGAGCACAACTTCAAGCTCAAAGCCACGAAATGGCATTCCCACACGAAGAACGACTGCAATAGTAACAACAGATGTGAAAAGTAGCTGACTTTATGTTACATTTGCCATGCATCACGCCACATTCGACAGATGGCTGCGTCTTTGGCCACAATATGTTCGCAAAATGCACTAAAAGGGGCTTAAATTTGTCCACCCGTAATGTACGCTCTACGACATGTTCTCGCATGTTTGATATTAGGCAGGACGTTTTACAAACGGTACGTCTTTTTAGGCGTAAGAAACGTAACTAGGGTACGCGATGTGGCACTGCGGCGAAAGTCGAGCTTGCTACGATAGCACGACAGCAGCAAAATAGTGTGTGTCACATAAACTAGTTACCGAACGTAATGAGTATCTTGTGCAGCGACGACGTGCGCGAGCTGCTGCGTTTGCTCTGGCCAGCGACAGACGCCGGCACTTCTGATGACGCCCAGCGCTGGTATCAGCAAGGCTTTGAGTTCCAGACGCAGGGGGAAAGCTTTTCGCTTGGACTCGTGCAGCACCACGGCGGCCCTTGCGGCGTGCTGGCCGCTGTTCAGGCCGAGATGTTGCGACTCTTCCTGTTCGTGCGTCACCACGAGACAGCGATCCACGATGGGGTGGATCTGCAGCAGCTGATTGATCGAGAGGTGCCCGATATGGCTTCAAGGCAACGGCTTCTGGCAGAGGCCATGGCTTCGCTGCTGGTGCAATGTGCAGGTGAGGAGTTGGTGGTACGCGTGGTGGTACAGGTCACAGAGGCCACGTACAGAGAGACAGTTGTCCCAGTTGCTGCGGCAGATGTAGACCGTCCATATTCAAAACTTGTGGAACTTTTGGTGCAAGAAATGCCAGCTTTTTGCTGTCCGCACGGCGTCATGAACTTTACGTTCAGTGTGCTTCGAACGAAGCACGTTGCTGCTGTACGCAGTGAAATGGATAGCCCAACGAACGCTCTAACAGGCGCTTTTGGACACTGTACACAGGAGTTACTGAACCTGTTACTCACAGGTAAGGCCGTGTCGAACGTCTTTGACGGGACCGTCGCAATGGGCGACTCGGGTCTGTCCTTGCAAGGCGTGCCACAGCGGGCGCGAATTGGCTACTTGACGCAGCTTGAAGCATTGCGGTACTGTCAAGTCGGAAGTTTTTACAAGTCGCCGCAATTTTCCGTCTGGGTGATCGGAAGCTCCTCGCACTTTAGCGTTGGGTTTGCTTTGGATGCCCGGTTGAGCGAGGAATCGGCCTCCGCACAGCTTTATCAGCGCGTGCATCGAGTCTTTAGTCAATTTGACCCGATGGAAACTGGTTTAATAAAAACGGAATCACTTGCTGATTCGCTAATGCAGCTGGGCGTGGATCCTGCTATTCGTTCGAGTGAGCATTCGATGGCACGACTGTTAGCTGGACTCGAGGAAGATGTCGGTCTTATACTCTGGGATGAGTACTGGAAGATCATTTCGGTACTGCTGCTCACGAATGACTTGGATCTGGCCTTGTCGGGAGGATATGTTGCCACGAAGACCGAGCATCGTCCTCTTGTGCGTTCCGATTCTGACATTGCGCGGGAGTTGCAACGACAGTTTGATGCAGAAGGAAGAGAAGGCTTGTCTAGCACTTCTGTATCAACTCCGTCACCATTTTCATGTGAGTCAATTGCACCTTCACAAGTATCGTTTGACTGGTTCTACTACAACGGGCTAGGAAGCAAGGATGGACATAGTAACGGACGACGCCCTCAGCTTACAAAGTGCCGCGTAACGCTCGAAAAACAGGCGGAGTTTATTGGCCAATCAGTGCCGATTGGATATTCCGGGTCAAGTGGTGGCCACAGCATATCTTCACTTGAAGAAATCATGAAGACAAAGTGGCCGGACGCCCGGATTGATTGGCTAGGCTCTCCAGTACCAAGCATCGACTAGCCGTTATTCCGAAGAGCAATCTGGTGAGCTCGAAAGCACACATGATGCATTCAGCATTTTACAAGAAGCGCCGTGACGCCAAAGCGGGTGCGACATTTGAAAAAAAGGTGCCTGTTCCTGGCTGTGTTACCTCACGCATTACGTGGCGTCGCATCAACAACCCTGTTCCTCTACAAGTCCGTCAAACATGTAACCAAATGAGCAGCAAACGCCGTACTGCAATTGCTCTTTGTCATCAATATGTTCATGACCAACGACAAGTCTTATGCATGGCAGAGGCATGTTGAATGACGCTACTTTGTTGTGGCCATTTGCTCGAGTCTTTCTCGACAAAATCGTAACGTACGGCACAGGATCGAAGGTTAATTCGCTGTAAACTGCTAGCTGATTGTCAGAGCAGTTGCATCTTCCATTGTCCACTGTGCACATGTTTATAAAGTCTTGCGGCCCCTGAGCTTTTCAAGGATTCTGGTGGTCACTTTAAGACCCTACGCACATCCGATAATTGTATTGGTCAATAAAAAGCTGACGTGGTCTTTGAAATCGCCTGAATGGGGCAGTCTCATCTTTTTTTGCTTGTCAATTGAACAATACACCTCTTGAAGATACACCGCCAACCGTTAGGATTAGGAACATGGTAGAGTGATGGTCGCCCGAGTCTAACGGCAGTGTTGGACGCCATGCTCTATCCCGTTTTCGTCGCGTGGTCTACAGACTTGGAAACTAGTGCCAACAATAGCGAGAGGATAGCATCTTATTCTTTGATTTCGTCCGATCAGACGCAGACGAACGACGCGAGCAGAGCCAAGCGTCTGCAGAAGCTCGCGATGCAGCGTCCCGTTTACCACCGACTCGTCTCGACCCTCTCGTCCGTAGCAGTACGGAGTCTTGCAGCAGAAAGGCGCGTCGCTCTTACATAGTGCTGGATTATCGGGAGGTAGCAAGAGCACGATCGGACGAGCGCTGGAGCTACAGCGATACTATTCCGAGTACGAATAGCATTTCTCCTATCTACATGGTCCTTTTGGGTGATCATAACTAGTTTTTGCGAGGTGCGATAGTACACAAAAAGTCGCAAGAATGCAGGTGCAAGCTTCTTTATTGTGGGGCACAACCCTGCTGGCATCAAGCGCTTACATGATAATACAGCAGATTTTATTACGCCGGTGACCATGGTCGCTTTGTACTTCATAGGGTCCCTGGTGTGGAGGACTTTATTATTCTGTCGTTCCAGATGGTGTATTACGACGTATAGGAATACAAGATGAAGCCGATAGACAACAGCCGCAAGGGGGGCTTCGTGTCCGTCTCGGGGTCGTTTATGCGTAATTTGGCGCGGCGGGGTATGCAAAAATGCGAGGGAGATAAATAACAGCAGGATAAGAAGATGAATTGAGGTCGTACCACTAGGGTTCATGGCTAAGTCTGGTCGGGACAACATGATTGATTATTACCAGAACGTGGATAGTTTGCGCTGGACTCCGTTTGGCATGCAATTTACAACGCATTTGGTGGATACTACACGCTCGTTTACATCCGTTGGTACAGTTGGTCATCCCGACTACAAGCTTTGCTTTAAGAATGACAAGGGCGAGAACATTTCTCCGTGACACGACGTCCCGCTCCATCAGTTGGATTCGAAGGACAATGGCCCGTTTAATTTCACCCTCGAGATCCCAAAGGGAATCACGCACAAAGTGGAGATAAATAAGGAGGGACAGTATAATTCAATCATACAAGACACGACGCATCATGGCACTCGTGGCTGCGACTATCTGTACAGGATGCCTCCGTCCAATAATGGCCTGCTCCCGCAGACATGGGAAGATCCAGGCGTAAAGGATGGGAGTGGGACGGTGGTGACAACGACCCTATAGACGTAATCGAGATCGATGCGAAGCATCTGTCCGTGGGCCTCGGTGATCCCGGTCAAGATTCTTAGTAGTCTAGAGCCTGTTGATCAGAGCGAAATAGATCACAAGATCTGGCGATTTTTGCTTCTGACGAGGACGCCGGGGAGATAAAATTTTGAACGACTTGCAGAGCGTAAAGTTTGGCGTGGTGGATGCGTTAGTGGATTAGCTTACGAAGCACCGAATATCCAGAGGGCTAGCTAAAGGAGTGTTTTTACAGAATCACCGGCGTCTAGAGAGGCGGCTATCCAGATCGTGGTGGAGACGCATGAGCGGTGGCAAAATCTATAAGCAGGAGAGAATAGAGTCAGGCACCGATTCTGGCTCAGCCGAGTCTAATTAAGCACCAGGCTCATGGTTCGCGAACACTGATTGACGGTGAATGATTGGCTTCCGAATTTAGGAAATGAAGTGGGTGGGATGGTAACATCGATTTGTGCTTTAGGCTGGTAGTCAACGGCTGGCGTACGATTTGTCACAGCAAATAGTAGCTCCAACGGAGTCTAGTTAGCGTGAAGTGACGTCTATAACATCTCGTTGAGCCACTAAAGGCAAGACCGAGCTGATGTATAGAAAACAAGTATGGTGTGCTCGCATCTGGCTGCAAAACAAGCCTGCGGAGCTGATCTACTAACAGTTTGACGTCACCGTTAAATGAAAGCTGCTTCTAGGTGTGAAGATTGCAGCTGGTTCACGTGGACAACTACAGCTTCGTTACGACGCACTGGCGTGAGAGCTGAACGGATTGCCGGCTATCTTACTGCTCGAACGAGCAAGCGCCAACAGCACAATTGATCCCGATCAATGGCGCAGTTCTGCGTGTCGATATCCTGAAGCGTGCGATGTGCAAAAACTGTTACATAACTACGCCGTGACAACTAGAATTGTGTTTAAACGCGAACGAATATCTAGCGACGGAAAATGGCGTTACGTCATTCAGCAGTACTTCCATGTCTGTGCTCAAGCAATACGTCGATGCAGCGTATTGCTTGCGCTCTTATTTGATCGTATTCGGTCAGAAACGTCAACTCTACGGGTGGAATTGACTTGATGAAGATCCATTGAGGCAGTCATGAATCGACAATTGTGTGCTCATTAGCAGCTGAGCTATGTTAATGTCGAATACCAATGGTTTACACGAGTATTACGACCTTCTAGCTGCTAAAATGATCACTTTGAAGTGTCTGCACGTTTGGTTTGATCATTTAAGCGGATGGAAGGTCCCACTTGTGCTGGTTAATTGTACCGTCCAGCTGCACCGAACTTCGAGGTCTCTTGGTCAAGTTTACTATGAGAGGTAGCGTGAGCGCGCTTAGCGTCGGAAGGATATACATTAACGTGCCGGTGCCAGCTTGCACAATGATGACCAACATGGCCTCGGTCGCCGTGTAGAAAGAGAACCAGCGTTCCGAGTCGGACGAATCGATGGAAACCGATTTGTCTTGCAGAAAAACTGTTGTTGAGGTGCGGGATGGTTTGCCCGTCTTTTGTGCGTCAAAGAGGATATTGTGCAAGGCTCCGCGCAATTACCAGGCAGATGTTATGGGGTGTAGCGCAGCCTCGAAGCAATTTACACAGGTTTGAATGCGTCGAGGACAAGCACCAACGCTTAGGTAAAAGCTGCACCGACTTAACGCGTCGCTCAGAGAGATTGCCGCATCAACAGCTTGCCTGCAAGAAATGCTTGTTTACAGTTAAAGAGCTGCAGCATAGCATGCACGCGTGACGATTCTCGCGTAGGCAGTTGTCAGAGCTGCTGTTGTGCTCGCCATGGTGCAAAACTGGAGTCGAGTTAGACTGAACCAAGAACATCCGAGTGAGCTACGAGATGCGCAGCTCACAATGCTCGTCTGACAGCTCTATGCAACATCAAGCGGGGGACGTTGGTGAATTACGGATTATCTTGTGTGCTCGAAGCTAGCTCCCATTGAAGCTACACTTAGCATGACTATCTGAAAATGGTTGAGTTGGAGACGAAAAAAGAATGACTTCGCCCAAGCGATGCTACATGACTGACGATTGTGGAAGGATGAAGCGATACTAATTGCCACTAAAAATGACTGGTCCAGGTAGTCATGATAAGTTTCCAAGCTCCGGCGGCTACCCGACGGCATGTCAGCACTGCAGGTACGTGTAGCATCACACCAAGAATGGTAACAGTCCTGCGCAAGCGGTTGATCGTTGCGAAATCTGGAGTCTATGATAATCCATCGAATTTCTCATATTTTTAATCGCGCAGCAGCGTGATCCGCGACCAAGCTTTGAGTCGAAGTCGACACAAGTCTGTGCTTTCGCGCTACTGGTAGTTGTGACGATTGCAACGCGTGCAAAAGTGGCAAATCGAGATTGGTCTTTTCGCCAAAATAGAGGCAACTTTATCTCTTAATGGCGCAGGCAGAGGCTCTGTTCCTACCCGTTGAAGAAGTTGACTTTGGTTTGGTTACGCTTTCTGCTTTGGAGGCGTCGTAGAGGATTGTAAATTTGGCACCATCGCAAGACTTCACAAGTGGGCGACACATTTCGAATGCCAGCTCAATTTACCAAAGCCGGTGCTAAATGTGACTGCGGGAACGCACAACGTTGCTACAGCATGCAACAGCGCAAAAACGGCGTACCATTGTCTTAGATGGGATATCTGTGCGAGCAGAGTGCCTGACTTAGCCATGTGTGCTTTGCTTTTTGCTCAGCACCAATACCACCGCAGCGAAACCATTAGTTGTATCGCCCAACTGATCTGATTTGCTGCTTGGATGTCCATGCTGAGGTGTCGAGTTTTGTCGAGTATTGTACGATGCATCCCAGCATCACGTTCGGTGTCTATGGAAAAGAGGAAGGAAAGCACCGCGTTCGTTTTATGCCAACGCATCTCGATGGTTGCAGCTTGTATTTCTCCGGTCCTGGCACTACGTGCTCTTTCAAGGAACGTGTGACAGTTACGCGAAAAGATGCATTGCTTACTAGCGTGGTTTTTGGAAGACACGATGAGAAGCAAAGCTGCGCAACAGCAGCATCTTCATGCCCGTTATGACTGATTTTAAGAACAACAAGGACTGACACTTCACGATCTTCAGCGACCGTTATCAGCGCCATACTCGTAATTGTTAGGAGTTGGAGGGATCTGATGTTGGCAGTTTGTCGTGCATGCAACGAAACACACGCTTCTTTGTCAGTTGGGCGCATCAGCGGCGGTAAAGACCCTCGAGGCATAGTAGTGTGTGCGAACACACGTGCTGTAGTGTGTTTGTGTACCGGAATCTGCAGCACTTGTATCACTACCATCAATGCGTGCGAAGTGTGGTGCCATTTGTTGTACGTCCTACTCCGACCTAATCAGTGCTACGTAATATGCTGTTTGCAATATGGTTATCTCATCCAGCTACTCCAATCTGTCGTCGGCGAGAGGTCAGCTGACGTTGGGTGGATCAACGGCCGTTACGACTCGTAAACACGTACTTCTCGATGCTGAGGACTGAGCGTAGGCTAGTACGACTTTGCGAATGAAAAAAGCGGTTGGCGTCATGAATTGTGCAGGATGTGCTTGCGGGAGTGTATTTTTCATCAAAATATTCTTGTGATCGACACACTTCACGTCAAACCTAGTGTTCTACTACTTACTTAACGTGCTGCGCTGCAGGATAGTCATCCGCTGCTAGTGCTGTCCGACAAATGCTTTCACGCACATGTACTATCATGACAGAAAGTATATTCATGGGTTGAACTAAAACCAAGAGGAAGACATCTTCCTGAATGCACTAAGACGTTGACTACGAGAGCGAACTTAAGGAGGGAAAAACTGTCCGCTATTGCAGACGCTCTTTCTTGACTCACAGCTCCCCGTCCTGTCGTGAGCTTATTCAAGAGATGTTCTCGATCAGAAGGATGGTCCTCTTCTCCCCACTGCTTGATCAGCCACTCCTTGCTTTCTTGCGCGGCCTTTGTATCCGTTTTTGGGCCCTTCACCGCTAGCATAATACCCTCGGCGAATTCGCCATCACCAAAGTGCTCTCTCGAAACGCTGTTCAAGTCAATCTTTTCTTCTTTAACATGTCCAAGTTCCTCGACGATCTCGTTCACGACCTTTCTGGACTCGTGCTTGAAAAGCTGGACGGGACGGAGCTTCAGCGACGAAAGAGCATCTTTGACAGCCCTTGATCTCTTGATCAAGCTTTGTACTATTTGCATCTGCATTTTCGCTGCTACTTCGGCGGAGACCTTCTTCATCTTGCCAGATACATGATTGCTGACCTTGACTAGCGTGTCGTAAAGCGTCCACCTCTTTCCAGTGATGTCGTTGAAACGGTTGATATAGGCTTGTAGCATCGTTAACCTCAGATCTACTGAGCCCTTCCCGCTCCATATCTTGAGTCGAAGAAACACACCGCCAGGGCTCAATCTGCTGCGAAGCCAACCGTTCATCTGATGATCCAACATCTCGGTAGCCATATCTGCCCAAAAGTCTTGTCCAGATCTCTTCATTTCGTAAAGCGCGTCTGCCACAGCGGCATCTCCGTGTTTGGCTGAAAGAGCTTCGACGAACAAGGCGCCACCAGGCGTATTCGTACCTCCCTTTTTCGAAAAGTACATCACCAGAGCCACCAGATCTGATCTGTCTAGCGCCTTTAAAAGGTCAGAGGCAAGCTCGTACGGGTCTTTACTGCTGGTAAGGGGCTGGTAATAGTTAAGCACCACTTCATCGTCTATGCCCGCACGCATCCACCCATTTGCTAGATTAAGGCCGGTGGTCTCGATTAAAGGCTTGACCTTCATGGGTGAGTTCAGAAAAAGTCTCTCTTCTGGGCTCGCTGTCTCCTTTGCCCTCGGTAAATGAGTGGTAGTGTTGCTGTTGGAGTCGTTTCTGGAGACGTGATGTCCAACTGAGATGTTGACGTTCATCATCTGCGGGCTAGGATGCCCGAAGGAACTCGTGATGCATGACAGTATCACACCAAAGGCCGAGAACACACCCAAGGCGAACCGCATTGTCACCATTTCAGTTTTGTAGTCGATCCTTGGACGGCTGGTCAGAATGTAAAATGGCTTACGAAGGCGATGCAAAGAACCTCTACCTCGTGAATGGCTCTCATCGAGCTAGGAAGTTCTGATCCACCTTCTTTGGTCCTGCTGCACGACATCTATCCGATCTCGATCTTTTGATTTGGTGTAAGGTCTCTTCTCATCATGTAAGTCGGTTTGGATTGCGGGATTAAACATGTTTTTTTTGTACCGGATCAGAGATCCAGATCCAGTCGTGGTGTTAGTCATGGACGTATTTGTGCTGGATCAGGTGTACGCCTGTAAGTAGTCTATGCTACCGACCAGGGATGAGTTTGGATAGCTTTCACATGCACCATTCCATGAGTCAGGGGGAGGTTACGGAATGGAGGCGTACCCCGCGCCACGTGTCGCCGTTGCGGCGGTCGCACAAGCCAAACCCCTGGGGGTCGCGCAGGCGACTGATGGGGGCCACCATCGCAGATGGATGAGGTCTTAGGGGATATATTACGACGGGTTGGCGTTCCCTACGCCTTGCGATTACGTCGGTGATTGCAACGGGGTAGCCTGTTACATGAAATTGACACCAAACGGTGTCAATAGAGACATGTCCAGCAATACAACATCCTACCAATATTATCCGAGATGGATAATATTGAAGGAATATGATCTCCTTTAGATAATGTTCATACGCTGCTCCAAGATTGGTTGATGTAAGACGTATCAACCACAGATTGCCACCAATCGTTGATAGACGCGCGCAATGAGTGGTGAGCAGGTTGTCGTCATACGACGACGTAGTTTAACATAGTTAGATAAAGATTAAAGTTATATTGATAGCTTAACTACATTTCATACAGTTCTCGTTTTACCTTACTTGATCGAGTCGTTCAAGTAGCTTAGCTTCCTCTGCACGTCCTAGTGTACGTGAAGTTTTGTGGCACCCCGACAAAGGGTGCCCGTTACACCTGGTAGCACTTTGTAGCCCGATCAATGACTACTCAGTATCCGTCCAACATGAACATGTTGAACGTAGAAGACGACGGCTTTCACGTCACACATGAAGGCTACTCTCATCTGAGTGACTCAGAATGGGAGGTAGTCGGCAGCATGAGTGTAATCATGGGTGAACCCGCCATCAGTGGAATGTTGGAGTCTCTAAACAGAGACCAGCAACATGTTGCTATAAACAAGTTCCTACAAGGGGAACTTGCCGTCGAATGACAGAAGATAGCCTTGCTACAGCAGCAAGGCTCTCATCAGTCGATGGGCGGACCGACGCACATGCGTCGACCCGAAACCTTGAGGATTGATATCTCAAGATACAAGGGAACCGATGAAGATTCCCTTTTGAGATGGTTTGTCGAGTTAGACGATGCCATCAGGGCCCGTCACATCGAGGTTGGCGAGATGCAAGTCACCTTCGCCCTGTCAAATTTGACGGGACGAGCAAAGACTTGGGCCTTAGGGATCAAGCTTCACAACCTAAACGTGTTTGAGTCGTTAGAGATCTTGAAGTATCGGCTTAAAGAGACATTTGAGCCGCCAAGAGCCGAGTTTATAGCACGCTCTGCACTCTTGAGGCTCAAGCAAGATAAGTGTGACGTGCATGCTTACGCACAACACCTAAGCTACCTTGCGAGTAGCGTCACGGAGAACCCTGTTGATGAGCACACGCTCATCAATATGTTCATCTACGGTGTTGTGGATAGGCCGGTGAAGACCTACATGTTCCGATAGGACTTCCATACGCTGGAAGGGGCGATAGCGTATGCTGAACAAGAAGACTTCAGCCTGAGACGGTCTCAGGTTATCTCGTCAAACTATCGTCCGACGAGACGACAGGAAACAGGAGGTCCCGAACAAATGGACCTCTGTTACATCGAGAGCGAAAACTCTCACTATCTGAGTCACAAGCTAACGGCAAGATGCCACCGCTGTCATAAGATTGGACACTACGCTCATGAGTAAAGTGTCCCGAGCACTGCGACACGTCCGAAAACAGGACGTGATGACCGCCGTTGGCCAAGGAAGGGTCCAAGGTGTGGGTCCAACCATGTCGCCAAGCCGCGACAGCAAGTCGGACCGTCAAAAAAACGGTCAGGGTCAGTAGGGGCAGAGCACCCTGATGATCCAGCAACGTCAAGAGAATTTGCAGGACTCTTGACGAAGATTGCTCCCAACACACAGTCTCTGTGTGATACTGCCCTTAGTGATGAGGAGTCTCTCATCACTTGAAGATCGAAGTGACACGTGGAATGTCACTTCGCGCCCAAGTTGACTGTGGTGCGTCGAACAGTTTCATTCGACGCCGGTCGCTAAGGGATAGTAGGCTCAACTATGTTGAGCAAGAATTCCCCAACGAGAATAACGGTGTGCCTTGCTACAGGCGCATCCGTAACAGTGAACAAACGTGTATTGGGAATCCACTACACGCTAGAAGGAAAGCAGTACGATGATGACTTCGTCGTAATAGATTTGGATGACAAATTTGATGTCATCCTTGGTCTGCCATGGCTTAGAAAGTGCCGGCCATGGGTTAGCTGGCAGCATCGATCCGTGAAGATGCCTCCCGTTTGTTCATCGGATGGCCATCTGATGAACGTCTTGGAGCGTCCACAAGCGTGTGGATGTACTACGAGTGAGTGCGATGGCCTCACTTGTGGTACGGTCGTTAGTAATATTGCACAAGATCACAGTGTAGAAGGCCACTGCACTGTGGAACTAGCTTCCGGCACCTGTGTAGAGACACAGGCTGCGCCGAAGGTTCACCACTTGAAGAGATCGAGTGGACTGGAACACAGATACAAAACAAGAAGGGTGCATTCGAGAAGAGAGACTCGTGTTGTTCAGGATGGACGACACGTTGAAGCGATATCGACTATCAGAGAGTCGATCGTAGAGCAAGCCCGCTCGATTGAAAGAGAGTCGATCGAAGAGGACGTGACCGTGATGGTACCCGTAACGGAAGAAAATTTTTTTGCCGTTCCTGAGAGCAATAATTCCCGAGAGAGTCATGTTGAGGTAACTGACTCGGTGATTTCCTGGGAAAACACATCCGCAGGTGGTCGTGGAGACCCAACCACCTGCGGATGTGTTTTCCCAGGAAATCAACGAGTCAGTTAATGTCTTGGTGAATGACGGATCAAGTGTAGGCGCTCATACACTTGATTTGGTTACACCTTCGGAGTCAGCTTCGGAGTTAGTCAAGTTGCCAACTCTAGAATCTTAAAGATTTTTGCGAGATCTGCGTAGTGACAAGATCAAGCAGATCTGCGTACTCGTCACAGAGGACGAGTACGTCGCCGATATTCGGTCGACACAAGTGTATGCTGAGAACAAACGTGTTCTCAGTAGTTCATCTATGGACGGGAGTGTCCTCGATGAGAAGATCCGGATTAAGCGATACACGTCTCAATCTTGGGAGTCTTTGAAGACAAATCCTTCGTATCAGGTTTTGGTTGAATCCAGAGATGTTTTCTATGAATCCGTGCCATGCAAGCTGCCCAAAGACAAAGGCACTCGGCATAAAACTGAACCGAAACTCGGTTCGAAGTACTGTTTCATGAAGCAGTGGCCACTGTCTCGTGAACAGGTCACAGCGATCGACAAATTCTTTGCCGATCGCTTAGCGTCTGGTCATGTGAGGGAATCAACACCCCCACACAGCTCTCCGACCTTCTGCGTGCTATGAGCCACAAGAGGGTGGCGGATAGTGCACGCGTTAAACAAATTGAACGCTGCAACGGTACCGGCACAGACGCCGATCCCGAGAAAGGACGTCATCATAGATGGTATGGCAAAAAGTACCATATTCTCGTCCATGGATCTGATGTATGGATTCTATCAGATCGTCATGCGTGAACGAGACATCCCGTACACAGCAGTGAGCACCCCCATTGGTATGCTCTGGGAGTGGCTAGTAATGCCACAGGGGCTAAGTAACTCCCCTGCAACGTTCAACAGATGTGTTACGAATCTGTTGCGATTGGTGCGCGATTTCGCACCGAGTTACTTTGGCTATGTCTTCGTCCATATCCCGGCCATGGGCGGAAAGACGGACTTGGAGGTTCATAGAATCCACGTCCGGAAATTTCTGACTCTGATGCGAGAGCATAAGTTGTTCACGAACCTCAAGAAGTGTATCTTCGCAGCGAACGAAATACCACTTCTTGGTTGCATCGTGGGTAAAACCGATGTTCGCCCTGATACGGAAAAGATCAAGGCGATTAGCGACTGGACGGTGCCAATTGACGTCAAGGGACTTCGAAAGTTCCTTGGCTTGGCAGCGTATTTGCACAAATACTCGCGCAACTATGCCGAGATGACTGTACATCTCTCTCGTCGATTAAAGAAAAACGAGAGGTGTTCATGGAGCGCTGAGTGTCAGCACTCATTTGAAGGCATCAAGAAAAGCTTGGTGCAATCGCCTGTGTTGACGATTGCAGATCAGGATAGATCGTTCCATGTGGTCTGTGACGCCAGCGATTTTGCAATCGGCTGCGCGTTAATGCAGTACGACTCATACGGCGTTGAGCGCGTCGTCTGTTATCAATTGCCTCAGATGCAAGCAGCTGAGCGTAACTACCCATTGCTTGATAAGGAACTCCTTGCCATGAAATATGCACCAGTTAAGTTTCAGGTATATCTCTTAGGAGATAGGCCCTTCATCGTTTATACCGAACATGCGTAGTTACGCACGGCAGTAACCAGTCCACGCCTTTAGCAACGAATGGCGAGGTGGCTGTCTTTACTCGCGGAGTTCACCTTCTCTGTCAAGTATAAACCAGGACGACTTAATGTCTTCGCTGATGATCTTTCGCGTCGGCCCGATTTCGAGCCGACTGCTCAACCTAACAGTAGGGGTCATCCCACTGTCGCGACACTAACAGTGAGTGTTCCGTCGTCGAATCTGCTCGATGACATGCGAAAAGCATACACAGAAGATGATTCTCTTGTGCGGTTGATGGATTGCGTATCCAATCCACGTAGTCAAGCTTTGAAATCTTGTCGTCTCCATACCGATCTTCAACCGAACGGTATTCGGTTCGTGATGGACTGCTATAATATACAGCAGTCAACGGTGACACACCTAGTGTCGTCGTTCCCGCTCATGATGATTTGCGATTGCGCATCATTTTTGAGTGTCAAGATGCCTTAACAAGTGGACATCGAGGTAGAGAAAAAAACTTACCTCATGGTGAGTCGTGACTTCTACTGGCCCCGCCAGTATGAGTTTGTACGGGAATACATTCGCGCTTGCGAAGTTTGTCAACGGGTGTAGCCTAGTCCTTCATCCCGCGCACCCTTATGGCCTCTTCCGATTCCGGCAGAGTGTTGGCAGTCCGTATCGATGGAATTCGTCTTCGGGTTTCCCAAAGAAGTCCACAAGAACACTGGTATTCTTGTGTTTGTTGATCAGTTCAGCAAGATGGTACTTCTTGTTGCTGTACCGGAGTCAATTACAGCCCAGGGCTGTGCGCGTGTCTTCATCGATACTATCTTCCGACTTTACGGGTTATCCCGTGAACTCGTGTCCGATAGGGACCCCCGCTTCACAGCGGAGTTTTGGCAATCCGTGTTCCGTTCACTTGGAACACGTTTGACGATGTCAACTTCTGACCATCCCGAAACAGATGGTCAAACAAAACGCGTCAACCGCGTTCTCGAAGAGATACTTCGAGGGTATGTTCACTCGTTTGCGAGTTGGAGTGAGATCTTGCCGATGGCGGAATTTTCCATCAACAACTCGGTGCACGCGTCGACAACGCATACACCGTTCTTCGTGAATGGCCTACGCCATCCACGTTTACCCTCCTTCTTAAAGTGTGACTCCAGGATAAGGGGGGGTTTTGCTCGAACAAAAAACGATCTGGTTCTTTCTTATCACCAGTCGACATTGGTGCCGACGTGATAGATGCCGATGTCGATGCAATCGATATCGATGATGTTGATGATGAAGATGCTGGTATTTTCAGCATCGCCAACGAATGCCACAGTGAGGACGATGACGCCCTCACTGGTAAAGACAAAGTTCTTCAGCAGTGCACAAGAACAAGGATGATTCAGCAGAGGAATTTCTGCTGACTCGCGAAGCGGTTGTCCGCTTCATTTAAGACTACATTGTATACGCAATTAATATGCAGAAAAGAAACGCAGACAAACATGGAAGATCAGACGTTCTTTCATTTGATGAAGGAGATTTAGTTTCACTGTCGACAGTAAACCTACCAAAACACGCAGTGACAAACGTGGGCAGCAGTAAATTACTGCCCAAGTACATCGATCCGTTGTGTGTGTTGCTCCGAATGGGCAACGCATGCACGATTGAACTGCCTCTTAGGACTCGTACGCATCCTACGTTTTCTGTCGGTCGTCTCCACCTGTACTATCAGTACGAGTTCGTTTCGAAAAGCAAAGAACACTCCGCGATCAATGGCTGAGACCACCTTCAAGTGGTCCCGTTTCAACGAGCCAGTCTGGTCGACTAGCGAAGCGACCTGCTCACGCAGTTGAGCGATGTCTTGACGAGATGCAGTCAGCTCGTCACGAAGAGAACGAGGCGAGCGATCGTCCTCAAGTTGCGCAAGCGCAAAAGCGGCACGATCGTCCGAACGATCGTTCATTGAAGAATTGTTATTATTCCTTACAACATCCTCAAGCCCATTACGCCAAGATCGTTCATGAGCCAGGTCATCTTGCAACTTTTCGTTAGACAGTTCAGCTCTTGAACATCAACTTGATCCGACCCTCGAGTCGGATCAGGTGTTCCCACCGCCGCCACATCCTTTTTAGAATCTGGCCCTGGTCAACGCTTTCTGGTGGAGCGTATTTTGAACCACCGCGATGTGAATGGCGTCCGGACGAGTTACCTCGTCCGCTGGCGTGGCTATCCACCGGCGTAGGACAGCTAGGAGCCTCGTGCCCAGCTGATTATTGATGTCCTTGGTCTCGTCGAGCAGTACAACGAGACCCACCCGCTGCGTTTGAAGAAGGGCCGTCTGAAAACGACCTCCCCGAACGCGAGTACAGGGATTGCAAAGCGTCAATCCCTTCGGCCATCTCGGAAGAGATGCGCGCCCTTCAGTAGGGAATATTATGGAGGTAGGCCTCCCTAGGGACACGGTTCGAATTGTCCAGGCAACCTGGATACGAATCACCCACGAGAGACAGGGTAATCTGCCTCTCTTGAAAGCCGGTGCAACTTGCATCGCGCCCCGACGGGGTTGCGTTTCTCAAACCTGATGCGAGCTGCATCAAGTTTGACGAGCCAAGCCTCACGGCCAATACACTCGATGTTGTGGATGAGAGCATTCCATCCTTGTGCCAAGGCTTTGCCGTCTCGTACACGGCTATCATTGTACCACCGATATTTGAAAAACGCATCGGTGAAGAACTCTTCCTCAACACGAATAGTTTCCGTGATGGAATCAGGTGGGTAAATCTTCCTGCGATCAAACAACGGGATTCGATCCCATTTGTTAGTCGTGCAGGCCAACCGGTCTAACTCTCTGGATAACGGCATCCACGGAAACTCCACTTGAGGTGAGCAGGTTGTCGTCATACGGGCGTAGTTCAACATAGTTAAATAAAAATTAAAGTTATATTGATAGCTTAACTACATTTAATACAGTTCTCGTTTTACCTTACTTGATCAAGTCGTTCAAGTAGCTTAGCTTCCTCTGCACGTCCTAGTGTACGTGAAGTTTTGTGCCACCCCGAACAAAGGGGCCCCGTTACAGTGATCGCGCTGCAAGTCGATGGGCCGTGCAAGCGGCACACGGAGGCCTACCATCGCGGATGGACCGGCTTCTAAGGGATTCAAAAGCCAGTCACGGCTAGGTCCCGGATCCTCCGGCTCTACCAGCTTGGCTACACTGTACCAGAGATCGTGCACATAGTTAATACCTGCACTTGTATCCTGGCTCCGGACTTTTCAGACATCTTTCTCATGTTTACATACAAATAGACGATCGTGAAACTCCTACCATTCCATGACTCATAAAAAGGGGACTACTTGCAGAAGTGTTTTAGAGCTAACTGGAGTCTAACTGCTATGGTACTAACGACACTGTTTGATGCAATGATACCCGACACTATTACGAGTTTGTAGCGTTCACTACTTCCGACTGCGGCAACATTCCACAAGGTAGTGCTGTACCGGGGCACCCCTTTTTGGGCGCCACGAAACTTTACGTAAATTGTACGTGCAGAGGAAGGTTAATCTATCAAAACACTTATTTGAAAATAGGTAAAAGAGAGCTGTATTTAAATGCAGTGCAACTCACTGATAAATAGCAACTAAACACCTCAAGCTTTTTTGTGAACTTGCCTCCAGAAACTGATCATTTTATAGTCTCTATACATTAAAAGCTGAGAAGCTACTGTGCAGTTCTATAGTATCGGATTTCATAGATCTTCATTTTCCATACACTCCGCGCCAGTAATATCGAACACCTGTACTTTAATCCACTGATCGGTCATTCTACGAATTAGCGGATGCTATCTAGATATGTGGAGTACTTTATTAATAGAAACACCCTATGTGTGTTAACGATTGCGATTTCGCGAGGCGTAAGGGGCCTCACATACAAATGACTGGTTTTGCCACTGCGACATATAAAATGGTACGAAATGGCATACAAATTGTAAGCATAATGTAATAGTATGATTGTATCACTGGGTTGTTATTAGCGGCACAAGCATTTGGCGACACGATGTTAGCGGCTCATATCGACGGGAATGGCAACAAGAAGCCAAGACCTATCGACCACGAGCGGGGAAGGATAGTGGGGCTTCGAGAGGCTAGACTGAGTTTGCGTGCCATCAAGACTGTCACCTCAAGGAGCCTTGGCACTATACGTCGAGTAGTATCCCTTACCTCTCCCCTACAGATGAAATGCCGAGGACCCGCTCCGTTTCTCTCGAAGCGCCACTTGCGACTTCTCTTGCGCACCTCTGCTCAGGGAAACCTGTCCGCCGCCCAGCTCAAGGTCGAGCTAAGCCTGCCGGTTTCCGTCCGCACCGTGCAGCGCATTTTGGCCAATTTCGATTGGCTTGTGTACGCCAAGATGGAAAACACGTTGCCGCTCACGGTCGCGGACATGGGGGCGCAAATCCTGGGCCAAGGACTTGCTGTTGTATGAGGATGCCGGGTCTGTCTGGGACTTCATTATTTTCTCGGACGAGAAAAAATGGAATCTTGACGGGCCCGACGGCTTTTAGCACTACTGGAGAGATGTGCGCCAGTTCGTCCGCAAGACGAAGCGACGTCAAGCTGGAGGTGGGTCCATCATAGTTTGGGCCGCTTTTAGCGCCCGTGGAAAGTCACCACTTGTTGTGCTGACGGGGATGCAGAATTTGGATGACTATGTTAATACGGTATACGAAGATCTTCTACCATTTGCGCATCTGAACTATGATACAGATTTCTTTCTTCATCAGGACAACGCAAGCATACATGTTTTACACCGTAGCCGCTTTCAGCCAAGAGGGAATTCAGGTGCTTGACTGGCCATTAAAGTCACCTGATCTCAGCCCCATCAAAAATTTGTGGTCTTTCGTTCAAGAGGGAATTTAGGTGCTTGACTGGCCATTAAAGTCACCTGATCTCAACCCCATCGAGAATTTGTGGTCTTTCGTTAGCAGGAAAGTGTACGCCAATGGAACACAGTTCGAGCGCGTGCCTGAGCTAAAGTCTGCGCTAATTGCAGCTTGGAATGCAATGACGGATGCCACACTTGTGTCGCTTGTTCGCTCGATGCCGCGACGAGGCACTGAGGTCATCAAGAAGAAGGGCAATAAAACCCAATATTGAATACAGTGAGTCTTTAATTGTTCATCCTATACTTAATCTTTGTATGCCATTTTGTACGATTTATACGTCGAAGTGGCAAAACCAGTCATTTTTATGTGATGCCCCGTACGCTTTGCGAAATCGCAAAAATTTTCACAAATAGGGTGTTTCTATTAATAAAAATACTCCACATATCTAATTAACATCCGCTAATTCGTAAAACTGACTGATCAGTGGATAAAAGTACAGGTGTACGATATTACCTGGCGCGGAGTGTAAAGCAGTCCCTCTTCAAAGTTTGGCTAATATGTGCATTTTTGTATGGGCGAGGAAAAATTTGGCCAGGGATAAATCGGGATTTTTTTGAGTGATTGATTCATTACAATAGAATCAAAATTAATTGAATAATCTAAACTGTCTACAAAAATCACGTTCATCGAGATCATTAAATGGTTTGCGCCGATGTAAACGGTACTTCTTGACGGCATAATTTGCAGCTGTTCCCGTGAGAATTTCTGATATGCATCCATGTACCGCTGATGCTAAAGGAGCATACCGTCGGAGCTCTGTTATGCTGACGGAGTCCAGGGATTTTGGCAGCGTTTCATGTAGACTATGCCACGTGTATTCGCAATGCGTCCTGGCAACCCGCTTTTCCGCAACCCAAAAAATTTCGATGTAATTAAGTTCTAGATGAAATTTTGGGTAAAAGGTGATCTTGAGGCCTTTTCCAACGATGAGATTCTCAAGCATTCCAACCTGACCAATAAAGTCAGGTTGTTTGGCCATGATGGAACGGGCGTAAGAAATCCTCGAGCTCGGTCATTCATCTTTGCACTCATGTCGCAACCCGTTTCTCCTCAGATCACGTCCTTGTTGCACGATTTTAAACTTTTTGCATTTCGTTAAAGAGCCGGATCAGGGTGGTCCTGCGGGAAGCACATAAAGTGAATCCGCCGTAATCACCAAATCATTGTTGCCCTGTGCAGTAAATAATTTAGTTAGCACATAGTACGGTAGATAAATGTCGCTGAATAGAACGAAAAACCATGTGTAAAACCAACCGCATTTTTGGCTGCTTTCAAACCATGCAAAAGGTTCATCTTGTTTGCAATTAGGGCGTCAGTAGCAAAAGCGGCATGGCTGGTGACATTGTCGAATGCAAAAAGCGCCTGTGTCTCTACCATATCGCCGATTTATAATGTGTTGCCTGATCTCTTACTTGCATTACCCGTTCTTCGGCTGTTCACCGTCCATCGTAGTTTTTTCGAGTTTGATGATCACGCAATCTTTCCTTGAGAAACCTTTGGGCATGTCTGTATCGTTGTCCTCGAGAGCCAAGCTTTCACCAACGTCCGATAGAAAATTGCTGACATGAAGCGATCGTCTAGCTCCTTTCTTTCGTATTTGTTCTTCTCCATCTGGCAACCAGAGCTGCCGTTGTCTATCAAAGGACGCAAAGGTGCTCTCTTTATAAGTGACCAAGATTAAAGATTGCCCTTCTGGTCATGTGATGTTTCCATAGCATCTCGCCACTGCACTGATGCATGTGTGACTAAATTCAGCCGTTTTATCCACAAATACTTTTCGATATGCCACAACGTCGTCGTGTTCATGGCCGTTTATATAAATGGCATACCTGTCTTCAAGGTTTAAAGGCCAAGGCCTTCCAATTAGCAATGGTGGTGCTCTCTGAAATTGTCGGGGATGGAGAATATCCAAGCTTCTGCAAAACTTCAGAAGTGACGTGGTCCACCAGTTTCCGCATTTCCACATTAAAATTTTGTTCACGAAGGAAGACCTTAACATTATTGAGGACATCCTCGTCCGACAAGAAGGACCAGCATTTTTCATGCTTTCCTTGGTGGCTATGGGGAAGTCGTCCGTCAAGCAGAAACGTGTTTTCCTTGGTGCAGATTAAACGTTCGAAGTAGACACCCTTGCCGCACGTTTCAGCTGCGAATTTGCTAGCGAATTTCTTGATCTTCCGTTCTAAAAAAGACGCATGTACGCCAACATGGCTGCGCAACGGGATCCTTCAACCTTGGAGCTTCCTTAACACTGCCGCTTTAACATATCGACGGCTCGTTGCAGCACGGCAGCATCCACCCAGACAGCAGAAGTGTTAGCTTCTTTCCTGGGGTTTTCTGCTTTCTCTCCAGCATTCTCATGTCGCTTGACTTCTGCGCCCTAATTAATTTGCCAATAGCTGGTCAACGACCGTGCTCATTTATCTGCCTGCTTCTGCCGCAGCTCCTGCCTAGGACGTGCTCTGCCCGAGTTGCGCAAGTAAATTGACGGCCGTCCTTTCTTTACCGCGAGGTTTTGTAACAGCAGCTGACTCCGGCTGCCCGGTCCTTAGTGACGGCTTCGCTGTCACTAACTTGGAGTTTCTCCTCAGCCTGTTCGAGGTTGCTGAATGTGTCGTCTTCAGTTTCAGAGCCGCTGCTGAAGACTGACTGGTCAATTCCAGGTGAGACGCTTGCCAGAGCTTGCAGACAATTTGCTTCACATGCATCCTTGAGATTTTCACCGCGCTTGTTAGCAGGATGCATTGAAGCGTTGTGGTTGGTCGGTTTAAAAGCGTTGTCGACGAACGACTATGCATACATGCAGACTGCAGTCCTCATGTGTCAGTGTCATATATCATTCGTATATTAGTATTACACCACCACCCAATGAACAGATACCTCGTACCTCTTACCAAAATCAACAAAGCTGTCAAAAGTACTTATCTGAGGTATCACAGTCAGGTAAAGTCACGTGGTTGTTCACCTGCCGAAAATGAAACCTCCTCATTTATGCTTACAATTTTTTAGGGGCAAAATTTGGCCACATTGTGTAGGTGTCGCTGATAATAAGTGACTTGCACTGTATAATTAAGCTATCATAATAACTCCATACTTTATCGAAGTATATTAAACTACGTCGTCGTAACGACGACAATCTGCTCATTACGCGCGCCTTGCAGCGACTAGTGGTAATATTAAACGTTAAGTCTTTTTTATCAACCAATCTTCGGGCTGTACACAAATTACATCCTACAAAGGGGAAAATTTTCCTTTAATATTACCTATCTCAGGTAACATTGGCAGGATATTGTCACGCTAGACAATCTCTTTTTGACACTATTTGGTGTCAATGTCGTGTAACAGGATACCCCGTCAACCTTTTCCCAAAACCACTAATTATACGTTGATTGAACTCAACTGATTAGGGACGGGGTGATTACTGTTGGATCACTCTTGGAAAGGAGAACACTTGTTGGTCAAATTCCAACTCATTTACCAATTTATTGCATGATGTCAAAGTTCATGCGTTGCGCTGCTGAAGCAGCCAGGAAGGCACTTGCAAGCATGCAGCCGAAGATGGTTTTTCTCTTGCTTCAGCAGCAGATGGTCATTCGCCTGCTGTTGCAAGTGCGCAACAGGCAGTGCCAGTTGCGACTTGTCCACGTGGTGAGTCACCACATGCGACGGATACATCCGCTGCGTCTGCAGTGGGAGCAGCGAAACTCTAAATGCGGATGAGTCTAAAAGAGATATATCTATTCTAACGAGTCGGATGATCCATCCGACTTGAAGACGACATGCCTCCGGATCATTCGGGCGGACACTGCCAGAGCCAGGCTGACTGGCTTTGGGGAACATGGGGCTACCATGTCAAGTCTTCGAACCAAGCGATTCATCTGACGAATCCTCGCCTCATGCAAGTCCATCTGACAATAGGAAACGTGGTGTTGGTGGTGACGCATAGGTGCGTCACCACGAGAGAGCAAACTCGAGGGATCGAGCTGATATTGGTGTCAGTGCTTATGCTAACACCACAAAAGAAGCCGGGGACCGCAATGGCCTGTGCCACGCTCTTCATGCGGAGTCTCCTTGGATACCGTCATCCAAAGAGTTGGACCGGTAGGCCGGCATGACTACCGAGCAGGATCGAATCCCGTTGATCGACTGTAGTAAGATTTGCCCACCTGATCTCAGCACGAATACTACACGTGCTGAGGAAGAGTTCTTCACCGATGCGTTTTTCAAATATCGGTGGTACAATGATAGCCGTGTACGAGACGGCAAAGCCTTGGCACAAGGATGGAATGCTCTCATCCACAACATCGAGTGTATTGGCCGTGAGGCTTGGCTCGTCAAACTTGATGCAGCTCGCATCAGGTTTGAGAAACGCAACCCCGTCGGGGCGCGATGCAAGTTGCACCGGCTTTCAAGAGAGGCAGATTACCCTGTCTCTCGTGGGTGATTCGTATCCAGGTTGCCTGGACAATTCGAACCGTGTCCCTAGGGAGGCCTACCTCCATAATATTCCCTACTGAAGGGCGCGCATCTCTTCCGAGAT